GATGAAGATTTTAAGATTGGAATAGTGGTGGTTTGAAAGTGTTTATAATTTTTCCACGATGGAGATTATGAATGAGATGGAGGCGAAGACTCTGCGATCGAGATAAGTGCGGGGGGCCCTCGCCCCCCCCCGCACCCCCCCCGCCCATTCGATATGATGATGGTGATGCATTGCGATTTTCAGTGCGAAGTAGGATTTTAAGACTGCGATGAAGATTTTAAGATTGGAATAGTGGTGGTTTGAAAGTGTTTATAATTTTTCCACGATGGAGATTATGAATGAGATGGAGGCGAAGACTCTGCGATCGAGATAAGTGCGGGGGGCCCTCGCCCCCCCCCGCACCCCCCCCGCCCATTCGATATGATGATGGTGATGCATTGCGATTTTCAGTGCGAAGTAGGATTTTAAGACTGCGATGAAGATTTTAAGATTGGAATAGTGGTGGTTTGAAAGTGTTTATAATTTTTCCACGATGGAGATTATGAATGAGATGGAGGCGAAGACTCTGCGATCGAGATAAGTGCGGGGGGCCCTCGCCCCCCCCCCCCCCCCCCCCCCCGCCCATTCGATATGATGATGGTGATGCATTGCGATTTTCAGTGCAGAGCATGACTTTAAGACTGCGATGAAGATTTTACGATTGGAATAGTGATGGCATGAAAGTGTGTATAATTTTTCCAAGATGGAGATTATGAATGGGATTGAGATGAAGGCTCTGCGATCGAGATATTGTGTCTGAGATCGAAGATTATGACTTTCGAAAAGGATTTACGACTTTAAGATCGCGATAAGGATTCGGAGATCGAGATGATGGATTGTGATTTTCTAAATGAGATTATGACTTGAAGATCGAGATAGTGGCTCGGTGAATGAGATGATGATTGTAAGATTGATGATGCTCAGATCAAGATTGAATTTTGTGAACTCTGTGAATTCTGTGAATTTTGTGAACTCTCGTGAACTATGTATGATGTGTGACGAAGAAGAACTCAAAAGGTTTAGTGAACTCAAAAGGTGCACTGAACTCAAAAGATGCACTGAACTCAAAAGGTGCACTGAACTCAAAAGGTGCACTGAACTCAAGAGATGCACTGAACTCTTTTGAATTTTTGTTAAAGTTGTAGATATGACTATCAATCCGTCCGCGCGCCCGTAGTAGAATCGGTCTCCACTCCGCCCACGCTCCGCGCGCCTTCTTCAAGTGCCGCCCGAGGCACACTCCCGCGCTGTGGTACGTGGACAGTTCGCATCCTACAATTTTTACTTTTTCCTCGAATCCGGGTGGTATTGGTGGTGTCCCATCCTTTTGTCTTGGGCCGGGGTAGTGGAAGTGTGGTCCCTGTAGTAGAAGCCGCTCCGTCTTGTCCGGGTGCACCTCCTGGCCGAAAGTTGTCGCCACGTCTTTGATCGTGCTCTCAACCATTGGCGCCTCCCGTAGTGTCGTCGGAAGCGTAGCATCGTCTGCAAAAAGCAAGGCGACCACCTTGCGCACCGCTGCGGGGTTGGTGTTCTGCTCATCCGTAAACGCCGCAAGCTTCGACAAAAAATCGCCCGTCGTTGCCAACTTGATGCCGCTCAGCCTGCGCGCCAACTCCCGATACATGACTTCGCTTAGAATCCCGTAGCCATCGGGGCTGGATGGGCCTCCTTCTTTCATCCCACGCGTTGCTTTCCACTCTTCAGATGGCTCGCGGTCCACCATGATGTAAAACGTTGCCTTGTCGTGTAAGTGTGCCAGAAAGTCCACGTTTGTTCCCGGAACGCCCGCACGCCGCAGGATGCGGTATACAAGCTCCCGGATCACGCTCGGAAATGCCTTCTTGAAGTCGATCAAAACCAAAACTAATTCGTCCAAGATCGACTCCCGCGCCACTGTTCTCGTCTGGTCCGCTATGAACTGCAACATCATCACCAAGTCCGCCGTCGAGCAGTCTGACCGAAACCCGCGCTGTGTCGCCGTCTCCCGGTAGAAACCAATCCGCTCGAGGTAGTGCTTGAGTCTTCTCTGCAGAATGGTCTCACACAGTTTCGAGAGAAAGGTCGCCACCGCAATGGCGCGGTAGTTGTCTAACAGCCGCGGATTAAGGTTCTTCCCCTTGTGGAGGGCGTTCATGCGCACCAAGTGCGCCGCATCCGGAATCGTTTTCGTTCTGAAACAATCCTGCACCAACTTCACTAGAAAATCCCAAGAATCGTCGCCGAGGTGCTTGATGTGGGCAATGTGAATCTGGTCCACTCCCAACGCGCAGTCCTTCATCTGCTTGACACAGTGAGCGACTTCGCCTTCGTCGGGTATGCCCCACATCGGGTCCGCAGATTCCGGGAGCTGCTCCAGATTTCTCTCCAAAGCCTCCTGAAATCCTTGCGGGACGTCCGCCGTTCGCAGCATCAGCTTGCTGAAGTGCTTCTTCGCGTCCTCTACGGTGAACGGGATCGCCTGTCTCACCCTTGCTCCCGCCGTTGGTTCAAAAATCACACCTGTGCGCCGTAACCTTGCGTAGTCAATTCTGCCGCACTGACCATACTCCGCCTGGCACTCGTCTGCAATACGGTCGATGTAATCTTCGAAGTCCAACTTCTCAGCAGCTCGGTAATCCTTCTCGATCGTCCGCAGTCGCCTGTTGTACTGCTGCCGCTCGTTCGCGTCCGCTGCTAAAAATCGGGAGTACAGTAGGTCCTCTTTTTCGTTCTTGTACTCGCGGAACTTCCGAACATTCAGCCAAGGGGGATACTGCTGCGCACCCCTCTCCTGATTTGCCGGAACAACCGCCGTCGCGCTGCTCGCTACTACTGTCGTAAAGGTGTCCCACCTAGTGGCCAAGCTGCTGCTTCCGTCTTGCTGTTCTTTCCGAAGGTTGGCATCCGTCTCCGCTGCAAAAGCCGTCTGCGCTGTTTCGTCGCGCCGGAGCGCTTCATATGGTGGGGACGGCGTAATTGTCATTACTCGGTGTCGGATTTCGCGCTTGTCCTTCTGCGAAAGGCCTAACTTGACTGCCATGCGCTTGCCACGGTGGTCGGTGAGAAATTTGGGCTGGATGGTTTTCACGTTTCCGAACTGAACCTGTCGCGATGTGTAGAAATAGTCGATCTCGTACCATCGCCCTGTTGCCGGATGCCTCCACGTGCCTCGCCTGTGGATGGACTTAAAGGTGTCCGGAATACACAACATGTTATCGATTGCAAGCCGCATGTTGTTATGTCCCGGACGGGGGTTCGCGGGGGGTTCCAGCAGCACGGCCGAGCCGATCGCCGCTGCTGCTCCTGCTTCTTCATCCTCTGGGCCTCGGGGCAACTGGGAAATTGCTGAGTTGAAGTCTCCGCCAAAGATGATGCTGCTGGTCCCCGTCGCAAACAAAAGTTTTTCGCGCCAAAGTAAGAACTGGTCCAGTTCTGCGAAGTCCGCAACCGTGTCGCTTGGCTGGTATCCCACCGCAAACCACGTCCCGCGTATGAAAAGCGCCATAATGCGGGGGCCGAAAAACTTGACGACCGGTCTGATGAGAGATTTTCCATCCGCTGCGAACAGAATGGACTTGTGCAAGACGATGGCCACTCTTCCTCCTCCGTAAACGTAGTGCTGGCCGTTGGTGAACTCGTACCGCTTTAGATGTGCACCACGTGCTCCGCTCCAAGTTACATCGGACAGGAGTGAGACCTTCGCCTTGTTCACCGCGATGTGCTGGAACACACCGCGGACCTTCTCCGCCTGTTGCACCTGCTGGAGGGGCGCCGACTGGTCAACGCCCTCCAAGTACCGAAAATTCGCTCGCTGGCAGTTCTGCGTCAGTACGAAGACCCAATCGCCTGGCGTTACCGGTTGATTGCAAGCGCGGTGGGGTCGGCGGATCCTGGTCGGGTCTCTGCGACCGCCCATGACCCGCTGGTGCTGCGAAAGGAGAAAGCAAAGAAAGATAACGACGAACAGCATGCTCGCGGACCTAACAATGAAGCGCCCGGCGGATCCGGAGTCTACTACGCCGGGACGCCCTCGGTAATCAGCCTAGATGTAGCTCCTCACATCGTTTGTCGCTCCGTCGTCACGTAGGAGTTTGCTGTAGGGGAGGACAAAGACGGCGCGCTTCCCTTTTACCCGCGAGGTGGTGATGTGAGGGGGGACGAAAGAACTGCACTCATTCTGCCATTACACCCCTAACTTTCTATCTAATCATCATTCTATAGAATCGATAGATCGCTCCTTATCTAAATCTATAACTGCAAAACGTGCTACTTTGCGCCCTAAAAGTAGAATTAGATTTTGAGTCTACGAGCACTTCAAAAAAAAAACTATGTTGTTTTTACAAATCTTCCTGCCCCTACAACTACAGCAATGGCCTACATGGCGGTGCAGGGGGGTCCGCAGGCCTTGCCGATCATGGAGCAGCTGCTGAAGATGGGCAGCAAGGCTCATGTGGGCAACGTCTTCAAGGGTCATGATCCCTGTATGAAGTACTGCAGACATTCGGTGGACTTTGAGACTCCGGCGGCGGAAAAGGTCGAAGCGAAGAAGTTTTGCGACTTCGTCATGACGAACAACATCGTCAGTCCCCCGACCCGGAGAATGAGTATTGACTACTTCATTCTCGAACTTCATGTTACTGCTTTTTGCAGATGTGCATGTGCCTGTGCATTCGCAATCTGACTTTCTATTTTGATAGTCATTTCATCTCCTTCATTTGATCCTCAAAACGAAAACATCGCAGTGGAGGAAGAGTACGCGAAGTCGCACCACTTAGCGCACATCCGGCGCGACTACAAGATCCCACACCACGAGGCCGACCATGTGCACTTGGGAACCACGGCCACCACCTTTGCGGCCAACCAGGCTGCGGAAGCGGCCGCCGCCCAGGCTGCCGCGGCTGCGGCCCAAGCAGCTGCTGCGGCAACGCCAACGGCAGAAAAGGTCGCGGAGTTGTAAGAAACCTTTCTTCTTGTGTCAATAAAAAAGTAGTACTTTTGCACTCAAATGAAAACCAGTTACGAAATAGTATAAAAAAAGCGACATGATAAACCTCAACTTCTACAAAACTCGCTCTAGGGTTCATGTACCAGTATCAATCTATCATGTTCCTGCTCGAAGACATCTTGATTTTGAAAATATTTTTCCCTTTGCGGGCGAAATATTGCATCCGTGCTCTAGCTGTGTACACCAAAACTTAAATTCTGCCGATCATTGTCCACCTTTATCTTCGAGTAGGCAACAGCATCGCGGTGTCATCAAAAAATATAAAGTACAGGGTGAAATAAAAAATGTATCCACTTCCACCGTTGTAGTTGTTGAGAAGCCCAAAGATTTTGCTTCTGCGACTACACCAGGGTTTCATCTGTCAATTTTGCCTTGTAGAAGTCGTTTCCACGCTAAAACCAAACTGTTGTTCTTTATCACTCTTATTACTTTCGGATTAGCTACGCGACAATTTCACGAGAAACAAAACAGAATAGCGAAGGGGAAAACCCAACTTTTTGCTACCCGCCTCCTGTGTCTGGTTTTGGCCTGCCTGCTAGCGAAACAGACGTCGCGGTCTTGCAAGTCATGCATGCCCACGACTGCGATGTTAGCTAGAGTGTGTGGCTGTCTGAAATCGGGCACGTTTGGGACCGTACTCGGCTTTTTTTCTGAATCTTAATCTTTCCCATTCAGATTTCTTTGAAAATATAAATAAACACCGTCACTCCTTTACACGATTGACTCACAACTTCATTCTTGTAGCGCGAGCGATAGATAGTGTTAGTGACTCAGACTTCAACTGTTATCGGATGAGTTGCACCATTTAGAGAAACCTGTGTGGCGGATCCGTTTCCTCATCCTCGTCGTGCTCGCGATGTTTTCCTTGAGCGTCGTCAGGACACATTGCAGATACGTACGGACGAGTTGAAGTTGTCGCAAGAAAAGATGAAACGAAAAGGCCCACAAGCGACAGGGAGAATCTATCACCAGCGCTATCAATCACAATCTTCATGAAGCGGACAAGAACACCAACACTTTTTCAAACTCAATCCACTACCTTGCGTCACAAAGTTTGGCATAAAAATCTTACTGGCAAAAAATGAATACTCGCGGTCAGCGTAAAAGCCGGCCACGCAGTGATGTACGATTATAGCTGTTCAGGTCATGCGCTTTAGCTCGGAAAAAGCATGCCTGCGACAAGTTCTCGGGTGAAGATGAAGAAAGATCAAAACACGATCAGGCTCTTGCTTTTCAAAACCTCGACCAGGGTCTTGACTAGTGAGTCGCACATTATCTCGTGCGCCTGGGTCGTGCTTTTTTTCGTATTCGCAAATTCTTGTCGCACGACACAGTGCATAATCGACCTCGTCGTTGAATCGATGCATCGATCGTTAGCCGGAGCGACTTTCGAATTTGAGAGGAACTACTTCAAACTGCCTCTTCGTCTTCGTTCTTGAGGGAAATCCAAAAGTAGCAAGCCAGAAGAGATAAGTTGCTTGCAGCAGTGGTTTCGCACAAAATCAAAAATCGTGAAAAAACTATGTGCAGCTGCCCACGTTGTTTTATCTATCTTGCTCTGCTCCATATCTTTCTAAACAGTTTTTCTTTCGTTTTTGCTTTTGGAAACTTTTCTGCTTCTCTAGTAGCACGACGAGGTACAAGCTTCACCTCCATCTTTTATGTTTTCCTTTTCGTTCTTCGACGGTGTGCAGCAGCAGTAAGAACTCGTCCTAGACGCAAGAGTTGAATCAGCTACAACTTCACAAGATATACAACTTTTTTATTTTTCATTGCGATCACTACAGCAAGAGAAACCACAATACGCATTGGTGAAAAGTGCACACCATCATGTCCGGCCTGATTCAGGTCAGCGGTGGAGCAGGTTCTGGCAAGACGCAATTGGCTCTGGACACTGCCATAGATTTTCTTCTCGTCGGCGAAAGGCACCGGGTCTACTGGTTTACCACCAAAGGAAAGCGGCTCGGGTTTCCATCGAAGCGGGCAAAAGAAGTGTGCGAAGCAAAGCTCCGGGGAGCTGCGTCAAAGAGGCAACTACATGGAGATGCCGGGTTCGTTGTCGAAGAACAAGAACAAGAAGATGGTTGCGTGCCGGAAAGCAGCAAAATAAGTCTGGAACACCTCGACGAAAAAACCGTCGCAGATGTGCTCGGTCGTTTGTGGGTTCGGGCGGTGTATGACTACGACGATGCGGTGCAAAACTTGAAGGACCTCGGCGATATCATGGACGCTGAGGAAGGCAGCAGGAAGAAGAACTTCTGCTGTGACACAAGTACAAACCGCGTGCCGTTACCCACGGAAGTTGTAGATCAAGAGGACCTTTCGTCCGTAGGAGAAGCACCGGATGAGCCTCCACCGAAACGGCAGAAGCTCCGCTCTGCAAGCGATGTAGCAAGACAGGGAGAAGATTTTTGTATCGAGGACGTTGACCCACGTGCAGGAGGTGATGATGAGATGAATGTGAACGAACAAGCGCTAGCGGGAGAACAAGCACCTCAAGCTGCATCGGCGCCGTCTTCAGTCATAGCAATAGGACCTTCAGAAGCATCGACCGCCCCAGAAACATCAGAGCACCGCTCTTTAATCATTTTCGACAGTGTCTCCGATTTGGATTTTGCAGACGCCAAGACCGAGGCCGGCCACAGGGCCCAGCAGCTGTTTTTTCTAGCGAATCAACTGAAGAAGCTCGAGCGCGACCGCCGCGTTGTCGTGCTTGTCCTGAATGGCGTCGCCAACGGAACATCGGCGGAAGAAGATTTGTTGCAAACAACTTCGGAGATGCAGGAACGAGAAAAATGTGAAGATCACGTCGCGCAAAATGATCCGCGTGGTGGTGGTGGTCGCACTCCGTGGAACACGAAGCCCGCGCTCGGTCTTCCCTGGGCCTACTGTTGTCAGCAGCATATCAGCTTGTGGAAGCGGCAAGATCGGGCCTGCTCCCCGCCAGTCGCCGTGCAGGGGTTACTGCAAATCCTTGAAAAAAATAATCGTGTTCATGGCGGGGTCCTCGGCGGAAAAGCCGGGGTGAAAAGTGGTTTCATGCTGGGAAACGCCCCTCTCGAGGAGGGGACGATTCTTCCGCTCCTAGATGCTGATAATGGTGGAGAAGGAACTCTGCTGCAGCGTGTAAAAAGTGCACAGGTGGATTTACCGTCGGGCGACGGTTCAAGTGATGAAGGCAGCAGCGATGAGACCGGGCACGGCGACGGTGGAAGCCTGATGCACTTTTCTGAAGATTTGCTCTTCGCAGAGACCACCAGGCCGTCTTTCGACCGGCTCTGGTTCCTTGAGAAGACCACGACGAGTGGCATTGCGGCTCCCTGGCGCGAGTTTGGCTTTTTCTCAATTGAGGAAAAGGGATGCTCCCACGATTTTCCAGCTGCAAATTTCGTGCAGCGCCACTGCTTTCAGTTCTTTCACGTGTAGAGAACAACACACGTCTCAAAAAGTAGAAGGACAAGGAAGTAGTTGCTCTTCGCAAAATTTTGCTGAAAGAAGAGATTGCTTTACGAGTCGTCTCAGAAGATGCGGGTGAGCATCAATGCGGTTTCAAGACGTCAGAGCTGGTGGGCAGCGATTTCTTTTCTCTACTTGAGGACTCAGAAGCACGTATGAAAATAAAAATAATGGAAGCGACACTGAGCTAATCAAATTCAAAAACAATGAGTGGGGCCGGCTTGGTCCAAGTTGCAGCAGCCCCACGCCCAAAAGCAAGTTTTTTCTCACTACTTAGTATGTTTTGGTGCTGATGGTGATGGACCAGAGGAGACAACTACGATCGTGTTCTTTAGAAAGATCCAGAAATCGCAGATTTTTTCTGGATGTGCAAGATTAAGGCATGATCTAGTAGTTGCGAGCACTTGATAGAAAGTATATCCGCTGATGCTGTTGAGTTGCTGTTGTGAGAAGCGCAAATGATGCGCATGCGCTTATTTACTTTATTTTTTTTCGAAGCTCCAACTTCTAGTCCTAGTAAGTTCGACTGAGCAACTGGAGCTACAACTTTCAGTAGGCAGCCAGAGCCGTTTCCGTTCGCTGCAGCATGTTGACGGACACGGACGAGATGTAACTTCATACAAAAAGCTGTCCGATGTGCTTTCGAAATCAACAAACAGGGCGACATCAGACCCTTTCCTCTTACAATACTTCACTGGCAAAGTTTTTTTGATTTCTGATTCATCTACAACAACTACAAGATATAATTGCGCGGTACCAGGCACTTAGACAAGGACAATGTATGGTGACGAGGACCTTTGAATAAACGGCAACGCTAAAAAATAACAAGATGTCTCCTTCATACACCTCTTTTTACCAATAAACAGAAGTTTGATTTCTTTTCATTTAACTCGATTTCTCGAAACTAATCAGAATGCCTATATCCACCGTCACCATATAATGATTTGTGAGTGTATCACGACATCTACATCTAGATCTCCCTAATCAAACAAGCCAACTAACAAGAAAAAATGGGCAAGGACGAAGAGGTGATCAAGGACCTGGAGCATCGGCAGCAACTGGGCGGCAGCTCGTCCGTAGAGCACCAGGCAAAGTTTCTAAAAACTTTCCTGAGACCCGCGGATGCGGAAGAAGATGATGCTTGGGATGAGTCATTCATTGCGAGTGTCACGGAGGAAGGTCGCGAGTCCGTACGGGACCACCTGCAGCACCAGATCGTGAAGGTATGAATAGGAGTACGAGTAAGCTGCACTTTCGCTTTTTGTTTTTGGCAAGAACTTTCGAAGATTTAGTACTTAGGATTATAATTCTTCGCGAATGAGTGATACGTGACGAAAAGAGACATAGAGAAACTACTTGCAGTTTTGTCTGGACGAGGATCTCGAAGCATACAATTCATGATGTTGGAAAAGGATGAACAACAAACATATAGGTCCTCACAGACGACGAGTCTTACCACCCCAACGCTGAGGAGGTGAACCAGGTCCGAGACAGCCTGCAGAAGATGCGGGAGTCGAAGAGGGCCGTGGAGAGCCTGATCGAGCAGCACTTTCGCTTACTGCATTCCTGGTTCATTGACGGCAAGCTTTTGAAAGAAACCATGATTGGGAAGGAGGTCAACGACAAATTTTGGACGGGAAACACCGCGCCCGGGAAGATCCAGAAGATGGCCAAGTCGCTGGTGCAGCGTTGGCTCCGGGAGCACCGGGCTATGCCCATCCACGAAATTAACGAGCGCAGGATTACGCACTGCGCGCACGACCTGGAGCAGAACATTTACAACTGCGTGCACGGCGCGGCGGAGAAGCGGTTCGGCGGTTCCTCCCGGATGAACTCGCATGCAAGCAAGTACTCGACGGATCTGGTTGCCAAGTACCGGGAGCTCACGCTGCGTGTGCGCAAGTACTTCACCATTCCGCGCCGGATCGGAAAGAAACGGCTGCGCGAGATTTTCGACGGCGACAAGACAGAGCGGGAATTTGTGAAGGACATCGCGGATTTGCCGGACAGCTTTTTCAACGCGAAACACGAATTCGTCGGACCCGGAAAGGTGGCCAAGCCGCTGGAATACACAACAGGCGGGGGCAGCGGCATGATGCTCACGAACGGCGACAAGCCGAGGCTCGCGCTCGCCAATAACAGTACAACTTCCAGCACCGCGACGGCGACCAAAACAAAAACCGTGCTTGGACCAGGCACAGGCGGCCCTTCGTCGTCGACGAGTGCTGCGAACAAGACAAAAGCCAAGCCCCCCACACGAGCTGCAATCGAACACGCAAGGACTACTTTCAAATCGAATACGCTAGGCGATGCCATTAACCGAGCAGCGACCACCGAGAACACCATGCAGGCCGGTGGCAGCAGTAGTAGTTCGTCTTCAAAAACGAAAGCTTTGCTTGGTGAAGGAGCCAAGGCTCCTTCGGGGGCAACAACTAGTGGCAGAGACTTCTTTAATAGGCCCGGCGCACCCGCAGCGACATCGTCGTCCTCTCGTGGTGCCGGTGGTTTTTCGTCCATTCAAAGTGCCCAACTTGCACAAGGACCAAAAGGAAAGCTGCCGCAGCCACCAGCAGAAGACTCGATGTCCGAAAAGCAAAGAAAACGGGAAGAGCGCAATGCTCTGGCAATCATTTTCGGCGAAGACGTAGAGGAGGAAGACGATGATGAAGGAGAGCCACCAACCAAGCGGTTGCGTGCAAAGACGGAAGAGGACATCGGCCTCAGTGGCGGACCGGGACCGCCCTCTAGTGCCATTTCCGATGCGGCTGTGGACGATTTATTCGCTGCTCTTGACGGATAAAGCTCGAATCTGAAAAATGTTTCAAGGTCGTCGAATATGATCAGCGACAATCGGAGGTACTATTAGAGGGCCCTAGGAGTCGTGGAAACAAAATCTGGACCCTTATCTTTCGCGGTACTTTTTCCCAGATTGCACCATTGAAACGCGCCTTATGATTGAGCACATCACAGAAAGACGCACTTATTGTTAGTTTGGTTCTAAAAAATCTAACGACAATTATCTCTTAGCTAGTCGAGATGAAGTTTCGATAAACTATTGAACTTTTTTTGTCTTCGTTTCTCGCGCGCGGGCTTGATGTTGCGCTTTTGCGGGCATTTGCACAGGACAAGCAGCTCGCCGGTTACTTCCATTTTCGCTCGTGCCAGCGTATTGCTGGCACGATGTTACCTCAACACAAAACTTCGCATCATCGACCACGATCTCGATCTGAAAGATGATATCATCTTTACCAGCACTGCACCACCGGGACGAACGCGAATTTGGTCTTCTCTCGTGGCGACGAGTGTTGCACATGCGCACTGGGTTAAGATAAAGATCGAGATGTTCCTGCTTTTCAGCTGCGGCGGTACCTTGCACGTGCGAGATGTTTTCGTTTTAGTTCCTTCTACTAGCTTCAATTTTTGCAGCAATGAACCAACAAACTGCTGCCTACCACTCGGTGTGGTCCGCAACTGCTGTCGTGAATTCCTCGTTGTCGCATTTTCTTCAAGAAGGACAAAACAATTTCCATTTCGCCGTACGGATCTGACTTGTCATTTTGCGGTTTACTTTGTGTCCGTAGAGTCGAACAGATTTAAATCATAATCACTTTGTGTCCGTAGTACTCGTATGGGACAACGAGATGAGCTCCACCTACAGCATTCCATTTATTCTTTCAAGTCCTGGTTATAGAAGGTGTAGAAGGTAGTCGTGAGCATCTTGTTTATCTCAGAATAGTCTCAACATTCCTCCTCGCTGTTGCTGTTGACGCAACGCCCCGACAAACGAAGCCGTTCGTCGTACTAGGCTTAAGGGAACAGACACAGAATGAATTTTGTGCGATCGGATACGGGTGCGTCTATGGACGAGGACGAAGAGAAGACGCCGGAAATGCGACCAGATGGAGCAGTAGGTCATCAGCACTGGTCGTTGCCAAATCAGGGCGCCTTTCTCGCAGCCACTAGCTTTGCCGTGAGTGTCGCATCGGCAACAGAAGAAACGGATATATTCCGCTTGCGTGATTCAGATTTGTCATCGACGACCGACACAGGCAGCTCAAGAAGCACAGCACCGCAGCGAGTTTATCCCCCAGATGAAATTACAGTTAAAGCGCTGCTTCCTTCTCGGTCACTGCATCCCTTCGCTCCACCATGCAGGACAGGAGAGGTGGGGGATTGCATGTTGGGGCGTCGTGCTTTCACGAGCTCCAGATCATCATCTGCAGGGATCCGAGTGGAGGGAAACGACAGTGACCAAGTCGAGCGCTTCTTTACAGGATTGGCGTACGAAACTCACGACATCGAAGCTGGTGCTAGCACTGGTGAAGTAGATCGGAACAACGTAGAGCATCAGCTTCAGCGGCAACATCAAGCAACAGGAGTTCAGCTGTCTGGTGGAGCTTCAGCTCAACAAGGAGTGCCGGACGCTGTTCTCCAAAGCTTGCAGTCCCACTATGAAAAGAAGATACTCCAGCGGCGCACGCTCTTCACGTGGCTGCGCGCCGTTTCTTCCGAACGTAACAAGATCCCGGATGAACTTCGGCTGCGAGTCGCGTTTCAAGAAATCCGCAAACTGGGACACCTCACTCGAACTCTTCTTCAGCGGTCGGCAAAGAAAACGCAACGGGAACGAATGCGGACATTCGTGCGCGAATGGCACGACGTGGCGCTCGCGTCTAGAAATGGAGGCTGTGAAGATAAACTTCTTTTGGACAACAAAAAAGCGCAGCTGGTGCAAAAAAGACGGGCAGTTTTTCTCGCACGTGCGCATGTCAGCCGAAGGAGTCGGCAGCTGTTGCTGCGCTGCTTTCACGCACTACTTCGAAACGTGAGCTGTGCGACGTTGATGCGAGCGAGGGCGATGAAGCAGGACGGAGGAACTGCTGCTCCGAGACTAACGTCATCTGCGACGAATAGTTGTAGTACTTCGCCGGGTCGTGCAATGGGAATGAAACAAGCACTCAATGTCGGAGGTGACTCTGATAATTTGACCAACCGAATAGATGCTGCTACAGTCGAGCACCCCACCGGGCAAGAGCAGTCCTGCATTTTCCCATTGTCATTTCCGAGTACCGGCGGTCGCGGAAGACTGCTGACGGACCGCGGTAATACATATGTTTCTACTCGTGCGGCAGCTGCAGCTGCACCACCACCAGCACCACCACGAAACTACGCTGCTGGGCAGCCCCCTTCATCTTCTACTCACCAGCACCAGTGTCCATCTGCTCGCGTCATTTCAGCTCGCACATCTTTGCCAAGCACGAGCGGCGCGTCGGTTTTCTCAGCTTCCCGTCCCGGCACCCGTGCGGGGAGCTTGTCCACGCGCCATCGTGATCGACGTGGCGCTGCACCTTCAACATCGTCAGGCTCTGGGCCTCCGAGAACCGCTCAGCCTCCAACTGGGGTCTCGACCGCGGCGATCGGCCGCCATCTTCTTTCCGGCTCAAATGGTGCTGGAGGAACAGGATCTTCATCCGCGTCAACATCATCGCACAGAATCTGTTCCTTGACGACGTCTTTCGCTAGAAGTGCTGCTTCGACAAGAGCGCCCTCGCTTGTTCCCTCTGCTCGAGGGCCCGGTGGAGGATGCCGAGAGATTATGGAGCAGGGACTTGCCAAAACCGCAAAGCAGCACGTCGCGTGTAGTACCAAGACGGCATCCACAGAAGCGACCACGGCCTCAGCTCAGCGCTATTTGCCTCCGCGACCCGTACAGATGGCTGCAAAGATGCGCCCGCAAATCAGACTGCCTGCATCTTCCACTACCACAAGGAGCTCTTGCGTAACTAGCGGAAGAGCAACGCCGACGGCTTCAGCAAGTCGGATGGCCGTCGGCCCCACACCGGGTCAGTCGGGCAGAAGCGCCAGGACAAGCTTGGCAGGCACCAAAATAACGAACAACAACGGGCCGATGTTATTAAAAGTAGCTTCCTCGTCAAGCGCCAGCTCGAGCTCGACACGAGCACATTCGCGATCGAGAACCAAGGCCCCCCTGGATCAAGGGCGTAGCATGCTCTTTCCTTCGGGCGCAGTGTCGCCGCAGCATCAGCACCATGATTCCGCAATGACACGTCGTTCCGAAACCAGTCAGAGTTGTCCTCTAGAGGGGGAGGACAGCAGTGTCGGAGAGAGCTTTGCGTTCGGAGAAACCAATGGCACAAAACACAATCTGCAGGTGGAGGAGCAGCTGCAGCAGCAGCCTCGTCCGGATGAAAGGCTAATGCCTACGGAGGTTCTTGTGACCTGCACCTGTGTACCAGCTGGGACTGCTTGTGGTCCCGAACCCGATGCAGGACTGGATCGTCCGGATACAGACGCTGTGTCAACTACACGTTCAGGTGAGGTCGATAAGACGAATCCGATTCTGCGAGATGCCGACGTTTCTCCTCAGAACTCGCTCGGCGATCGAAGGAACATCTGCAGCTTGATCCTCGGGAATACAGCTCACAGTGCACCACCACCACGCGCTGGCCAAGTAGAAGTTCCTCAGAGCCTGAGTACTGGCCTCATTTGTTTAGGCGAGCCAGAACCCGTCCCCGAAGACACATCGCAAGTGACCGAGGGCGAAGTTGTTGATGAAGCCATCGTCCCGATTCTTCATTCGGCAGCGCTGACAAGAGATGCATGTAACTTGGTAACTGGAACTGGTCCACCTGTACAACAAGTTGCAGCTGTAGCCAAGAGTGAGAGCAGCGGCGGAAATGCTCTAGAAGAAGGACGACCCGCTGCCGCGGAGGATGCTGGCGGAATGGGGCAGGGTCAGGAGCAGAAATCGAAGATCAGAGGTGCGCAACAAGCGCTGAAAAATGCCGACGCCGATGCGAGGAGTGAACAGCAAGAGGATGCAGACGCAGCTATTGGGACGACAAGTCTTGTTGCTGCCGAATTTCGTCTTGCTGGCGGGGAGCGGAGGTTTTTAGGCCCAATATTGGACCCACAAGTAGCTTTACCGCAAGTGGTCGAGCAACACCCCGAGCTAAGGTGCAGGCCGCCTCCTTCGCTTCCAGAATTCCCCGTGAGTTTGACGAAACGTCGCGACAGCCCGGACGACGTAATTGATTCTAGTGATAGTGAAGCAGGACCAGCAGCGGAAGACGAGCAGGCACCGGACAACGTCCTCCTTCGATGTACATCACCACATACTGCTGCATCGCAATCGGCTAACGCTCGATTACAAATTTTCGAGACGTCGATTGCCCAACAATCAGGGCCTGACGCATGCAAAAGTAGTGCAATAATGGAACAGGCTCCCGGTGGCGGTAATCATGACGAACGGCATATGAGCGGGATTACAACGTTGCTCGAGCAAGAATTTCAGAAAATGAATTCGCTGAGATTGTCGCCTCAGCTCGACACCCGTTCGCTCATTCGCACTTCCCATGCCGCTCCGGATCCGGATTCCGGGACAACAAAATTAGATTACGTGAAAAATGGGTCTCCACCAGCGCCAGCGTCTCGCGACACATAAGCCTTCGACAGCTTGTGCCGTCAGATGAAAGAAGCCACCTTTATCTCTACAGGAGCGCTCCCGGATACTTGTTGTTGTTCCAGATAGAGCTCACTCGACTGAGGGTGTGTGAGATTACCTGCTGGCGACACAGAGCCTCGTCATGTCGAGTAGTGCGCCTCATCATGTCGAGTCATCTCTAGCGACAAGAAAACGAGCAGTGCGCCAGCGCCTCATCATGTCGAAAAAAGCAGAGAAAAGATATGTTTTTCATCGCTTTTTTCGCTCCACATGAAGAAAACTTGCCTCATGGTGATTGACCCTGAGCTCCTGTTTGCCTTTGAACACACGACGAGATGTATGTGGAAGCCGTGTAGTGTAGGAACAGAACCTGCTCTCATCTTCGCCTCTCAAGATTCTTCAGACGGGAGCGCCTGGCTGATAGTTCCTTTAGGAGAGAGTGATGTTGAGGGACATTCATAGGGTTTGGAATTTGAGAAAACTGGTCCGAGAGCTTGTCCGGGTTTTTATGCGATTCAGAAGAGTTGTGTCTTTAGCAGAGAAACAAGTGGCGTGCGCGTGGCAAGGTGGACGTTGCACAAGTAGCTCAAGGAAAAAGAGACAAGGAGCCCCAGGTGGTGCTTGGTCACCGAGTGTTGCAGGCCCATGCGTACAACCAAAGCTTCGCTCGCTATCAATCTGTTTATTGTTTCTTGATACTGATAGATTTAACACCAAAAGCAATGGCTTCTCAGGCCCGTGCGGTTCACAGGCCGTCGTATGGACGCCGGCGAGCGCTCTTTTTGCCGTTCGAGGAGGCGAAGAAGTACATGCGGGAGACAGTTGCTCTCATTCGCAGCGCTGCAGAGTTCAAGGATTGGAGTCGGTCCCCTTCTCGGCCTTCTTTCATTCCTTCGAATCCGCATTCGGTTTATCGCGGAAGAGGGTGGAAAAGCTACCCCGATTTCTGCAGCTACCCTCTGTCAAAGTTCGATCCCGCCAGCCCTCGCGTGTACAATGTTTGCCCCAAATTTGCTGCACTTCGGTGGGATGCAATACGTCGAACACGGGAGGCGCAGGGGCATTTCTTTGCGATTCTGCAAGATGCGCTCCCAGAGTACCAGGCACAAATGATCGCTCGACAAAAATCATCATTCTTCCTTTTTCGGAAAATGATTCCGACGAGCCATCAAGTAGATTCACGCCATCCCCATGGCGACCAGACACACGAGACGGCGACAAAGGGAAACACCTCTCGGAGAGAAAAGTGTGGAGATGAAGACGAGGACGGGACCAAGTTCACAGCGTATTACGAAGACAGGTGGATAGCTGTTCAGCTGAAGTTCTCCGGCTGCGAAAGCTTCAAAAGACGTGCGGTGTTGCGGAACAGATACTTGTTTAGTCGGGTGTCGCTACGTGACGACGTCGGCTTTGTCTTTTTGTGCGACGAGTCGGGAAAGTTTATGCTCGGCCGTCCAGGCGAGTTCCAAATCAAGGGACACAAGACACGCAGCGTCATTTTGAAAGATCTACAATTCACCTCGAAAGAGATGCTGCGGACTACCTTTGCAGCCTGGTGGAGCACTTTGAGGAGACGCAAACACGCAGAGTGGGTCGCTTGCCTCTCGTCGTTGTCTTCGCGCGAGCAGAGGCATTTGGCTTTCAGCGAAACTCTAAACCGACTCCTGTACGTTCCACTTGGCATCAAAGCGGACACTGGGAGTCTTGTGGACACAAATGTTGACGGCAACGTGCGACTGAATGGCGTTTGCTGTTTGCAGCGCGTCGCAACGAGGATCTACACGGACTGCCCGGCTCGTGCAGGATACATTTTTGATATGCACAGTAGTAGTGGTGGAGGGTACTTACAGGAGGCGACGCGCATCCGGTTGCACCGGAACCAAAGTCCAGCGATACGTTTGTGGTATTCCCGAGGAGACCGTCGACGAAGTCGATGCTTGTTTAGAAACGGTTGATGTCGAGAATGAGCAGAATGACGATCATGTCGCTCGTCGCCAAGCCTCTAGCTTCCGTTTCCGCGGAGTCTTCATTTTTCCGGCAGATTTTGTGCACTTGACAAAGAGAAAAAGCCGCACGGAGGATGGGGCGCCGTCACTGTGGAAGTACCGCATGACTGTCTATTCTCCAAGCTGTAGTCCGCTTCACTCGCGATCGAAAGGCAGACAACTAGTACAGGCACCGTATTACATTGACTTTAAGTCAATGTCGCGAAGCGAGCAACTTCGAAAGGCAAGCGCCTTACTGCGAGGTATCGCTATCGGTGTGACTGGAAACGTTGCTCAAGCAAAAAAGTCAGGGAATGAATTTGCGCATGGAATGAATGTCACGTGGCCTGAGAAGAGTAAGATCGCCTCTCCATCAGCGCCGTGGCACTAGCGGACACGAACATGTCGTGACACTGCGGAACATAGTCTCTCGCCAGTAGATGACTGACCACTACAGATGTTGTAGGCTCGCATCATCATCGGTTCGCATCTTTTCAAAAGAACGCACAGTTACGGATGCGTTGTGACGTTGTTCCACCTCTGTGTCTTTTCCATCCTACTTGTGCCCAAGTAAGTTTGTTCTAGTTGATGTCGGCTCTTTTTCGAGGGGACTCACGAGAGAAGTAAACACACAACGTATGATTCCGCCACTGTATGTCAAGTTGACGGGCAACGAAGCCGTGCATCATCATCGGCTGCATTCAATAAAAATAGATGCAGAGATGAACGCCACGCCCCGCTCCGCTTCCGCAAGCAGGACTTGAATTTCACTCATGTAGCACTTACAAAACACACATGCGGCAAGTAGACGAAGGGGGCCCGCAAAGACTGCACGACCACGACAGCGGTTCACCACCCTTATTGGACGACAGTGTAGCGCAGCAGCCTACGAACCCTTCCGTGGCCGAAACTTCGTTCTCAAATGCGCGGCGCCCGGGGCCCGTTGTCCCCTTGCGACCGCGACGGCAGAAACCACCAGCGTCCATGCCGTTGCTCATAGGCAAGGGCATCGGAACTGCACTGATTGCCACATTGCTGCTGCGTGTGTTCTTCCCGTACCCGTCGGAGGTTTTGGATTTCCTGCAATTGGATATCATCGACCCGGAGAGCGGCTTTCCCCGGCGTTGGCACATCAGGAACGTGCATTTCACCGTTTTGATGCGTCTGGCGTCTCCGCACGGAAGCACGATTTCGGGCGGTAGCATGCTCGGCACAAGGCTTGCTGGTGCGGAATCTTCGCACCTGCACCTCGATTTGGAGGAGCGGGAGCTGTTGGGTCTGGCCACTGAAACGGCCATTTTTGTCGCGAGCGGAGAGGCAAAAGCGCGGAAAGACGACATCGACAATCAGCACGATAACAAAAACGCCAGTACGAAGGAGATTCTTACTGATACTGGCCCCAAGCAAAGTGAACTGCAAGGGTCTGCTCCATCTTCATCTACGGCTAGCACCTCCTCGGGAGCGGCTTTGACACCTGCAGCCCTGCAAAATCTAAATCGCAGAGCTGTCATCACCTCCTTTCGAAGAGTAGAGGGAGAGGCGGAGAACGAGGGCAAGGTCGTTCCGAGGAACAACCCGAAGATGAATTCTAAGAGCGCCCACGACGTGCACTTTCTCAACGTCTTGGTGCGTGGGTTTCTGAGAGTAGGCGACGACGAGTTTCAAAGGCTCAAGGCCAAGAGGATGATTCGAGAGGTTCGAAACCGGGGGACCCGATACTTTTTCGATAACTTGTCCACAGAAGACAGGATTCGATTCCAAGATGGTGACGCGGACTTTGGACCTAAAGATGCAGCTGCACGCATCGGATTAGGGGGCAAGCAGGAAGATGCAGCTTTGAGCGGTGATATTAAACCGGTACTCGAAGACGACGAGTTGTATCCTTCTAAATTTCATTCGCTATCCCTAAAGAAGGCGAGCGTCGAGTCCAGCCTCTTCGTTGTTTTAGATGCACGCTTTCCAAAGCAGCTGATGCGATCGAATAATCACACAGACATACCTGACGATTACGACTTTCTAAAGCAGCACCGATACGAATACTACGGCAGTGCAACATCCGGCAGTAGGCCTGGAGATGCAAATTTAGATACGTTTGCGTGGTTGGATCATGACTTGAATGATCTCGTGCACGCTCTACACAAGAATCCCTGGAAGCAGGAGGAGAATTAAAGACAGCCAGAACGTGGTGCGGCGCTCACACGATTCGACAGGATGCGTTGCGCTCACACGATTCGACAACTGTCTACGTAGAGCATGGCGTTTCGAGCGACGTTTTCTTGCAGAGTCACGTCCGTGGCGCGGCGTTTTTTCTTCATCTAAAAAGTGCACACGGACGTGTGCGTTTTGGTGAGTGTTGAGATTGAGCTCCAAAATTTAAAGATGTTGCAGGGGCACCTGCAAGATCAAATCATCCTTGTACGTGAAATTTAGATCAAGTTCAAGATCCACCAGAAAGATAAAGACGATCTTGCGAAAGTAGTTCTACTGAGAGTCGTCTGGGTTAAAGTAAAAGTTAAACTAAAAGCAGATCCTCTTCCTAAGAAATTCCGAACTATTGATGGTTCTGTCTAGAAGTAGTCAGAAAACACTGACTGATCAGCAGTTTTGGATCCACAGATCACCGATGCATGATCTTGCTGAATGCGGAGTGAAAATCTAAATCGTAAATCGAATTTAAAGATCGGGATGCAATGCCAATTTAAAGATCCGCTCGGGCTTGAAGAAGCAAAGCAAGAAAATGACGATCTGCTTCGCGAGAAACTTACAAAATTTCGTCATCTATCGACCCTTCTCATTCCTTTTCGCATTTCTAAATTCTTCACCCAGGGACACTCGATTATCGGAATTGAGTCTTATCCGTAAGAACCCCAAAACTAGCACACAATGGCTCCGACTAAGAAGGTCACCCAGGCCAAGAAGACGGCCAAGAAGGTCACTTCTTCCGAGGCTTCCAAGTCCCGCAAGGTCCGCACCAATGTGCACTTCTTCCGCCCGAAGACCCGGTCCGTGGCCCGCGCCCCGAAGGCCCCGAAGAAGAGCGTGAACTCCATGAACAAGATGGACAAGTTCCGCATCCTGAAGTGCCCGGTCACCACGGAGTCCGCCATGAAGAAGATCGAGGAGATCAACACCCTGGTATTTTTGCTTACTACAACCACTTTACGAATGATCTAGAAGGATCTGCTCAGGCACGTTTAGGTTTGCAATTTTTTTCAACTGATAGCTGTCCCATGGCGATTCCTCACGGGAGGGATTTAGATACCTCTTATAGTGGCTGAGAGTTTTCGAATTTCAGGCTGTCGTGAGAGAGATTTGTACACGTTGAATATGCGAGTGGCTAGGAACTAGGGCTCCATGTGGAGTGAGAACTCATGTCCTCTGCTGTACCTAATAGATTACAACTCTCTGCCCGCTTGTGGAGGTAGACGACGAGGATTTCGACCAATAAAGGAGCTTGATGAATGTACCAAATCTAAATCAACTCCAAATCCCAGGTCTTCGTCTGCGACGTGAAGGCATCCAAGAGCCAGATCAAGGAGGCCGTCCAGTCTCTGTACGAGGTTAAGTGCCAAAAGATCAACACTTTGATCCGCCCGAACGGCACGAAGCGGGCCTACGTCCACCTCACCGCGGACCACGACGCCCTGGACGTCGCCAACCGCATCGGCGTCATCTAAATCGGTTTTCGATTTCGACAAAGGAATTTCGTGCGTTTTTTCTCGCACGCCATCATTCCTGCGGAAACTACAGTTTGGGACTTCACACGGAAACTTACGGGGAAGATGTCGAGAGTGAAAGTGTTACGATCAGACAACTTTGAGATTATTCGTAGTAGAGCCTGGCTCCGGTGCCAACATCTCTAACTGTAGCATCACGGCCATCTTGACCTTTCGTGAACTCATTGTTTGCTGAGACGACACGCAACATCTGCTGGACTCTTGTAAAACGGATAAGACGCTTCTGATATGGTTGTTGAAAAAAGGGGCTAGAGAGAGGGTGGCAGCGATTTTAGTGAGCTGCGCGATACTTCGAGACAGTGTTCATGATGCCGATCAGAATCGTGACAAGTCCGCTAGCAGCTTATGCGATGCTAGCTTACAGTGCGACGGAGGCACAAAATCTTCGCGCAGGTAAGTACAGTGGTCGGTGACGGGTCCTTGAATTTTTTTGTGTGTACGGATCTCTTTCATCTCCATTTCAAGCGGAGACTTCGACGATCTAAATTTTTTCCAGAATTGCGATCGCAGTCCGAAATTGACAAGAACGCCACGGATCAAGCCATTTGAATTCTGGGCATTCAAAGCGAAGTTGAGAGTGTGAAAATGATTCTTGTTCGCATGTATGATCGCCGTGCCCGCGACTCAACGTCAACATTGACCTTTCGCCTGTCAGACACACCAATCTAAATCTTTTCGTCCACATCAGTGAATGTCTCCGAAGTGAACAGGAGGCTGAAGGTCGTTGCTGTCTGTTTATGTGAAGTTTTGTAGCATTGCAAGTGGGTGGAAGCATCGCCTTTTCTGCTCATTATACTCACCGCAATTCCTCGCTCACAGTTTTCAGTCAATTTCTTCAGTTGTTGCGACTTCGGTAAGTGAACTTGCTGTGTGCGAAGTGGCCAAATTTAGAAGAACGTAGTGGCATTCGTAAATAGAAATAGTATCGACGGTGGCGGAGCGGCTAGTTGCAAAACATGACTTCCAACCAGAGCGTTCGCTTTCGTTCGGAGCGATCCATGGGCATCGACGTCGAAGCGACAGCAGCAATTTTCTGAAACGAAGCGCTCGCTGAAACATTCGGGCTCACGAACAGTATGCCAGTGCTAACAACACCGTCAACCGCGAGCTCGTCTTGCGTGAGTCGAGAATCGCAACACGGTGGCACGATGATGTCAACGTCGATGTCGCGCTACAACACTGCGTCCCCAGGAGCGTCGAGAAATCTGATGGACGATTTCCTAGATTGCTCGCAGTCGATGTCTCCTGTGGAGCACGACCACCAGGGCGACCAGTTTTTCAGCTTCGTGTGCAATGAAGGGCAACCGACCACGAGGGCGTCATTTTCAAGGTCCTCGCCTTCGGCACCGGCACCTTCGTGTCGCGTCGTGAACCTCGACGCCCTCGCCCAGCACCTGATTCGGTACGGCATTCGGCACATCAAGAATCCACACGAGAAATTCAGTAATCTGTCAAACGAAGAGCTTTCGCAGCTGTTTGAAAAATTGGAAAAGCGGAATGCGCTCCTGGACAACATTCTACAGTGCTCCCTTGGGCCAAACGTGGAGACGTTGTGTCTGCAGAGCTGTTACGCGATCCGGAAGGCCACACTGTATTCGATTGCGCAGAAGTGCCCGAATCTGCATTTCATCGATCTGTCCGGCTGTGCGCAGGTCGAGAACCGTGTGATCGAGCAACTCTTGCTGCATTGTACGAAGCTTCGCACCCTCATTCTGGACGACGTTCGCCGGGTCACGGACGGCGCGTTTTGTCGAGTTGAGCCACGGAGCCGAAATGTCGTTGAGCGGGAAAGAAGACGGCGAGAAGTGCTGGAGACCGCGAATCAAGAACTACGCGGGCGAAGAAGACTTCAAGAAGCGGCTGCTGCTGCTGCTGCAATCGGACCGTCGACGAGTCTGGGCGCTTCTTCGAGCAATAGCACTACTGAGCAGCATCTGGGAGTAGATGGCAGCATGGAGATGGCGAGTCAGCACTCCGACATTGCAGCACCGCAATCAACGTTGCATGGATCTTCTGATGGCACAGAGGCTGCTCGAAGCCATGCTACATCAGCACGTGGACCGACGGACCAGGAGGCTGATGCTACCTCAAAGCGTTCCGGTGAAACAAAGCGGCTGCGCGACTTCCTGGTGAGTACGAAGAATCTGGTTCCGATCACGAAAGCCAAGGTTCAAATAGAATCGAGAAGTCTTGTGAAAAGCAAACCTCGTTGCAAGTCTACGCTGACGTTGAAGAGCAGCAGTGGCAAGCAAGCGGGCGTCGGTGAGGATAGTGGAAAGCAAAGCATATCGAGCAGTTGCGGCAGCTCGAAAGCTGTGCGACATGGTCATGTAGTACTCGGCAATAGTACTAGTTCGTCGTCGCACGGCACAGCCCATTCGACTGCGTCTGGGCGCACCAGGCACCTGAGTCTCCCGATCTCGGCGTCGCATCACCCAAGCTCCTCCAGTTTCTTCTGCGGTGAGCACGAGAAGGCCAACACCAGCACGAACAGAAACGTAAATGCAGGTGCGGGTGGTGCGCGAACCCACCGACAAGGTTTCTCGACTTGCCGGCAAAAACTTTCGCCCAGTCGGAAGCCACTGAATAAGACATCGCCCACTCTTTCGCCCGCTACGGAAACGACTCTGCTTAGTCCCATCCCCGTCCTTGGGGGGAGTGCAAGTGTGTCAGAAGTATTAATTGCAGGTCGGAGTACGCCTTCACCTGTAGTATTTGGCCCAAGTAGTTCGGAGCGTAACAAGTCCTCTGCCTCGAGCCCAGGAACTTGCAGCACTATCTCGTGCACGCCGAATCACCGTCCGTCCTCGCCTCGTGTTCGAGTTTGCGCGCCATCCTCGAAAAGTACGGTCAGGTTTGTTGAAGATGGAGATTCGAACAAAATGAGTGCGGAACAACTACTGGGACCCAGATCATCTTCGGAAGCTGCACCAGCGCCACCAGTAAAAAAACTATCGTCTCACTTCAAATCCTCGTCTTCCTCGAGCACGACGGGATTGGCCAACCTGCGGGAACTTTCCCTTTGCCGCAACAGTCAGATCAGTGCGCAGGGCGTGCAGCACATCCTGCGACGCGCAAAGCAATTGCGGTCGATCAAGCTGTCAGGTTGCAATCTGCAGCTGACGGAGAACATTCTTTGCCTCATATTCGGGAAAAAGAAAAAGGATTTCCTGCAGATTGTGGATTTGTCCTTCTTGACCGGCCCGGTGGAGTCACTCGAGTACCTGTTGCCCGAAAACACGCTGCGCGAGCTGAACCTCGGACACACCAACCTCACCGACAGCGGCGTCCAACGGATCCGGAAATTCTGTAAGGGGAGTCTCGAGAAACTGCTCTTACCGTGGTGCGGCCAGATTACCGACCAGGCATTTGTACACGAGTTGGAAGACGGCGAGAACTACGACATGGACAGCCTGCGGGTGCTGGACGTGTGTGGCACCGCCATATCGGACGAGACGCTGCGCAGATTTGTCTTGCCGCACCTGCCGAAGCTCGAGGAGCTCGACATCTCTTGGTGCCAGAGCGTGCGGCTGCAGAAGGTCAATTTCGCCGAAGCGCGGTTCAGCCAAGAAACGGAGGAGCGTGGTAGCGAAACTTTGCAGTTGAAGAAATCGCCCTCCCTTTGTCAACTTTCAAGAGCACCAGCATCACTGACCGGCGAAGCTGCGACCAGTAGCGCTGGTTGCGTGGGTCTACTTCCCGACAACACCAATCAAAACGTGCTGACGGCAGATAATAGGCGCGGCAGCATTGATCTAGTGCCGGCAGAATTTGATTTTCCGCGAACGCAATCACTGAGGAACGGTACCTCAACATCGGGTGTAGCGAGCGGTTCTCGCGGGGGGCCATCTTCAACTGCAACAACTACAAGCAGGTCCTCTTCAGCGGAACGGCGACTCAACGGAAGTTTCTTGCACATCGCGAGCGCCGCGTCGCGAAACTCGACTCCGAGCTGCTCCGGGGCTGCTTCACGTTCACCGGCGCGATCGCACGGTCTATCAGGGAGCACGCGGCACCGAGAGCATCCAGAAAACGTTTCTCCTACGGGGCCGACAACTTGCGGTGACAGAGAACAGCAGCTCGACAAAGCGCATGGTCCCGCAACCGAAATTAAAAGCAAGAAAAGTCTCCGACCGGGTGGCTTGACAGCGCTTACGTTCACTGGACTTTGGAACTTGGACGAGCGGGCAATTATCCAAGCCCCGCAACGCGTCCTCGGTCTTTCAGCCTCCTTGCAAACTCTGCGCCTCGACAGTATCGAATTACTGGGCACCGACTCGGTCTTGCGAAGCATCGCCGCACACTGTCCGAATCTGCAGTCGTTAGGATTGCAAATCAAGTCCTCGCTCGCCGTTGCGACAACGATCCCGGAAGGTAGAAAAATCGAAGACACAACAAGCGACTGCAGCTTGGCCAACCGAAACAACCCCTTCGTCGTGATCTCGAACCACTGCCCGCACATCCATTCCCTTTCTATCGACTGCGCGCAGCCCAGTCTGCTCGTGCCCGCGCTGGCGGCCCGCGAAACGTTTCCACAGCTGAAAATCTTGCGCACGCGCTGTCCGTTCTTTGACAACGACTTGGAGGATATTTTGCGAACTAAGACGAACTTGGAGCAGCTCACGCTCGATGATGTGAATCTCGCGGACGAAACGCTGGCGCGCTGGTACAACGACGAGTCCAGAACGGGGGCTTCCTTGCAACTGGAGTCCCTTCTCACGTTTCACATTCGCGCGCACCAACTGACCGACTTGGGAGCAAGCTACCTGGCGAAACTGCTACCCTCTGTGCTTGCGGTGGAATTAGACTCGCCGTTTTTGACCAAGGACGCCCTGCAATTTTTTCTGGCCGCGGACGCGAGCCAATACCTCCGGCAAGTGCAGATCACGTCCGGCAGGGACGGTCGTAAATACAACTGGTCGGGTGACAAAAAGCGCGACACAGAGTGGAAAATGCAACAAAGCATGCGCCTCGCCGCCCTCAAGGAAGCGAGCGCCTCCGAGCGCGAACAGAGCGACTGAATTGAAAAAAGTAAAGTTGTCATCTGTGTCAACAAGAGTAGTTTTTATGCTCAGCGACATTGTTGGACATGGGCTAAAAAACTTTTGCCCATCATCAAAAACAGTACAGTATACAGTAGTAGAGCGACTTTCATGATTAACATGACATCCTCACGCGCCGGCCATCTCTGCAGCCGGCTGCAGGGCCCAAGCTTTTTCGCAAGCTTAATTGCGAAGGTCAAGCCGCCATAGGCATCGCAACGAAGATTTTTTGTTCTGTTTGTTTGTCAAGCCCATTGATGTTGATTTCCTGTTGCTGTGCAGGGCACTACCATGGGGAGTCGCAATGGAGCGTGTAATCAAAAAGCCGAAGCCGATGAGGATTATTGCAGCAATTATACGGCTTGCATGAGAGGGACGCTCTGCTCTTTTTCAAAAAAACTCAAACCGAGAAAGTTGCGTTGATGTTGACGTTGAAAGACAGAGGGACATTCAGACTGGTGCTATAGTTGATTGAGTTTGGGGGACGATGGAGTGGAATTAGGTGGATCTTCAACCTGAAGAAAGAGAGCTTAAAAACAAAGTGAGCATTCCTCGTCTTCCTTCAACCCAAAGATGGCTTCCGACGCTGCCGGACAGGCGGGCCTGGCCCGGCTGACGCACCTGTTTGAGAGTACCTTGACCGAAGACGACCCGCACGGCGTGAACTCGTTTGCGCACTATGAAACGCTTCTGGAGTCGCAGGGCGATGTGGATATCGCCGCGGGCTTTGTGCTCATGGCCATGGCACTGCAGGAGAAGCCGCATCTGCACGACAAGGCGATTCTGGCGTACCGGCGGGTTCTCCTGCTCATCGAAGATAAGTTGCAAAGCGAGCGGCAGCCCTCAAAAATCCGCAAGAAAAAGTGGGAGAAGTGCAGCGTGTATCAACAGATCGCCAAGTTGAATCTGTTGAAGAAGAATTTCCCCGAGGCCGAGCGTCTTCTGCTCGACTTGCTTGACTACATTCCGGACGAGGAACCGGATAACAACGGGCGGATTTTCGACGGAGAAAAGGGTGACAATGCGCAAGGCTTCAATTTTGGATACACGAAGACCGAGTTCCGCGCGCACGTGCACAAAATGCTCTGCAACTGCTACCACAACACGAACGAGACAGAGAAATGCAAGCTGCACTACCAATTGAGCATAAATCTACTCACGGACGGAGGACAGAAGGTGTTTGCGTCTTCGTTTTTGTTGTGTATGTGTTTGAGTTTGTAGTGCAGCTGCTAGCCTGCCTAGTAGAAAACAAAAATCGCTTCCCATTCATTTCGCGTCACTCATTTCATTATCTTGATCTTGAGTTCTTGATCATGGCAACTAACTACCTTCGTCTGCAAAACACAGCTTACGTCGGCCGTTCCGCGGGACATCCAGTCAAAGATTGCGGAGCAGAAAAAGGAAAAGTACACCTGGGACAAGATGGATGACGTGAAGATCGCCCCGCTGGACGCGACCAGCTACTCCTGGGACTCGAGTGCCAATAACGGCACGGTGTCGGTGTATGTGAAGCTACCGCCCGAGATCACGAGCGGGGAGCAGGTCAAGGTGTCCTACCCGGGCGAGAGTTCCGACTGCGTCTTCCTGCGGATGCGGGTCGATGATAACAAAAAGGAGTACCGGCTGGTGCTGTCGCCGTTGCGGCACGCGATCAACACGGAGGACACGGTGGCAAAGATGGTCTCGAAGAAATCCGGGAAGAAGTACTCACTCCTCCTTTTCATCAAGGAAAAAGACTACAAGCGCTGGGGCGAAAACCTCCTGCAAGATGGGCCGAACAAGTACGCATTTTTGATTCTTTACGCAATGCTCTCCTCGTATGTGCCGGCTAAGCTGCTAGGACTTCTTCTTGTGCTTTAGTAATCTTGCTCATTTAATAAAAACAATAGTTCTGAAGAGTCGATGGAATCCTACTTGTTTCATAGAGCGTACCACAAGAAACACATGGATTCATCTACAGTTGTTACTTTTGTTTGTCATTTAGGTTCAAGCACCTGCTGCAAGCAGAGTCCAAGGACAAGAAACCCCTGCCGACACTGGAAGAGTTCGACGAGCGCGTCAAGAGTCTACCCACGCCCCAGGAAAACAATTTTGCCGCTACGCAGAAACTTAAAACAGCTGCGGACGTCGTGGACGAGACAAAGATAAACAAGCCGAGCATAGGTGCGACTAACGGATCGAAAGCAAAAGCGGAAAAAAAATCCGCGCCTGTCGCGAGTGCTTCTACAGTTGCCTCTTCCGTGCCGGTCTCAGTGGCAGTTGAGAAAAAGGTAGCGGAAGAAGTAGAAACAAAGAACGAAGCGAACCCCGTTGTGGTCGTGACACCGCCACCAGCGCCCGGCGTGACGATAATCGACGCGAAGGCCCTTTCATCAGCGGGGGCAATAAGCCCGGAGCCACCAGCCTGGGCATCCGGCCTGCAATTTTCGGAAGGCAAGAGTTTACTGTTCAGCGGAGTCGGCCCGGAGATCGAATTAGACATGGAGATTTCGGAGACTTCGGTACGAATAACAGCAAGCGGATTCGAGCCCGTGGAATTCAAGCTCGCAGAAGGCGCGGGCAGGAAAATTGACGCCGGATGCTCAGCAGCCAAAAGAAAAAAGAAGAAGGAAACATTCGAAATCATCTTTGCGTACGTGTGAAACACGATGTCGTGGGCGCCGTCTCTTTGTAGAGATTTTGCTTTGCTTGCCCATTTTCACAGCGAACGGGACACCACTTGCCGTGCAACTCGAGGAGTCATGAGCAGTTTTTGAAGTAGCGCAACCACTAGAGCCAGAGTTGAGTTCTTGAAAGAATAGCTGCGCGGTTTGGCGGCAAGGTCTTTCGTTTCTTTGCCGCATTTATATGTCGAAAAAGGCGCCGCCATCATGGCATCTTCCCTGCAATGATGTTCCTGTGATCGCAGCAAGTGCTAACTTGCATAAATTTGGAGGTCAATGAACATGTCACGACTACTAGCTCGTGAGAGAGAATCAACGACTGTTGAGAGTGGCGGCTAGTGGCCCTGCATCTTGTTTTGCTGGTGTATATTTACCAGATCCACATTTTGATTTTTCATTATTCGTCGTTACACTTACAACCGTGGTAGCTCCGTACCTCGAGAATAAAGAAATAAAACAATGACGATCGCAGTCTCCCCTGAAGAAACTGCACGTGGGTCCCAAGACCGGGTTCCACCTGATGGAAAAAATTACTCTGCCGACAAGACGGGCGAGGAAGAGAAATTCCGTTCGTACAACCTGCCGCAGGACGATGAAAAAGCCGGCACTGCTGCTGGTGTGCCGGCGGGGAATACGTCCTCGTCACAGAAATCGAGTGCGGCGGGCTACAATGCTGCCATGGAATCGAACCAGGACAGCCGCGTCCCGCTGTGCATGCGGCTAATCGACTGGAGCAAGCGGCCGGAGCCGTCCGACGGCGGGCCGGTCCAGGTCCGCGTGGAGTGTTTTTTCGGCAACTGGGAGGTCCGACCGGTGGACGGGAAGGAGCGGTTTTTTCTCACCGTGAAGCTGACCCTCTGGTGGACGGACGAGCGGTTCATGATCGGCTGCAAAAAGGCGTATGAAGGCGAGCCCATCAGTGAGGTCAAGCAGCGGTATCGTAAATTGTCCACGACGGAGATCACCAACGCGGATCTTCCCCTGGATCAAGTCCTCGGAGACCATTGGCCGTACGAAACCACGCCCACAAACATTTGGCGGCCCGAGATCTTTTCGCTCTACGTTTTGGATGTGTTGAAGGTTCCAGAGAATTACCAGGAGATTCCAGTGACGTTCATGAAGCCGGGCAAATTCGGCACCGACGGGCTGTTACAGTGGCAAATCGCGTTTGAGCCTCTGGACATGGACATGCTGCGCGACAGCAACGCTCTGAAAGTCTTCCCCTTCGATTCCTTCCGGTGCGACTTCGGAATTTGCTTGAGCGGCGAGACCCGACTTGAGTCCGCCGCGCAGATCCGCCCGACGTTTCACAACGAGGACAAGGACGGGAAGGAATACCACGTCCACTGGCGGTGCGCGTTGAACAACGGAGAATTCTACATTCACAGCATGTCCTACGCGGAAGCCATCCACGGCTCGCCGCTCATCGAAAACCAGTCGTATCGGGACCTAATTTTTTCCCTGCACGTCGCGAGAGACCCCAGTTTCTACCTGTACAAGGGGCTTCTGCCACTTCTCGCGATCACGTGTTTCGGGTTCCTCGGTTTCTTCCTCGAGACCGACGCGCTGGCCGACCGGCTGGCGCTCTATTCCACCATGTTCCTCACCTGTTTCGCGGTGCAGTGGATCACGATGGACCGGCTGCCCAGAGTGGCGTATCTGACGGTTTTTGACGACATCGTACTCGGCGTCGGAGCGGCGTTGTTCTTCATGTCCTGTGGGGCCGGGGTCGCAAAAATGTTGCAGCGGAAATGGAACCGAGGCAACGGCGAAAACAATGGCATTGCCCACCCAGACGATTTCGACTTCGCGTTCGGCGTGGCTCTGGGTGTGGTGTTTGTCCTCTACGTTATCTACTGTCTTGGGTACAAGGTGAAGCGCGACCGGAAGAAATACGGCATGAGCCGGAAGCTCGGGTTTGAGTCGCTCTTCACGATCCAAGAAGCATACAGAAAAAGCTTTGAACAGGAACAAAAAGCAGGTGGCTCGCAACAGAAATACGAGGAGGGATTTATCATCGGAGAACGAATGCCCGCGGAAAAATTTTGAGAAAAAAAATGTAAATGGTAATGAATATGAAGTTATTTCAGATGGGTGCGTGTGCGTCAAGCCGGCGTGGTCCAGCATGATACTGTTGTACTTCTACTTGATTGTTTCGCTGTATGGATCTGACGTACGTATTCGTTTCAAGAAAAGATGAACTCTGATAGAACAACGAGAAGGTGGTCTGTCTTAGTTTGCCATTTCCGGAATTCATTTATTTGAGATGTTGATGTTGTCTTTCCCCCTCGTGTCGTATCTGTTCCACATGGTGATACGCGAAGTCCGCCTTTAGGTTTAGGTATAGGTTTACGATTAGCATCACTGTCCTCGTGCGTCTCTGTGATAGTGATTTATTTGCAAACTCAAAGAAAAAGATAAAGATGAAGATCATCGGTAAGCAGCTCATCGGTTCGTCGGTTTTACTTCCGCGTTGGTCGTTGCACGCTGTCACATTGAGTGAAACTACAAGGCAGCCCACCATGATGTCTTCGTAATATTGGAGGTAGATCATCGGTTCACGTTATTCTTCGTGCGCAAAAATAAATTCGTATGCCGCGTCCAGCATTTGCTTGATTGCCGTCGGTCCGTTTCGTACAGAAGTTGCGCAGTATTTTTTCGGTTCAACGTTCATCACCGTGCCTGTCTTGTTCGCCTGCTCGCTCCACCTCGTACATCATCCTGGCAAGTAGCGCCTCGTGCGTACGTGTACATCTGATGAGACAATGAATTTAGTTGTCAATTTTTCCGAGTTTCTTCAGAGCTTTTGAGTATCCCTCGCCATTCCCGCGCCCGTTCCCCTTGCGTTTTTCTATACGAAGATAACCGATACGAAGTTTTAGCAGTAGACGTGAAGGTGGACCACCTACATATCAAATAGGCGGAAAGAATTAGCGGGGTACGGGTCAGACTCTATCTGTAGCCTCCCTTGCCCTTTTTGTTTTTGTCGTGTTTCGTTTCGCTTCCTCTTCCCGTAGTGAGCAGTAAGTAAAACAAGGCAGCAAGAACGTTATGGCGATTCACTTGCGGAAGGTTTCTGTGTTATCGGCGATCTTGCCGGGTCCCCTCGTTGTCGCCGCACAGGACAGAGTTGTTGCAGGATCGCCGGACAAGCTGGAAACGGCAGACAGGACCACCGGCGCCGCGCAAGTCGATGTCGACACGGAGATCCGCGCGGACGCGACGGAGATCCGCGCGGACGGCGACGAGAATTCAGCGGGAAGTGTGGGGTCATCCGAGGAAGACTCTCAGCAAAATCAGAATCGTAACAGCGAGGACAGAAGGAAAAGCCCTTTTTCGGTCGGAAAGGCACCGCTCTCGCTGGAAGACGACGAAGCTTTTCTCGAAGTGGAGCGACAGTTTCAGGCGACGCTGCATCGACGTACTGGTACTACTCATTCGGTGCAGCGACGTGCTGCTGGTGGTGCCTCTGTACCTGCTAAAAAGCGTGCTGCCTCTCCCCCTCCTGGGCGGGGACCTATTGTAGCTGCTTCTCCGAGGACACAACACCAACAGGTTGCAGGGGCACGCGCCGGCGGAACAAGACCGGGGTCGCCGGCTTCGACACCACGCAACTCTGGCACTGCCCCCTTGCAGCAGGGAGTCAGCGGGCCGCCCTCGGTCGCGGCAAGTAAGCCGCTATCTCAACGTCAACCTGATGCTGCTCAGCTGCGAGACTATGGCGGGGGTTCTTCGGCAAAACCAAAAGCTACAGCTAAACCTGTTATGGTCGTACGACAGCCAGCACATCCGTCTGATCATGCAACTGCAGGTGGAGCGGATCTTCATCATTTACGTGTCGCTGCGAACCGCGCCCGATCGCTGCCTGCTCAACGTCAACATCAACAGCCCGTGGCCCAGTCTTCACCCCGGTCTCCGCCAACGAGCGCTCGTGGTGCTTCTCAAAAAACAGTTCCTTCTTCAGGCAGACCTGCTATGGAATTCTCAAAAAACAGACCTGCTCCTTCGTCGCCTGTTGCTATGGAATTACGATCTCCAGCATCTAGCCCTAGAGGTCGCAGCAGCGCCGCTAAACAGACAGTTAACTCTCCCGCAAAATCTTCGGGAGTAGTCGCTACACCACGGACAGCAAGTAGCACCAGAGCGCATGCTCATGATGAGCATGCAGTTCCTGCTGCTCGAACCACGAGCAGCGGGACGCCCAGAAGAAGTGAAAGAGGTGGAGAAACTCACTCAGCAAGTCGAAGTACTTCTCAAAAACAACCGCAACCAGCTGCATCCTACCGAGGGCGATCGCGCCAGGAAAGATATCAGGGAGTCTCTTCGGGGGATGCACAGATTCGAATGAACGGCGAGGACTTCGACTTCCGAATTGACAAACATGTTTCGCAGAACAAGAACTCCCGCCAAAGCTGCCCAGACTTGACTCTCAACGAGGTCCTCGAGGAAATTGAAAGCTCAAAGGATCAAAAACGCCCTGAAGCAGGGTTTGCCCGTCCCGGACGCGTTAGTTCGCTTCTCGACGACCGCAACATGCATCCAGACTGCATTATCTACCAGCAGCTGGCGAACCCGGATGTCAAGCACAAGGTTTTGCGAAATGTCAAGTCTAAATCGCTGACCCGTCGTGGGGGTCGTGGAACTGCTTCCCCCGCGGTGAGGATTGCGTTTTCTCCCCTCGGGTATGCGTTGCACCTCGGGAAGAAGGGAAAATTTCTCGAGTTGATGAAACTCCGCGCAATGCAACAGCAGACCGTAGAGCAGAAGCTCGTCGTTCCGCGCGATGCGATTCTGGCTTTAGCGGCAGAGTATGAAATCCGGGAAGAGGAGATTGATGCAATCTCTCGTGTCTGGTCGCTGTCAAAGGAGCCGACGGGGGCGCAAGACAAAATTGATAGCATTATGAGCTTCCTGAGCATCGGGAAGCACAAAAGCGAAAGCGTCATGAGATTGATACTGGGCAGAATGCACCAGTATGAAAAATGGATGTATCTCGGACTGAAACAATATTTCCAGGCCCAGGAGGAAGTAGACGACGCATCGTTTGATCTTGGCAATTTGTTCGACTAGGTAGTAGGTACCGGACGATGTGGCACCGTCCGCCAGGACAAGGGGACGATCCGGTGTAGCAACATTTTCCTGATCTAGTTTCTTTTTCTGTTGCATGTGCTAGATGTAGATGTAGTACGGAAATCATGAATATGATTCTAGCAGACACTTCAGCTTGTTATTGTCCTAGTCAGCGTGGACAATCAAAATGAAAATCTAAACCGTTGCGCTTGCGGTGGCAGCTACATAAATGATAAATGAAAATGAAGTTATCGCTGCTTTGACCGCTACTTAATCAGTAGTATCCTCTCTATCGCCTACGACCTAGCTATCAACCGCATCAAATTTAGAAGTACAAAGCTTGTAGTTGGGCGTTTGAAGCGATCGAATTTAGTATTACGCGTTTGATGAAACGCCTGCTTGTTGTAGTTTTCGTTTGCTATCGTGTAGCTTTTTCCAGATTTCATCTTCGGGTCTATCAATCTCTCACGATTTTGAAGATCAATTTTGCGATGTTGAATTTCTTTCTGTCCAGTGTCACATGTGCATGTGCTGCCCGGGACTGCATATTTCGTGCAAATGCGGCGCTTTTCTGATGTTCCTTTTTTGGTTTTTCGATTTTCAATCGGTAATTCATCGCCAGAAGTAATAAAGGCACAACATCGGACGGTTGCAACCCGCGCGCCGCGTGATTCATTCGGTCCTAGTACACACAGAATTCAACGAAGTGGTTAGTCTTCGGTCTAGGACGTCGTTTTACGTGACTTTGTGTGCTAACTGCTCTGGTGCTCTCCCAGCTGCTTTTGAACAACTCACATTGGGCTTAAATCTCGATGTCCTGCTCCTGCGTTTGTCAAAGCGAAAGTGCGAAGAAAGTCCTCGCGCAACAGGAGTATGGTTGATTGCGTGCAGTTGCAAAGAGGGAGGAGGTCGAGATAATGTAAGAATGGCTACGGCTTCAAAGAGATGAGGCACACGCACGAGCAGTAGAAAAAGAAATGATAACGAATAGGCTAGTACAAGAACCTATTTGGAAGACGAAGATAAGCATAAGAAAGCTCTTTAGGTTCGTGCAGAGCATTTTCGAAGATAAAGCCGCAATATCAACACACGCACCTGAAGCAGGTCCCTAACCCCAACTGCCCAAAAGCCTCCTCCTGTCGATGTGTAGTAGAGCTAGCACGGATAGATGACACAGGCGCATGCGCACCCTAACGCTAAGAATGAGCAGAGATCGTTTCATCTTACCTCCCACCATGACTTGACCATGCAGTCCTCCAGTAAATTTTCACAACGAATTTGAACGCCCAACCCGGGTGACGGTGTGTGACGTTGGCGACAAAATATGTATTCATGGACGATGGGCTAGCTTTAGCTTTCTCATGCACTTTATTCTTCACATAAGACCAGTAAGACCACAGCGCAAGAAGCATTTCCATTTTAATATTCTGTTTTCTCCAAGAACTTCTGTAGCGAGTCGCTCAGAAGATCAAGATCATAGATATCAGCATCGTAGGTTTTCCACGCAGCACGCCAGCACCTCGCAATTACCTTTCTGAAACTACCTCCTAATCGCATCTTTATCTTTTCGATTTCGTCGGAAATTATCATTAACATCGATGTGCGCATCTCCAAGGAGCAAAAATTATTGTATTCCTCCACGCTTTCGTTTCGTGGTGGTGGATAGGTGTAGAAAAAGTCAAGAGGATGAACCAATCGTCGTAGCCGCAGCCCAACAAGAAGCACCCGAGACACGAAAATATGTCCACCGCTTCGACGCGCACTTCGAGTATTGAGAATGCGGCCGGGTCTCAGCAGCTCATCAACACGCCAAAGCTCTTTTCCACCACGGGAAACGTGGGTAAATCTGATACCGCCCCCTCCTCGCGAAAGTTATTCCTTCTAAAGGACCATGAGGACGATCTTGAGCAGCTGCGGCTAGCTCCAAAAGGAAGAACGAGTGGCACTGGCAACACAAACAACGGTCACGAGGAGTTCGCAAATCCTAATCGCAAGAGCGGAAGCGGAGGAAACTACGCTCTAGCACAGCCTCAACTTCCTGCTTACGTGCCGAGCAATAGCCCGCATTTGAATTATCCCTACTCATCAACAGCCAGCCCGAGCCTATACAAGCTCAGCGGTAGCACACCTGGAGGACTACTAGCCTCTCCGCCTCACCATCAGCTTCTACGTGCTGACAAGTCCGCGGCGCTTCCCCGAACATCAAGCCAGCGCGTCAGCCACATCGTTGACGACAGCAGCATCATGGCCGCCTGTCTACAGGGCGTGCTCCACTGGTGGGGGCGCGCGTGTTGTCTCGGGTTTGAGCCCCCCGTGGTGGCGATAAAACGGAAATCGTCTTCCTCCCAATTGTATAGCGCTGGGTCCGCGAACGCAGCGGGTGCTGGTGCTCAGGCGCAGCCAGTACAACAATCCCCAGGCTTGTTCCCGCATTCTTCGTTCTCTTTCGGTTTTCCGGGCGGGGGAGTCTTGTCTTCACAAGGTGGACAACTTCAACCTAGCTCCGGAGGCTTTGCGACAGCTCACGACCACTCAGACTTTGAGCGTATGCCGAGTCGCGAACTCACCAGGTCACACTCCAGTGCGGGATTCCACACGTGTGAGTCGGAGGCAAATCGCAGCGCCAGCGACCGCGACCAGGGGTGGCGAAGGCATCGGTCTGCCGCGGGAGGACCCGGAGTACCAAACGGGACCGCGGCAGCGACAGGAAGCAGTTATGGGAACTACAGGCAGAATCCACAACTTCCCGGCTCCGTATCGTCAACCCCTCAAGGCACTCTTACGGCAGGAGCTGGGAAGATTTCAAGCACCAACTCCGCCACGCACAGCAAGTTCCGGCGCACTCCAGCGAGCTACCAAAAGAACCTGGAGACGCAGACGTACGAGCAGCGGGACGACCGCGACAATCTGATGTTCGAGCGCCTCGAGAAACTTTTCGCGCGCGAGTTTGCTCCGAAGCATGGAGGTTTTCGGCTGGACGAATCATTGATCTGGCAGTTTGTCTTCGGGTACCGCAAGGAGCGCGACCGTAGCCAAGTCACGGAGCGCTGTTTCCGCATGGCCATGCAGGAGCGAAGCAAGCTCGGGCTGCTTTCAACCGCTTCATCTAGCAGCGCGACGCCCAGCCCCTCCATGAAAAGGGATCAGAACAACCCTAACAGTGGAAAAGCAAGAATTTCCGAAAACACAGCGGAATTTTTCGCGGCGAGTGGTCAGGAAGATTTAGCTCGGCTCACGCACGCTCACTCGGCGCCACCAGGAGGTGCGGGCACGACCGCGAGCCAGCAGAAGGCTGCTGTAGCATCAACAGCCTTGATCCCGCCCCCGTTCACGTACGCCGTGGCGCACTTGTCCGCACGGGAGCGCCAGTGGCTGGACTACGAGGTTTTGCACCTCGGATACGAGACCTTTTATGGGTATCCGGTTTTGTGGCATCTGTTGGACTTCTCCGCGATCGATGAGGTGGGGAGCGAGCGCATGCTGGAACCCATGCTGCAGATGGAGTACTGCGTCACGGAAAACATACGGCGGCTGAACGGAACTCTGGTGGAGAAGATGCGGACAAATCACGCGATTCTAGAAGATGAACAGGAAAAGACTACAAATAGAAACCAAGAACCATCTGCAACATCCTCGTCAGCTGCTCAGGAAGATCGTGACACGACCTCAGTTTTGCAGTACAAAAACGTCATAGTGCTCGATATGGCGTGGACGCTGAAGTCGCAGAAGAACTTGCAGCGGAAAATCCAATTTTTCGCGGAGTTCGTGAAGCGGTACGAGTATTTCAGCCCGGACTCGGCGTACAAGATTCTGCTGATCAACTCGCCCTTCATTTTCCAGATGATTTGGGGCGCCATCTCGGTCTTTCTGTCGCCGACCACCAAGAACAAAGTGAAGATCTTCGGCAAGGACTACGCAAAAAAGCTGAAGGCCGAGGGCCTGTCGGACGAGAACATCCTCTACTCGTCCGGCGGCTACCGACGCGTGACGGGCATTCAGAAGTTCGGCTTGGAAGGCAGGGGTGTGGACCTCTGCAAAAAAAGCGTGCGCGTCGTCGGAAGCAGCAGCAGCAACCTGCTCCTGTAGGAAGCTGATGAAGAGAGGATGCAAAACATGGATGTCCTCGAGTGAAGTAGACCGACAACCTGGGGGTGGGCGATTCCGACAACTGTCATGTTGATGTACCGGCAAAGCATAAACGTAACCAGAAGATAGAAGCACGAGTTCTTGCAAAAAGGAAAAGCGCAGACGCAATGTTCTTGTATGATTTTTTGAAACTTTTTGAAGAAAGTCTTTGTTGTATTTACTTGGGAGCGTCTTGCCTACCACGACGAAAACACATGTTGATGTTGTCGCTTACTCCCTTTTGTGTTTCTTGAGCATGAGCTTGAAACTCTTGAACTCGGTGTCCGATAGAACCTTGCTAAACGATCACGCTTGATACAGAAGATGTTGCCGTCGAAGATTTGTGTACAACCACAACGGGCATGAGTTTCTACTCAATTATGGAATAAACGCCCTAGTTTGATGTCGTGCTCAACAAGAAAGCCCTAGTATCCCGACAAGAACGGCTCTCAGTTTCGCGGGTGCCACACCCACATGCACATCAAAATTTCGTTTAAGTTGTTCTACTCCCGTAAAAGACTTCTCAATGCAATGTACTGTCCTCCACCGGCGACGACCGGACGAAACACATAAATGCAAATAAAGCAAAACCATTTGTATTGCTCCCGCCATCAACATCAAGCACCACCACCAGTAGTACAAAAAAAAATGCAATTGCAGTTCTTTTTCGTTTCGACGAAGAAGTAGGCGATTGGTGCGGTTCAGCACGTACAAAAAACTTACTTCGTGCAAAGAAAAAAAATAATAGGAGGATCACTAGACCCGCTCGTTCAACCAACACAATCCACGTTCAGTCCTGCCGTTTTGAATACTTTTGGCTCACCTAATCAATCACAAACACAATCTATTCGTCGTTTTGTCGAGTTGATTGGACAACTAAGTGTGCCGTTTTTGTTATTTTTCCACGCACATTTTTTTGCGGAATTCGAACGCCTTCAGGCCCCCTGTTTTACAAGCTCGACTAGAACTAAATCTCAACACGCCTGCTGACTTTTCCCCCCGGCAGCTCTGCTTCCTTGTCTGAAGACAGAAGATACATTCCCGATGAGATCTCGCAACAAAGTTTTGAAGGAAAAGTGAAAGAAATATTTTTATTTTTGTCCTGTCATCTTCTCAAACTCAAAGTCATTTCTCCGGTAGCAAAGTCTTCGAGGTAATATAGCTGCGCAGGAGTCTTGTCCCTGTATTTCTATTTTCCCTGTTATCGTCTCCATACAGAACTCCAACTCATATCTGTAGTATTACATCCTGGCTCGTCAACGTCGTCCTGCATCGATCTAGTAGTCTTAGTGTCTTCATAATGCCGCAGCAGAGACAGATAGAGAAAACCATGTCCATGGTTCGTGTTGGCGTTCGCTCGTGCCGCAAACCGTCTCTGCCTTGTCTCGTCCATTCCCTTGGCGAGGAGATGATGTAACCGGATTCTCGTATTACAGTGCACTGGCTGCGACAACTAGGCAACGCAGTAGTTGACGAAAAGAAGCGAGCCAATTGCAATTGGAAAGAACGTGAACCACCAGACGCGAGGGGAGCTAAGAGTAAGAAGGGAAGAAGAATCAGTTCGACTTCGAGCCAGCACTTCCCATTCGCGCACGAACGATAGCAGGGCGGAAGATCGTAGGAGCTGTGAGAAGAAGAAAATATGACTGCGCAAATGACCGCGAACATTAACCAAGATGGTGTGGATCAGTGTACAGCGCGCATGCGGGAAGCGATCTCCCAGGGCGACAAGGAGAAAGCGCAGAAGTACTCTCTCGATTTATACTTTTTGCTGAAGATTTTGCTAGTAGTGGCAAGATGAATTTACTGCCGGTTAGTCGTGTAAAAGATAATGATCATTCACTAAGATGATGACCACGCGGATGTATATCACTCTAACTCTTCATGATGCTTTGATGAAATTCATCTTGTTGTAATTTTTGACCACGACACCAGACAAGAGCATGAAGTCAAGGAAAAGTGCAACGAGAGCATCATTGAAAACACAAACCAGGTTCATGGAAAAGGCTGTCAGGCTGGGCGCCGATCCGGGTGCCATGCGCAGCCTTCTCACCGCGTACCTCTCCCGCCAAGCTCAGCAGAACGCGAGGAATCGCAGCGGCGGCAGCGCCAGAAGGCGTGCCAACAGCAGGCGCGGAACCACCAGCACTAATGGGGCAGCAACCGGCGGAGCCACCGCCGGCCAGCACCAGAGGCCGCGCGCCGGCGCTGGGCCCACTACAGCGGGGGCGCAGCAACCACGAACTGCTGGTGCCACCGCGAACGCGCGAGCAGGAGGTGCTGGGGCAGCAAATAACCCGACGAGTCGAGGAGGTGCCGCACCGAACAGCGGCGGCTCTTCGTCGTCCTCGTCGAGTCAAACTACGCGCCCCACCGCAGCGGGCCGAGCAGGTACCAGTTCGAGCGCGAGCGCCAAGGCCGCCACGCAGCCCAAACGGGAGTACACGCCGGAGCAAATGCAGCTCGTGCAGAAAATTCTCCGCACCAAGGACTTCTACGCATTGATGGGGCTGACAAAAACGGCCTCGGTCGACGAAATCAAAAAGGCCTACAAGAAGCTGGCGCTCAAGCTGCACCCGGACAAGAACGGGGCGCCGGGCGCGGAAGAAGCCTTCAAAAAACTCAGCAAAGCCGTGCAGTGTCTGGAAGACACAAATAAAAGGTACGTCTAATTTTTGGCACGTTGTTGGTACGATTTAGATTTTGAAGCCATAATCATGATGAAATCACTGATGTTGCTCTCGCAGCCACGTCGCAACTATGAAATCATGAAAAACCTTTCTAGTCTGGCATTTTTTTTCCTACACACAGACGCATCTACGACCAATGTGGCGATCCCGATCGAGCTGAGCAGCAGACAAATTTTCGCCAGGAGGAGTTTATGACAGCAAACGACTTTTTCGACATGTTCTTCAACGGGGGTCGGATGCAGCAGCAGAACAGGCACCCTGGAGGTGCTCGCGGCGCGCAGCGACAGCAGCAGCAAGCAGGTGCGGAAAAGATAATTCACATAGACTAGTGCTGGATTTGCCTTTGTGTAGCACGCGGTTGTGGTGCTCTTGGACTTGGTCCCGTTGATTTACATAATGCAGTGGTACACTTCGATGACCAAGACGAGCATTGTGATTGTCACATTCATGCGCAAAAAAAAAAATGAAAACAGCTCCAGAAGACGTACAGCGACAACAACTTTTGAATTTACTCCCCCTGCTCTTCGTCATTCTCACCGCACTTACGTCGTCCGGAATATTCCAGCCAAGGACCCATCGAGTGTACTACTTAGCACTATTTTTTTCGCTTCGCTATTTTGAATTCCCAAAGAATTCCTATGCTCATACAAGAAAAAAAGACTCTTTTTTGTACCTTGGCAACATAGGTTCGACAGTTTTGCACCATTGTTCGGTACTAGCTAGGAATAGCAAAAAATTGCGATGGAAATAAGAAGTCACGGCCTCATCGCTGTAGTTAGCTCTTCTTATCTTTCCCTGCAACTACGACTAAACAGGTTTTCCCTGACGCGCGACTCGACGTTCCAGGTGGAGCAGAAGACGTCGCGGCTGAAGGCGCAGTATTTTGTCCACAGCGAACGGGACTTTAACCAGCAGTTTCCGAAAAACAAAGCGAACCGGCTGGAGCTGGAGGAGGAGGTGGAGATGCAGTTCATCCGCTCCCAGCAGTCGGAGTGCGAGTACCAGGAAAAGAAAATGTGGAAGCGCGTGATGCAGGCACGGAAAATCGCCGATCCGACCTCCCGGTCGAAGGAGATGGAGCGAGCCAAGTCCATGCCGAAGACCTCCTGCGACAAGCTCGAGACCATCAAATCCAGCCACCCGAAACTCTACCACGCCGCTACCCACTTTTTCGGTGGCATGGGTGGGGGAGGTGGCACCAGCAGCGGCTACAGCATGGGCGGCGCCCCGAGTCACGGCCAGCATAGTAGAAGCGGCGGCTCGTATTGAGAGGAAAAATCCCCCCTCCCCATATCAAAAAGGTATGTTTCCGAAAATTTGTGTTGCTGATTTGTGGCCACAAATCAGGTTTGTCTTGCAAAAGGACAAGCGCAGAGGCATCTGCCCAATTGTGAAGCGATTTGGCATGCTCTTGGTCCTAGAGGGTAGCCTTTTGCAATGCTGAACAACTAGACCTGAGCTCTCCCACCTAGGCTGCGGATCTGGCCGGAGTGCCTTACTGCAAGACAAATGTGATTTGTGTACTCAAACACAGCAACACAAGTTTCGTTTTCGATATGGGGAGGGGGGATTTTTCCTTACGATAGCTCGACAAATCAGTACGGCGGGGGGCACTCCTACGCTGATTCTTCGGGAGACGAGAAGAGCGACCGCGCCGCCTCGAATAGTAGAACCACAACTAGATCACAGCAGTCCAGAAGTACTGCGAGCAGCAGTCCTCGAACAGGTGGCGGATCTTCCTCCTCACAGACCTCCGGCGGAAATCGAGGGACGACAGCGGGCAAAAATAGCCGACCATCCTCGGTGTATAGTCGAGGCGGTACTAGGGGAAAAGATCAAGACTTGTAGGAGGACCAAGGGTATCGATATTAATCGAAGTTCTACTTCTACAAACTTGAAAACGCGGTAGAATCTGTTTTCTCCTCCAAGCTCAACCCCAACCACACCTCCGGCGACAAATATTCAGCGACAAGAAAAGAAACTTGAAGTAGTAGTTCTTTGAGCTGTAGCTAGCTCGATGAACAGTAATACCATAGTAGTTTGTCCCTCTCTTTCTCACCTATGGTTCCGTGATTACTCCGGCACCGGGGCACGACGACATGAGTTCACGACAGCGATTGCGAAATAAGCGCAGCTCTCAGCCTCGCAGGAGAGAATCCGCTGTGCAGTGCGATGTTCGCTTGTATTCAAATTTGTTCTTTGGTCTCTGCTTTATTGGGCTTCATGAGCTGCCACGGACCTCCTTCATCATGGAATCGTCAATACGGAAAAGGACAGGATGCCAGACGGCGAGTCAAAGAAAACGAATAGTTTGGTCGTGCTCGTGCTGTCGAGAGGTGTCCCAATTCATGTCCAAGACAATTCAGACCTGCTCTACTAGCAATAGAAGTGATGAAGTAAAAGTATGTCTTGCCACCGTGCAATGCAAACCTCGAAATTTCTATGCCCCAACTGAGTGATGAGAGGAAGCCTTGCAAGAATCAAGATGAAGATCGGTTTCAGCAGGGGAGTGGGGGAATTAGGAATGCCTGTGTCGTCTGCTAGCGCAATGACACTGAGCGCCAATATTACAGGTCGTCGTCGTTTTTTTTTCTCATATTTCGGATTGGGTGCGGGTGTTGCGTATGAAGGAAAGAAAGAGAGTAAGGAGCGACCGCGGCAGGGAATTTTGCATGTTTGGGTAAATATGAATTTTTGTTCTGTAGTAGTACTAGCACACAAAAGTATCTCTCTATCTTTGTTAGATTTTCTGTTTGACTTAGCAGGTCGGCGACTGGGTGCAGAGGCTGACGTTTTAGTGGTCGCAGCTTTTTGACGACAGCAGCGGTAGTCGTGTTCTTCAGGCGTCATCAAGTTGTAGCAAGAAATACGTAGAAGGCACCAACAGCAACATGACGAGCGACGCCGCTTCGGGCTGGCAGGATACGAATTCGAATGCGCAGTGGCAAGACCAGGGGCCGAACGCTTGGGATCATCTGGATTCGTCGACTTGGAGCAGGTTCTTGGATGAACTTGATGTCGATATAAGTTGTTTGCGGGGGCTCTAGACATCTTCATCATAGCACTGACAGCGAGTGGATCTCGGTGAGGAAGACAAAGATCAACATGAGCAGATGCTTGCTAACTTCCAGCATCCATGATAAGCATAAACCAACTCTAGCAACCAGGGCAGATATCGGTACCATGGTTGTACGCATCGTTGTGTAATATTAAAAACAGTGGCATCAAGAAGATTATTTCATCAGAAACATAAACTGACAGCATCGGTGGAGGTGTCGGCGGAACTTCCGCAGGAGGAGGGGGCATTGCGAACCTGCACCGTGGCCACAGCGATGGGCCGCAGCAGCCAGACTATAATGCTGCTGGAGGCAACAGGAGCGCTGCTGCGAACGGCGGAACCGCTACTGGGACCACCACGATGCTAAGCTCGAGTAATAAGATGGCGGCCCGTGCCGGTGCTGGCGGGCAACATCACTACAACCACCAGAGAAGCAACGGGGCGACGAACGGTGCCGGCACTCTAGCCTCGTCAAACAGCAGCACCCTGCACAATAACTCTTCGTACGCAGCCACCTTCGGAGGAGGATCGTACAACAATCACCACCACAGTAGCGCTGCCAATGGCACAGGAGCAGCCGCGGCGACTACCTCGCATCATCAACATCAAAGTGGCTCCCTCCGGCTTGACGAGCTCGTAGACTTACTGGTGTCCTCCACGACGACCTCCAGCAGTAACAAACACGGCGGACCGGATGAACAGCACCAAAATGGCAATGCCAACGGACTTGGTGCTAGCCATGGGGTGGGGAGTGCCTCGGACCACGACAACAACGGAACGGGTGGTGGTGCAAGCGGCAATACCGGTGGCAACAATATCTTGGGCGGAAGTAGTAGCCAACATTACGGGGGTGGCAACGCAAGCGGCTACAACAACGCGCACCACCACACCCGCGGTCGGGGCCACCATTCAGCTGGTCGTGGCGGCGGGAGCCACGGGCGGGAGTGCACCCTGTGGACGCGGTGGCTGTCGAAGAACGAGCGGCTGCGCCACGCGGCCGAGCAGATGGCCCGCCGGAAGCAGAATAACCAGTTGCGGCTCGAGGAGTTTCGGGCTCTGCTGGACGTGATTCTCCAGGACAAGCTGGGCTTTGAAGTGGCCTCCTACGTGGGAGCCTTCATGCTCACGCACAACGTTGCGCCGAACAGCCATTTTTTTTCGATCTATTGCCTGATCTTCTCGCGCGATCCGAGCCTGGAAGGTTACGAGAAGGTATTCGTATTTTTATTTCTGAATACACTCGGGCGCTCAATCGCTTCGTTCCGGAAACTACATTTCGACACTTTCATGTGTTCTCTATAAAAATAAATTTTTGAAATTTCGCGGATTTTCATCTACAAAAAAAATGAAACTTTAATATTTCGCGGCTTGTTACGTGGAACAAAGTATGATAGACTCCATATCACACGATTACAACATGCATACATAGTTAATGATTTGCATTTTCTTTGGATTTCAAATATTCTTGCAATAAAAATAAAATTTTAAAATTTCGCGGATCAGCGAAATCGAGAAGACGTGAGCTGAGCTCTCGTAGACCACGCACCATCGTGCAAACGGTGCATGCCGGCGTCGTACGCCCGCACTTCACCATCATACCGTACCCACACGCCCACATTTTCCAACTAAATGTACCCAGGTGTCGCAAATGTTCCAGTACGTGCGCCCGCTGAACGCGCACACGTTTGCAAGTTTGATTCGGTGCCACGGGGCGCTCCACGATTCGATCAGCGCTGTGCGTATCAAGTGTAAAAATGTCTGGGTCTGGAAGAATGCGCGATTTGTCATGCTTCTCTGGCATGACTCTTGAACTTAAACCTGTCATGCAGGTTACCCAAGAGCCCCAATTTCCTGTCCTGCAAAAACGCAGTTTGTCATGCAGAATAGGCAACACCTAGAAGCTCAGCAACTTGTCATGCTGAGCCAGCGCTTATGGCTTCCTCATGATACGCGACCCAGCGTCACAAGTTTCCAGGAGACCCAGACATTTTTACATTTGATAGTGCGAGTGTTGAAGCATTTTCGGGAGATTCTCCACACCATGTCCGCGAACGACTTGAAGTACCGTTTCACCGTGTACCAGGCGGCCCACGACGTCTGCCTGCGCAGCGAGTGGTCTCACCAGGTGCAGAAGTGGATCGCGGAAGACCAGGTCACGGGCGTCGACGGTGGCAGAAAGCCGCCGCCGCCAGAAGGCCTGCCGAAAATTTACCTTCGTGACGAGCGCCCGGCAGTATAATTGAAACGGATCTTCTTGCCTACTACGTACTGTTTGTGTAGTGCAGGCGAGCTGCTGCAGCCCATTATCCAAGTTGCGCTGGAGTTGGGATGATCGATGATGCGTACTAAATCTAAAACTTCTATATTTTCTGCGTTGATGAATAAAAGAAAAATACTTCGTCCACTGAGCCATCTCGCTCCTTAGGTTTCGACGTCGGAAGCCTTGAGTCAGGGGCTGATGCAGAACTGCAACGGGCCGCAGCAGGTGGGCGCCCGCGCGACCTCGCTGAACACCATTACCAACACCAACTTTACCGGCGGCCGCGGGGGGCCGCAGCAGCAGGCGATGAATGCGTCGAACAAGCACTCGCAGTCTTTCAACTCCCTGGCAAGCGCGAACCGCTCCACAACGATGAACTCTTTCGGGACAAGCACGTTCGGGGCGGTGGACTCCCAGGACTTTCAGCAGCTCTTATACAGTCAGAATTCGTCGGCAGTAACGCCCCACCAGCATCAATCTAGTGCCGCGGCTTCGCTGTTTGAGCAGCAGTACAACCAACAGCAGCTGCTGGCTGCCAGCACTTCCGGTGCGAACACGACCGCCGGCGCCGCGTCGGCGCATCAAGGCGGGGCCAGTACCGGCAACGGGCTGCATCTGATGCAGAATCACTTCAGTGGTCAACACCATCAATCGAGTGATCTGCACCACTTGGGGGCAGCTGGTCCTGCGGCGCAACAGCAGCAGCACCACCAGCCGGCCATGCACAACCAGCACCAGAGTGCGACGGCAGCAGCGGCCCACCAGCAGCAGCATCACCACCACCAGCATCAACACGGGACTATTCAGCACAGTTTTGTTGCTGTTGCCGCAAACTCACCACACCAAGACCACCAGATGCACTCGACTTCGGGCGGTGGCGGGCATGGGCACCAACATCACCAGCACCACAACTACAACAGCAGTTGTGCGACCCAGTACGGTACTTCCACGACGCCCGGAGCTGCGGGCGGAGCGTCGACCAATGCCGGCGCGGCACAGCACTATGCCCAAATGGGAACCATGCCGACCGCTGACCACAGCAACTACAACGCGTCGCCGTTGTCCGATTCTTACGCTAACAGCTACCAGGAGCTTGTTCACCAGCATGCATTGTACATCTCCGGTGCCAGTGCAGCCGGTGCTGTCGCAGCTATGGCGGCCGCCACCGCGCCGGGTGCTGGAGCGCCGCACCAAGCTCTGCATGGTGCTCAAAGCAACCACCAGAATCACGTTGGCTTTGCAGGCGGCAACGCGAGTACGCCGGGCGGCGTAGTAGACCACCCGTCTTCGCAGCCGGAACTGACGCAGCAACAGTCGTCGTTTTACGGAACAACAAACTCAGGCGCAACAAATGCCAATGCGAGTGGAGCGGCTGCTGCGACGCTGCAGCACCACGATCATCAGCACGGCCAGCAACTTCTCCACGAACTTGCGGATCAACACAGTGTTCTGCAGCATTACAATGCAGCTATGCAGGCGGCTTTGTCCACGTCACCCGCACCACATGATCAGTTGGGGACGAGCGCGCATTTGACGAGCATCAGTCAAGACCACTATCAGGCCGCGCATCACCTCGCCGCTGTCAGCACGGGTGGAGGCGAGAACCACACTACCTTGTTGCGTGAAGATCATCATAGCACGATGCAAGGTCAGCACCCCGTGCAGTTGCTATCCCCGGTGCTACAGCAGCACCATCACGAGTCCTCCACCGAGGCTGGGGCTTACCACCAGCTCCCGATGACGCACGCGGCCACGGATCCGAACCTTGTCGCGCACTCGTATTCCATCGCGGATCCTCCAGTCAATCTCTCCATGAGCATGTCGGCCAGAAAGTCGCCGAAGAAAACTCCGACGCGTTCGCCGCCTGGCATCACTTTGCTGGAGACCGACGACCCCACGCATCTACCGGACCACCCTCCGCCGGCTTTGGCGAGCACCATGACGTGGCCAACGGGCGATGGCTTTCTGGCCGCACAAGGGACAGCGTAAGACGCCTTGATGGATCTTTTTTTTTTTTGGTTTTTTCCTCTTTACTTATGGCGCCGGCTCCGCTAGCGCGTCTACTCCCTTGCTTTGATAGCAGACGACAGTCGTATTAATATCTTCACTGGGATCCAAGTAGAAGTAGGAGATGTTCAAAGCAAAATTGCTGTTCAAGGCAGTCAAAAATGCTGTCGATGTCAATAACAACTGGAGCGAACGCGATCCATCGACTCACACTGGATACTGACGTCGCAACTTTTTTTAGGACTTTTATCGCACCATCAAAACAACCGGCACAGGAGCGCTAGCACGTCAAATGAAGGAGGTGCGGAGGAGGAACACACAAGTGGCTTGCGCTCGAAGAGCGCGGCTGTCGCCTACTACGAGCACAGTGGAAAGGAGTTGCAGACTCCCAGTACCGGCGGCATGCAACGCGTGGTCACAGATGTTGTTTCTTAGTGATAACATCGCAGAGTAGAGCTTCGCTTCGAAGACTTTCGTTTTGAAACGAAGTGTAGACTGATGATGCGCCAAACGCTATACAAAAACAAAAAAAAACAAATGTTTGAAAAAAAAGCGAGCGCACGTGCAGGACAGTTGAGAAAACTATTTCGAAAATTTAAATTTTAGGTTTCCGCCAATGACGCACCATTGCAGCCCGGTACGAAAAGAACAGAAATGGCAACCAGCGACGTGGTCAGTTCCACCGATTCTTGCCATGTAATGGATGAAATAATATAGTCTTATTTATCATGTGATTTACAATTTGAATTTTGGCAAACCAGATAATGATTGGTGAGGGCAATTTGCGATGCAGTGTGGCGCTCACCAAAAATATCTCTATTAATTTGATGAAGATGATGGTTTGCCGTATCTGTATCATGATCGCAACAGCACCACCCTTGTCGTGTACCTTTTTGTGCTTTAAGTATCGATTTGCAATTTGACTCAGTTGGTTGTACTCTTTTTGGCTGCGATACAGGGTGAGAACCGAATTCCGCCAATCTATGTGGGTAAACTAGCACGACATTGAGTCATCGAGTCAAGGTTCGTGGTCTTCGTAGATGCGCGCGTTTTTGCTCGACCATGATGTTGAAACAAGCATCTTTTTCAAATGTATGAACGGAACTCAGGCCTTCTCCAAAAGCAGGGATGCTGATCTAGTTGTCACTATGCATAGGTGGAGCCAGTCCGACTTACATCAACATCTGACTCCGAGTACACGCAAAGATAAAAAAAAAATGGGACTTGCAGACTTCTGCTCGATATGATTGACATTGTCGTTTTTCTCTGCATACCTCGCCGACGCATCGTCCACCGCCGTCACCGCACAAGTTCGTGAAAAAAGTGCATCAATGACGAGGTCGTTTGCTGCACGACGGACCACGAAGCTGCAGCATTAAGACTGACATGAAGAGCACAGGAGATGAATCGCACCATTTTTTAGAACCTCACGAACATCACTTCAGGTGGTAGCCAAAACCATAAACGAGGGTGCAATTATCGAACGAATTATATCGCTGCCGATGTGGAAAACTATCTATTTTGAAGAATTTTGTGGCTTCATGTGGTCATTGCAGCTCGAGATGAGCGTAGCGCGGCCACCAGCATAGCAGCCACTTACTTAACTAAATAATAGTAAGCACGACCGATGCAGCGAGCTGCCAAGAATAAAGAACAAAAAATAGTAGAGATGAGGTTATCATAAGTAATTATATCCAGTTTAGCTGCCGTTTCCGCTCTTACACATTCGTTTCGGAATAGTAATAGAAGTGCCACAGAATTCGGCTTCCATTAAACAAGAAGTTGGGAAACAGCTCCTTTTTCCTGGGTGGCTCAACCTCAACTACGGATACCGTTTCGATTTGCCGTGAATATGAAGAATAACCTTTTTACACAAATAATATTCACACATAATAATTAGAGACTTAAATCCACCTGATAATAACATTTTATCATGGTTCATCTTGCAGTGAACATGAGTATGAGTTGTATCTTTGGGATAATAAAGAATTAAGACTTCGTGAGCTCCTACGTCTTGCAAGAAAGAAGAAATCGGGCGTGCTTTGACTAAATCTAAATGAGAGAACTTCGAAAAGAAAGTAGTGATAGTATTGAACAAAAACAACCAGTGATGAAGTTGTTGTAGCTAAACCATAGTAAGTTTTAGAATCAGTATGGGGATACGGAATCAATCTGAAATAAACAAAACACATTTAGTGAGCAGTAACAGGAACAACTCGAGTACAGGACAATCGCCGCGTTGCAGTGGATTGCAAAAAATTTCGCAGGGTAGCAGAAACAATACCAATAGAAACTAGCGTGTGCGCGGAGCTCCTCTGGCCCAGTCACACAAACTTTACTGGAGGAAGCAACATATTTATCGATGAACTGAAATATACAAGCGCTTAATATAGTCTTTGTCTTTCAACATGCATCAACGACTAGTACTAGAGAGAAAATTAGTGATCCGAAGTTGTAACCTCCATTTCGCTGCATTACTACCACGGATTAACATTCGTTTCAAATTCAATTTGTTGAATACAGCTTCACCAAGTAAACACTACTCTTTGTTTTCTCGCTGATTCTGTGGTCTAAAACTCGTCTACAGATGGCTATTTCCAAACAAAACAGCTATGCAAGTGCAACCAGGCGAAGGATTAAGTACGATTATCGTACTTCTGGTTCGACCTTTTTGTTCGGTGTGACTTTGAGCAACCAGGACGGACCACTGGCACTGCTCTGCTGGCCGCGTGTTTTCCCGGACAGGACCAGGAGAAACGCAACTTTTCAGCATGTTGTGCATCGTTGAAGAATGTTGATTGAACATGAAGAGATTTCGTCGTCGTGCGCACTACTGATACACATTTCGTCGTGGGCACAGAAAGAGCAATCATTCTTGTCGGGGGCGTCGCAAGTTTCTGGGTCGTCGTTGTTTTTCCAATGAATTACTTTGCACGCTTCGTATTGTCCGCCGCTTCGTTGTTGTTCGTCAAAGACAAGATCGTGCGTCACAAAACAACGTTTTCCTAATCGCGGCCCGCGATTAGGAAACGGAAAGCCAGAAACCAGACGAAGGTTAACATATTGACTGTGCTCGTAAAGTTGTGGGAAAGTATTCGTATGTCCTCAGGGAAACAGTTGCAGACAAACGTCTTCTGCTACTCAGGAAGATGACCATCGTAGCTACGTAAAATAACCATAGATACTTGTTTCTGTGTTTTTGCGCATTTCAGTGCAGCGGTAGAGGTGCTCCTGCCGCGCACACGTACAACGAACGGCGCTGGCAGAAGCGTATATCGTATGCAAGTATCTGTATGTATATGTAGTAACTGTAACGTGGACCACACTCTAGCTATAGATTTCCGTGCAGATGCGCTTTATCCGCTTGAAAACAAATGACGTGGCCTCTGTCGTCGTCGAAGCTCATTCTGCTCTGCGGAAATCACGACTCTGGTGAGAAGGACGCTGACAGTGTGCTGTGTTGTTGCATCAGCTCCACCTGTTCTAGTCCTTAATCGGAACTACGAAGCCATCGCGTCCATAAGGTTCTGGATACAACGTCAGAACAGAAGATCAAGATGAGCGTGTGGACCTTGCGGAACTGCATTCACGTGAGCATCGTGATGGTGTGCATGTGTGGGTACCTCATCGGTGTGTGTATCGTCGTGGACCGCTTGAAACTGGACTTTTACTACGAGGAAACTGCTGTCGCGACAGCCGAGTTTTTCCGCAATGGCAAGTACTACAAAGAGAAGACCGATCGCGTTGCAATGAAATTGCTCCAGCGAGAACTACCGATGGGAGCCGAAGCCGGCAAGGACAGCACCTCCGGGGATGGTCGCACACAGGGTGAACACGCAGCAAGTGCAAGTCCTAGCGACGATGCTGGTAGACTCCTCCTCCGTGATCATCAGAAAAAAAGCACCAGGCTGCTGACAGTGAACTCGGTCACCGGGATGATCGACGAGGACGCTGCGGCGGAGAATAAAGCAGCACCGGCGGACACTCTGATGACTAGTCGCACAAGAACGGGCACGAGTGTGGCTAAGATCGGAGTACCTGTTGACAGGGACCGCGCAGAATCCCGAAAGTCAGCCGAACACGAGGCGGCGCTGCATTGGCAGTTGAGAATACGAGGGTGTTGAGTCTTTTGATGTTTGAAGATGCAGAACCTCTGTGGGTGCAAGCGACAACATAAACGATTGTTGATGAATGAAGACGAACTCAGACTGATGATGAAATCAATGAAAAACTGGATCAATACGACAGGTGGATTTGGCTGGGATCCGTGATGTGCATGTGGTTTTACGTAGTGCTGAACATGCGGGTGTACGGAAGGCACCTCTGGGAGGATTGGGACGCGATGTTTCCGAGCGCGCTGCTGCGAAAGGCGGTCGCGGCCCTGCTGGTTTTCGTTTTTGCCGCCCAGGTGTTTAGCAACACGCACCGCGTAATGGGGTTCCACCCGTGGTACAGTTGGTATGCCGACTTTTGCAGGGAGGGCCTTGTCCACGTCACCACCTGCGCACAAGCGTTCAAGTCACAAGCGATCACCGCGACCGAAACCGTCTCGGACAGCATACTCGCGAGGTCGCGCGACGCAGCCAGCCTGGGACGACATGTTTTTTCCACGGGATCGGCATTCCTGCAGCAGACGGCGGAGGTCGTTCGCAGTGACGGGCTGCTCCAGACCCTGGTAGACCTCTACCTGAACTGGCATCACCAGCAACGAGTCGCAGAAGCAGACCTTATCCTGGCGATGCAGGAAGGACGGCAGCCCTTGATGTTACGGAAGAAAATAGAGCCGCTGCTATAAAAATCACCCCTGTTCTCACAAATGTGATGCTGCTTCGCATTTGTAGATGCGAGTGCGACTGGAGGAAGGGGGGACTCTCACTACTTCCTTGCTGCTGCATGAAGGTCATTGTGATAGCTGGTAGTACGAAGCGGGACGTATTGAGTTTGAGCAGGTGACAGTTGTCAATTTGACGTTTGCAGCGCTCAGCCTCAGGCCCTCTTTGACGTTCTTAGCTCTACCGGTCCACGTCGAAAATCCTGCATTTTTGTATCTGTTTCCATGTCGGTTGCAAATTATTAAAGTATCACGTACCTAGCTCCTGTTGCGGTTTGATCAATTGCCAGAGGCATAGCGAAGCAGCGTTGGCTTTTCCTTTGAATAGTATTTGGGCAACAAAACATCTCCCACCCCAGCGAACTCAACAGTTGCTGGCGCAACCGCGTCGTCGCATACCATAGAAATACTAGCTGGAGGAAGTTCCGGCTCATCTTCCTTTGCTTCAAGGGACAGACGGCGAAACCAGGTGAATTCGAAGGCGGGCGTTCGTATGTAATGCAACAGCATCAACGACTTTACCGTACAATGTAAAAAGCGTACAATAGCGTAGAAAAATGCTGAACAAATTTTAGTTCATTTTACCAGAAGGAATCCAGCGCCCGTACTATTTGTTGTTTCGGACTACAATGACAAATAAAAGACAAAGAATCTTGTCATGCAGGAGCAGCAGAGTCAGGATCTTTACGATTGCGTCTGAGTACTTGTCCGGTAAATTTTGATTTACAGCGCATAGTCTTGCCCCGACCACGCGCAGCAGCTTCCGGACACGGTGACCTGTGAGATTTTTTCTACGACCGACGATAAAACCACGACTGGTGATGAAGTTCGGCGCATTTTAAAAAGAGGTGCAGGAGCTCTTCGATTTCGTCGTAGTACTACTACACCCAGGACAACGGTAAAATGACCGGGAGAGGGACCCTCTAGCTATTACTGAAAATTTAAATTTGTGTTGTAAATGTTTGACATGTTTTTGTTCAAGAAAAACACTATGTGAAATACGAATACCAGCAGGTGGGCTCAATCTACTTGTACTTGCGTGATATTTTACAACACGACTCGCATGCGTGCCGCTAGGCGCCGGTTGTCGAGCCTCCACCACCTTGTCCTCTTCTTAAAAAAATATCGTCATTAAACATATTTTAGGCCCTCGAACTGTACATATTTCATTGCAAAAGAAGTAGAATGATGCATGTGTTTTATTCACTGAGCGATAAATTGATTTCAAATTAATCAGGAGTGGGGTGTATTTTTCTCAAATTGTCATCGCCCGAACCCGGGAGACGGAAAAAACCATTTGCCGTGTCGTTATCACGTCTGCGCTTAGCCTTAGCGCGGAAGTATCATTATTTCATCGAGATTCAGATTGCAACTTGTCGGATTTTTACTCACTCACCGACTTGCGCTACACTTCACAACATCAAGTTTTCTACTTGAGCTTTTGAGTCGGTTGAAAAAAAATCTTCGGACCATAAAGATCATGACTGTCGTCCCAAATAGTGGTGGTAGCGTTCTTCTCATTCTCTTCCTGCGCGCCAACAAAAATTATTGGAGTGTCATCGTCAGAACAGGATGTCATCGGTCGGAAAATTCATTATTGATCATGAAAGGCGAGGCCCCATTTATTATTATTTCACTTAATGACTTTGACTGCCTTGCAATTCTTTTTCCACTTTCATCCATGTGATGAAAAAAAGGGCTCGACGTCTCAATAGGTCTCCTGAAGAGGAACGACGATGAAATATTATGTGGCGCTACGATCATAATCTCACATCGTATCTTTCAGGACGTTCTGATTTGTCTCTATCGTGCATTTTTCGTATATTTATCGTGGGCTCGTTATGATCTCGTCCGTCAACCGCACATCCTGCGTGCTTCGTACGATTAAATAAAGCATCGTGTCGCGCTACGTCCATACAAACAAACTTATTAAACATCTTGAAACACATCCACATCGTCATGAATTTCAATTTGCATTTGTAGCACCTTTGTCACCAACGAAGTCGTTTTTCGTTAACAAGCAGTTAAAAAGCTATGATTTCGACGCTTCCTATTTTTTCCTGACATACAGCTACAGCACACGAAATATCGTGCTTTGCTTCGTTATCGGCTTCAGCTTCTCCAAGATCTACATATGTATGTGTAGAAGAACTCTGGTGGGCCAGCCTCAGCAGATAAATCACTTTTTTTCTGGGATTATTTCGGAAACTTTTACACTCGTACATCCGCTGCGAATTTCAGTTCCGGAGATGATGTTTGACGAAGTGTGTGCTTCAAAAATTTTTGAACATCGATTGATTTACAAGTAACAAAATCCAGCACCTGCCAGCAACATGTCGATGTTGAAGATGACGATTCAGCAGATCCTGTTGCTTCTGCTTCAACAGGGGTGGTTGCTTGTTGTTGGTCCCCCGATGGTTCTTGTCGCAGCACAACAGCTCGACTTCATGGCACCCCGAGACCGTCAGCGCGCTTACCACCAGGCCCGAGCGCGGATGAAGCGCGCGGAAAAAGAGGAACGGCGCCGTCTCGCACGAGAACGCGCGGCGCAGAACGGGGAAGACTACGTGGAAGAAGAGGAGCCGGGTCCTGCTTTCCCAATGCTGACTTCCTTCTTGGACTCGCTTCTGCAACCACCCCACCTGCAGATACTAGATGACGATATGGCAGGGAAAATAAAAAAAAGCGTAAGGTCACAGCTTGCTTCATCTTCAAAAGCACCAGATGAACACGTCTGCTTCTCGTCAGGCAACAAGTTAGTAGAAGCGTGCAGGCAACAACGCACATATTATCATCTGGTGTTGGGCGGGCTGACGAGCACAGCAGGTACAAGTACATCCTCCTCTGACTACTAAGAAGGATTTATTTTGTATCTCCGACAATTGTTCCGGTTGTTTCGTGATGGAGTTGGTGTTTATACCACAAAGAATAAAATTACCTGAGCCCCCTGCATTTGAGTATGGAGATTTAGATGAGAAGATGACAACGCACCTTGCTCTCATGATTTATTTTCCTGGGCATAAACGACGAGGATGGCGACTCTCTGTTACAGCGCGCTGCGGAGGTAGACAACAACGGCGAACTGATCGCCTCTGTAAGCGGTCGCGCCGCCAAGAAAGGAGCGGACACTGATGTGACCAGCAGCAACGCTGAGAACGACGCGGCTGACCGCGAGAGAGGCCGCCCAGGAGCTTCACGGGCCACGCACCACGGTCGTTCGCGCGGGAAGCCGGTGGAGGCGCCGAGCGCCTTTGCCGACATCAACGGAAGACAAGACGACCACGTGGCGAACGTCGGCGGAAAAGCACAGAGAGCCACGACCAGGACTGCCGCGCCGAGGACAAATGACGGGCCGGCGGCGAAGACCAGCGGTGGTCACGCAGGACGTGCAGGACAGGCCTCGTTCTCTGCAGAGCAATCCGGGCCCGCCGGTCGAAAAAGTAGCGAACAAGTCGGCGAAGAACAGAAGAACGAGAGCCCGCTGGCAAAGTTTCGCCGTATGGCGCAATCGCTGCTACAAGCAGATGAAACTGCATCACACGACCTGGCCGGCGCATCTTCGCGCGACCAGCATCGAACCTCCACGAGGCGCCACAAAAATCATGACAAAGTGATTAATGCGACATCCACCTCCGCGCCCGCCCCTGGCTCGGCGGATTCGTTTCCTACTAGTAGCGACGGGTTTGGTAGCGCTGGGGAACTGGGGGCGTCGCCGCCCCGTGCGAATAACCGAGCAGAAGGAAAGATGTTGCAAACTCGAGCTTCTTCGTCGTCTGGGTCTACTTCGCGGCGTGGTGCACGCAACCAACGAACACGACGCGACGTTATGACTGGAGAAGTGCACCACGGCTCCGTGGCAGAAGGGAAAGCAAAAGCTTCGCACCGGCTTCCGCCTCCGTCGAAGATCAAGGCGTGGTCCTTTCTGGGACGACGATTCGGAAGAGACAAGGCCAAGTCACGGGAGGCTAGGACGACAGACACTACTGTTACTGCTCCATCTGAAAGCGACGCCGCGGTCGTGGTTATGATTGACATTGACGAGAATATGATCGGTGAGGACTTGATGGCAGAATATGTGGAGATCTCAAAGAAAATTATGCAGATCGCAATTTCTCATCTCACACCCGTGAACCTTTTGGGTGACCCGCTTGATGATGGGGGCGCTCTAGCAGGTACTATCTCCGGCTCCACGCATACCCCAACACCCGCCCCGTCGAACGTCGACAAGGTGATGAACGGATTGGATAGACTGACCAGCGGAGGGGTCCTGATGGGCCAGTCAATCTTCCGGTTGCTTCATCAGAACAACCTAGAGCTAGAATTGCCGAGCGTGCACGAGATCGAGGAGCTGAAGCCAACAGTTAGAGCGGTTCTTTCTCTGCAGGCAGCTCCTGGTGCAGGTCAAGATTCTTACCCGTGCGAACGTTTGATCAAATGGCGAGCCACAGCCTCACCTGAAGACACAGATGATCTCCCAACGGCGTTCGCTGTATTTGCGGTCAAGAGAATTAAGAAATTCATTTCTCCTGGTGCTGACAAGATTCCACTACTGGTTGCGGTTGCGGACAGGAGTAAAACATTTGACGACCTAAAAGTAGAAGAAAAGCAAGCAATAGGGCACGCGTTCGAAGAAGCATGCACGGCAAAGATTCACTCGATAGTAAGCGAGGTCGAGGGGAGCGTGCCGCCGCCGGAGGACGTTGAGATAAACTTGAAGCAAGTGCAGTCGCAGCTGCGTATGAAACGCGACCTGTTTTGGTTTTGCAGTCCCCTCCAACATGAACATGACCCGACCACAGGGGCGAGTACTCGCGTCCGCGACACCGAGGACTACGACGCGCTGCTCTACCGCAGCATCAGCCGGAACAGTTGGAGAAACTTTTTGGATGCTGTCAAAAACAACAATGTTCTTGCTTTGGAGAACACCGAGGCGGAGGACACTTATTCCATATCCACTGCAAAAAACCGAACAACTTCCCAGCTGCGCCAGTGATACCGTACAACTTGAATTTGTCATAAGAGTTGGACCTCTACTTGTTTCATTGGCACGACCAGAAACATCATCATGATCATTCTGCCAATATTGAGGATGAATGTTGGGATGTTGATATCGATCAAAAATCACGCCCACTCTATAATTGAACCGCTTCGACGAAGATGACGGTGATTGATTCACCAATTCTCGCTGCGGTGATGCGCAGGCAGCTACTAGTGCGAAGCCGAAGCAGTTACCACTAAATCTAGAACGTAGTACAAATTCCAATTTATTGCAGCGCCAGGTAACAAAAAAAAGTCTCGTACATCAAAGCGCTGGAATAAAAAAACTTACTGTCCTTCTTGCATGTGTGCCTGTGGTCGTGCGTGGAGGTTTTTTTTACGAATTAATATGATTTACAACTGTAGTAGAGGTAGAAATAAATTGTTTTTCCGATGTCTGTGTGGCTGGGAAGGTGAAGGTGTTGTGTCACGGGATAAGCTGCGGATGCCGACGCCCTGCTGCCACTGTTCCAGACGGAGCCCTGCCGAACCGGGAAGGAGTCCAACGAGGAGGTTCTGAAAAACACAAAGGTCAAATCAGAAAACGTGAAGAACTTTTTGATGTACATGATGACCACCCTGAAGCAGCACATGGCACAAGAACCAACACCGCGGTCCTCTCCCATCCACGCCGATATCTGCCAAAATCGGATCGGTTGGTGGACGCCGTTTGCTGACCCGGCGATGCTTGTTCGTGACTATAAAACGGCCAAGGATGATCCCCTCAGTCATCGCCGCGCGCATGACATGTTTCAAAAGTACCACAGGAGTGTCGCGCTACTCGTGGACCAGGCACTCGCTGCCTTGGCCGACGTGGACGAGATTCGGCAGTCGGCCGCCGAAGCCGAACTACAGGCGTGGACCAAATTCGCGCTGAAGGCGTTTACGTCTCCCGTGCTCAACTCTAACCAGATCCCCGGATACGAGGACTCGCAAGATGCTACACCGGCCACGTCGTTCACCGAAGCAGGCAGAAGAGACAAGTCTGGTGCTCATCGGCATGAAAGGACTGGAGCTGGACAGGAGGAGCATCTGAATTCGGAGGCCGCGGGCGCAGGCTCTGGTGGAGAAACGCTCCCAACAGTCTCAGCAGGCATGACGAAGCTACTGGGCAAGAAGAACGTCTGCACCCATCATCTTGATGAACATCAACATTGCACCCCGCAAGATAAAACCTACTTCGATGCTGCGTTTATTGGGTGTTTCCAAGATCAAAAAAGCGAAGTCCAGACAAGCGTTTTGTTTCACCCCGAGGAGCCAGGAGAAAAGTTTTCGGTGCAAAAGTGTGCGTATCAGTGCGGGCACTTTCGGTACTTTGGTATTCGCAACGGCCACGAGTGCTTTTGTCACGACGACCACTGGACTTTCGCTGACAAACTTGGGGTGTTGACTGACGACTCCTGTTCGCATCCGTGCGCGGCGGGTTCCTGGGGACAAGGAAAGAAGTTGTTTTGTGGGGGTGGTGGTGACAAACTCTCGATGTACACACGCGATCTGGTGCGGCCGACTTTTTGGCAGTGTGAACGGGTGGAAAAGCGCAACCGCAATTACTACGAGGCTTATAGCCCCCCGACGCCAGCGGCAGCAGACTCTCAACAAGCTACTACGGAAAGTACAAACGAAGAAGAGTTCTTGATGAAGGAAATGACGACTTGCATCCTGAATGGCGACTGTTGGGATACTCCTCTTCGCGCCTGCTACACTATCGGGCAAGGGGGAGGTCTGTTCAGCACCGAAAAAGCAGTGCCTGAATCGTGGGAGGTCGTTTCACCACGAGCGAATAAATTGAAATGGTTTCAGGAGGAAGTCTCCAACGAGCATACAACTGTAGATGACCCCGCAAACGTGGTCACAAGAGTTGTTCTTGATGCTGTTGAAAAGTGGGCAAAATTCGGGAAGTGCGAGAGCAGCTCCGTGGTCGACGACCCCCCCGTTTTGAATTTTCCCGGGCGGGAAGGCAAAGCCCCCGAAGCTTTGCATGCTAACTACGACGAGGAAGACAAACAAGATCGACGGATGAACGCCGCTGACTGCGCCCGGCTGGCGGAAGATGACGGCACCTACAATTACTTTGCGGTGCATCCGGCAAGTGGTTGCTGCCTCTTCTTTTCGTTTGAGAAACCCCCTCGCGAAATCGATGATGAGAAAGCGAAAAACCATTGGGCTGCGACCTGGACGCTGTACCAGCACATCGAAGGCAGCGCGCTTGCGGCGCGCAACCACGACAGCGCGCGCTTCGCCTTGAGGGGCTTGCAAGCTCGCATGTCCGACCGGGTGCAATGGCGCAAGTACATCGGGTGCTTTAAGGACAAAAATGGGGACGAACGCGCCATGGAAAAGCCTATTGGCAGAAAGTATACCATAGACGAGTGTGGTACAGCGTGCAAGGGGTACCGCTACTTCGCGATTCAGGACCACAATGAGTGTTGGTGTAGTGACCGACAGCGGAAGGCTGGGTTTGGAAAGCATGGACACGCAGAAGAGAAAGAGTGCCAAAAGGAGTGCCACGAAAACCATTTCGATGTGAACATTTGCGGAGGCGGCTGGCACAACTCGGTGTTTGAACACATGTACACGGAGCGACAGGAGTACGACATGAGCGCGGTCTCGACGGGCGGCTTGGCGCCCTCGCTTTCGGCGGTCGGGTATCTCCCGGTGGCAGAGCAGACGCGGCGGGCATTGGAGCTCTCCATGGTTGACCGAGAAAACGACTTCGAGTACGTCGGCTGCTACGAGGCGCTGCGCGGAAACGAGGGACTGACAGAGGGGCACGCAGATCGCTCCGTCTACGAGTGCGCGGACCATTGCGGCCGCGAGGACAGAATGTATGAGTATTTTTCGATCGATGCATCAAAAGAATGCATTTGCCATCAGAAGCACGGCATCGGGACCACGTCTTCGACGATCTCGCAGATGTATGACGCCGAAGACCGAGTTTCAGACCAAAAGTGCTGGGGCAACTGCAAATTCGGCGACGCTAGCACGGAGCACCACAATGACAGACCGGTCTCGCCCAACCAGAACCCACCACCCCTCGTGAATCGCAAGCGTGTGGTCGGTTTCGGGCACTGCGGCGGCCAAACTGGCAGCCCCCACTCCGGCACTCAAAGGAAATTTCACGCCCTGTATCGATTTTACTCCGCCGAGGAGGCCGGCGGTGGTGCAGCTGCCACAGCTCATCTGCCTCAAGGTGCCGGGGAGTTGTCGGCGGAGAAGACGCCCGAGATCTGTCTCGACACCGGTTGGTCCGGTGCTGCTGAGGAGGTGCAGCGCCTCCAAGGACCAGCCGGGGAGGAGGCGGGGGCGCAAGAAGCAGGGCAGCAAAGACCAGAGCTGTCAAAGGTGTACGTGACGAATCTGGACACAGCGGTCCAGGCACTGCTGGTAAGTCCCCTGTTCGACAAGAATACGGAGCAGCTGCGCCAGCACCGTAGCATCATCGGGCGTCGGGAAGTACTGCTGCACCAAGTGTTTGTTCTGCGGCTCGCTGCCTTCCGCCTCTTGGAGCTGATCAAATGGTTCGGATTCCAGCTTCTCGCGGACGGCGAGGAGAGCCCCGCCTACTTCAAAACCGCACTGGACCTTGCGGAGCAGCGCGTAGCGGAGGTCTTGGAGCTATCCTGCGCAAGGATTCTTTGTCTTTGACTTTGCATACTGCAGCCGTAAGAGCATTTACACATGTCATTTATTTGCTTTAGTCATTCAAACGAAACGGCGGGTGCTGCTACTGATATATTAGAACGCTTTATAGAATAGCAATAGGGAATAGGGAGAGATAGGGAGAGTAGGGAGAGTCCCCCTAAAAGGGGGCAGCAAAAACAAAACCAAACTGATCGCAAACAGCACGGCGCGGCCGCGACAACATCTTTCGAAATCTGGGGCGGAAATGCTTCCGAGTACCCCCCTCCTCGGCGGCTCCTCCCGGGGTCGGGGAGGCGCGGAACCTTCCCTGAGGGGCTTTATCCTCTTGCGGGCCCGTAGGGCTTAGGTCTTGCTCGTCAGCTGGCGAAGGCGGAGAGGTAGAGTGGCCATTTCAAATTTCCTTCGATGAGGGAAAGTTGAAGTGGCCATTTCAAATTTCCCTCGGTGAGGGAAAGTGGAAGTGGGCATATTCGATTTTCCTTCGATGAGGGAAAGTTGAAGTGGCCACTTCAAATTTCCTTCGATGATTCAACGGGCGCGCGGTTCTCGTTTGCCTTCGAATCGATGCAACGCCATTGGGTGCGTATGGGGTGAGTGAATGCGCGCGCGCAGCGCGCGCGCGAATTTTTTTTGGTTCTACGGCTTAAGTACCAAAAGGGAGCATACCATCGCGATTCAAGGGGAATTAGGTTTACCACGGCTCTCCCTATTGACCTATTCTCCCTATTCCGCTCTCCCTATTCCCTCGATTCACTACAGTCATATATAATATATGATCGTGTGAGAGTACTTGAGATCTCCGTGGTGCATGCAAGAATTGGACGGGCACGTATCACCATGAAGTAGCACCTAGGAGCAAGGACGAGCATGACGAGCAGATAAAAGTCTTCCTGTGGTCAGCGGTGGCAGCCTGGACCACGAAGTGTCGTGAAGCGAATTAAATTCTGTCACTCCAGTACGCTGACTATCATCTGGTAACCAAATGCGTAGAAAGCAAACATATGATATGGGAAAACTGGAACTTCATCGGCGTTGTTGCGCTCTGGTGCATTTCAATATGATATAGTCATTTTATCAAAAAGGCAGTGAAGCTTCACGAAGGCAATGTGAATTTTTTTGCACAGGATAGCACCGGGACTTTTTTCAAGCACCGGCTCTAGATTTCGACGAGAAGGACCACTCCGGCGAAGCGCGCGCAGACACGGAGGACTACGCCAGCGATCAGCAGGTTTGCAGCGGGAAAAAACTGCAAAGCGACTTGTCGGGCGAGATGGACTTTGCAGAAAGAAAAATCGGAGAGCTGCCGTCCTTGCAATACGGCTCACCCGGACCATCCGCGGCGATGGCCACGAGCAGTTTCACCGAAAGAACGGGGCGACGTGCGCACTCCACCAGGGAACGGGAAGATTTCTCAGCGCTGGAGCACAATCTTGCGCGGGGGCAGAGAGCAGCGCAATCGACGAGCAGTACTAGTAGTGGAGATGGTGCAGGGCAAAACGGTGACATGGACCAGCTCGAGGTGGAGGCGATGCAGCAGCTGCAGGAGATCCGAAAAGACAACGCCGAGGAGCGGTTTCAAACGCTGGAGGGGGAGTGGCTACAGTTGCTCCAGGTGTTCCGGGATCAAGAGGACGAGTTGCTCGAGCTGTATCTAAAAACCGTGGCGCGCCTGACACAGCCCGTGTTGGTCTCGGAGGACATCGTGGATCTGTCTCGCGTGACGGGGCAGTTGCTGAGCGAGGCCCTCGCTGTGGGCGTGCACCTGGAGAAATTCGCGCGAGCGGGGCGTGCGGCGGAGCAGGTGCCCAAGCACATGCTGCTGCCCACGGAACTGTACGCAGATCTGGAGAAGGAGGAGCTCGATGCCGCGCACCTCAAAGATTTACTTACCAAACTCCAGATCTCCGACGTGGCGCCGCTGTGGCAGCCGTACTCCGACCTCGCGCGCCAAGAATTTACAAACACCCTATGCAGCCGCTGCACCCAGCTGCACATTAAGCACGAGACGAGCTGCGATAAGGCTGCTGTCTTCCCCGGCGGTGCTGATCCCAGCATTTCCCAGGACGTGGTAGAGGCCGAGCACGGTGAAATTTCTTCTGATACTCCGCGTACGCACGTGCTGTGGAGGCACGAATCAGTTTGCTCAGACGCCAAGGCCTGGGATTACTACGGCCTATTTTCTACATCCGTGAAAAGTGTAAGCGAGATACAATATGGTGTGCGATACAAGTGCGGGATCAATGGCGACCACATTACGGTAAATCAACCTGACCTACGCACCCCTCAAATGGTGACGCACATTGGCGTGGATCGAAAACTACATGAAGGCACCGACACCATGGAAATCAAGTACTATCATTGCGGTGACCAGGCACGCCTCGGACAGAGCGTCGCGACGACGCAGGCGTTTGCCCTTACCAGTGGCGCCGGCGGTGGCATCCAGAAAGGCTGCGTCCGACAGACAAATATGAAGCACTCCGGCTACGAAAACCACGGCGTGGGTTCGCGATTCGTCCAGGACGTGCGCACCTACGAAGAGTGCCTGAATCTGTGCGTCGAGTTATGCAATACAACGCAATTCCAATTTTTTATGCCCGTTGCGCCCAAAATAAATGTATGATTGAAATTGAAAACGTGTATTTGATTTTCATGAATTTCATGATTAGATTGTAAGCAGACGTGCATCTTTCTGCTGCAACTGCATCGTATGGAGGGGCTTGGCTTGTATTTCTTGCGAAGTAGCACGTGCACTTGCTCTTGCAAAGCTTGCGCCTGTTTGCGGGCCATGCTGATCTTCATCAGAGAATATTAGAATCACCTGTATTCCAATACTTTTATTTGAACCGCCTCGGTAATGCTAATGCTATGTCTCTTATCCGGCGGATCGGCATCAAAGTTATTCCTCGACTTCTGGTTTTGTCGGACATTGACATTGATTTGAGTATCATGTCTTGTGAACACAACTTTTGCATGGTTCTGCCCTGCTCGTGCTGAGCCTCGTCTTCTTGTGTGTAATCTTTCTCGTCCTGGTCTGCCTCACCTGCAATTCGAAACAGTAACAGTGGAGGAACTTTCTTGGGTCTTCAGCGTGGGCAAATAAAAAGTTTGAATGCATAAGAGACCGAGGCCTGTAACGGGTTCACCTTCGCACGGACCAAGATTGTGCACGACGCCAATCCCCTCAGTGTTGCTGTGAGCCGGACCGCGGCCGAAAAATTTTGCACGCGGATCGAAAACGTGGAGTACGTAGGCACGGATGTGCACGGGAACATGGATGGGCTAGTCACTTTCGAACAGTGTTGGGCGGCTTGTAAAGCCCACGACAAGTGCGTAGGCTTTGTGTACGGAAAACACGTCCCGGACGATGCGACCGTGTTGACATCAAACTGTATCCTCAAGTCGGACATGGGTGATCCCGATCCCGATTTTCAATACCACATATACGATTTCGATTCTGTGTTCTTGAAGCGGGAAGATGGCTCGATCTGTGACGCGCCACCTGTACCTACATGCCGGCGCTTGGAAGATGTAACGTACTTAGCAGGGGAGTTCAAGGACTTTAAAAGTCCGGAAGAACCGACGGGCAAGCTCACCTTTGAGGAATGTTGGACGGCCTGCGCAAACAACTCGGACTGCAAGGGCTTTACCCACAGGAAAGACGGCACCGCTACTGCCGGCAACGATGAGAGCTGTGCCCTTTTCCTCACGGACGAAGCGGTGGCGACTGAGAAGGCCAGGAAGGACAATTGTTGTGACTCGGTGGTGTTGGACCGCGTGGCGGGAGGAGGTCTTGTGGAACAAGATGAAGAGACCTGCTTTCCGCCAGTCCCCGTGACACGCCATGTGCTGCCCTGGTCGCGCGACGTTACCGATACCTGCGTCCGTTTGAAGAACATAAAATTTCCAGTCGACGGTACCGGCGTATTCGCAGTCGTAGCGGACCTGCCGTTTGAGAAGTGCTGGCTGTTGTGCTTGCAAGAAACCGACTGCAAAGGTTTCACGTACAACAAGAATGCGGCACAGAAAGAAGATGCAGCAGCAGCAAACGACCCCAACTGCTTTTTGAGATCAACAATGAATCCGGAGACTGCTACCATCAGCGAGCCCTCTTTTGACTCCGTCGTGATGGAGCGGGAGAGCGAACAACAAGAAAGTAGCTTCGAATCTTGCAAGGAAAAAGTGAAAAGAGAGCAGGCGGAATGCGGACGCTTGAAGAGGCAGAAGGTCCGCTTGATGCGTCCAGATCCGTCGCAAAGGCAAACAGAGACGAAAGCGGTCACGGCAGACACATTCCAAGACTGCTACACTCAGTGCTTTGATAGTCCTGATTGCAGAGGGTTTTACTTCGAAAAGGCAGCCACCGGGAACAATATTAATTGTCATCTCCAGAATAGACAAGAAAACGCGGTGAGCTCTCTCACGGTCGAGGTGGAATACAATTTGCATTGGGACTCGGCGATCCTCATAGACAAGACGGAAGACGCTTGCAAAAGTAGCGTGAAGCGGAAAGTTGGAAAAAACAGAGGCGGCGCGCCAAGACCGCCGGACGAGTTTCTCCCAACCTGCTTCATTCACGACCAGCCGAATTTTTTTGCGTTGAAGCCGAACCATGGTACCGACGCCGTTGAAATGACCCCCGAATGCCGCCGCTCGAAACAAACGCAGTGCGAGGGATGTGGTAATCGTCCCAACGAGTGCTGGGGCACCTGTGGCGGAGGGGGCGATTACGCACCAGGTTGGTGCAACAAATGCGATTCCAACGACGGCACTCGTTCGGGTGCCTGCTGCCGAGCTTTTCGAGACACGGACCTCGCAGACAACAAAATGCAGCCGCCGGAATGTCGCCAGGAATACAACCCCCTTTTGCAGACCCAGTTTAAACCCCATGCACGGGACTACGACCAATGCGTGCTACCACACATACGCAACTTCGGGTACACAAGTTTGGGTCGGGGATGGTGTCAGTGTGGCGGTCAAACGTGCGCCGGCGAAAAGCAATTTTTGCTGGCGAGAAGCGGCAACACACGGAAATCTTGCAGTGAATTGTGCAACAACGACGGAAGGTGCAAGGCCTTTGTACAAACAACCAGCAGCGAGGGCACGGAGGTCGAGATGGACCGCTGCACACTATTTCGGCCCGAGAACAACGCGGACGTCGACGGAGTTGCGGAGGAGAAGGAGCCACCAGCTGCGAAAGCCGCCCCCTCTACGGCCTCTCCTTCTTCTTTTCTTGAGGACTATCACTGCATGCGCAAGATTGAAGTGGGCAGTGACATCGGGCCTCCGAAGTTGCCAGAGTTGGTCACGGGCGAAAAAAACCAACCTTCTAACCAGTATCGCGTAGCTCTGCTGGGGGAGAAGTGTCACGGCCGCGCGTGCGCCAAGCTACAGGAATCGAAGTGCGACGGATGCTTCCAGACTGCCGACAGTAGTGCTACAATCACGGTCACTGTCAGTCTCGCAGATGGCTCTTCACGCGAGGAGCAATGGGACTGGACCTGGCGCCACGACGGGGACTGTTTCGTAACCTGCGGCGACAAAACTGGCTGGTGCAACAAGTGTGATTCGCGAGACGGTACTCGCTCCGGTGCGTGCTGTAACGTGTCGAAAGTAGGACACACGTCCGAAGCTTGCACACACACGAGTTGGCCAAATGATTTTCCCCTGCGCTTCAAGGGGACAAGAACTAATACAACTGAAGCAGCTAGTGGAACGGCCGGCCCCGAAACGTCACTGGTGCGAAGCGACTTCATCGGCGATTCTGTAGTACCAGAAGAAATTGCAAAGCACGCGGAGTGCGTGTTTCCCGGGGCACAAGTTGGCCGCTCAGTTAAGCTACACGAGTCCAAGTGTGACGGCTGCATTGCCGAGACATTCGGAAAAGTATCGACCGCTGAAGACAACGCGGTGCCGGGAGACGAAACGTGGTTCTGGCGCCACCAAAACGACTGCTTCGTGACCTGCGACAGACAAACGGGCTGGTGCGACAAGTGCGATTCGTTTGACGGGCAGCGCAAGGGGGCCTGTTGTCACCCGTCGGGAGCACAGGGCAACGGGGTCGGGTGCCCAACGGGGTCGGTCGATGCTAACAGCGCTTTATTTCCGATGCGGTACGACCTCGCAATACACAAGAAGGGTGGAGCTGCCGGTGGGACGCAACACGACGAAACGATCCTCCAGGGAGATGCTATTTTGGGCTTGCCTGTCGCTCATAGAGATGCTCTGCTGAAGCATGTCGGCCACGAGTGTATGTTCCCGCAAGATGATGCTCAGTCTACTGATGCACCTGAGTCATCTGAACATGTTGCTCCGTGGTATTCTCCGGAGTACGTTTCGCAAGCAGACCCTGGTTGGTGCAACTGCGAAAAAAGTGACGGATCGAAAGAGGCTTGCTCGAGCAGCCAGTTTGTTCCCTACAGCCACGACGCGACCGTTGATTCAACTCCCTTTGGCTCCTTCTGGTTTTGCGCCGACCTCTGCAGCGCGGACTTGCATTGTACCGCATACATGCTGATGCGCGAAACGGATCCTACAGGCGCCAATGCTCTTGCCGATTCCAACTGCATTCTGTTTCGGAAGGAGGCGCCGGAAGACGACACGAAGGAGAAGAACGCTCACTTGAAAGACGCCTGGCAGAAAGATCTTGCTCCAGCTGGCTTCGAGACCCGTTGTTATCACAAACAACCGACAACGTGCGCAAGCTTCAAATCGCCATCGGTCTGTAACTCCGACGGGGTTTATCTCAATGCGAACACTGCCAACACCCCGTACAGCAGATGATCCCAAGACTGTTGCAAAAAATGCAAACTCAAAAAATAACCTCAACACTCACAAAGAGAGCTCGCACACTTTTCACTACAACTAACTTGGCTGGCAGGTAGGTTTCAAGTTTCTTCGCGCTCAGACGATGACGATAGGTGGAGGTTTACTATTTTCAAATGCGCTAGTAATGCAAGAAAAAGTATGCATTTTTTTTTTCATGTCTTGATGAACAGTTGTACAGCACATGGTCACGACTTAGGCAATGTCGAGTCGGTTTTTGGGGGTCATTTGCATTTGGGATGCTGTCGGTGTTTTTCGTTCTGACTTCGGGACAGCGAGGTTCGGTCTTGCACGTCGTTGTGTTTGGACAAGCATCGAAAACCCGAACGAGAAAGCGATGGTAGAGACGTGCTTTGATTGCGACGAGAAAAGCGTGATCCTCCCAGGAGATGCGACGGAGGCAACCGAATGGCAGGTCCGTCAATGCGAATTTGCGAGCGGTTTGAAATGCCGGATGGACAAAAGCACTGGGCACTGCCTCCCGGTAGTTAGCCCTGCAGTTTCCGCCCACGGCGCTGGAGGAGGAGGTGCCGGCGAAACTACAATGCAGTCCTCCTCGGTTCACCAAGCGCAAGCTCGTCCCGAGCTTGGTGCTACGTCAGTAAGTGCTGGCAAGCAGGAGAAGGAGAACACAAATCACGCTCCTGCCACTTCTTCTCCAGAAGACCCGAGCTGTCCGTCCTGTCCTACGTGACCTTCCTCAACATCGCACCAGCTGGATGATTGATTTGACTCAACTTTCCCACTACACCGAACTTGCCCTCATCCGTAAGAGTGGCAATAACTACATGAACATCAAAGATTAAGATATAATATTAAATCTTTACCTCTGTTTTTGATTTTCAATTTTACAGCTTATCTTTATACACAACTAAGAAACCGCCCCTGAGCATTTTTCTGCCTTTATTTTACACTGTTTTTTACATGTACACTAGACTTTGAGCTTCTCTATTTTGAACAGTGTGAGAAGTACAAGAAAAAAGAAATTTGTTTCAATAAATATCCATGCCAAAATCTGTCATCATTGCCTCTTTTCGAAATTTTCGTTTATATTGATTTTAGACACAGGTAATTCTAATTGCACGAAAGTTTTCTCGGCAGTATGATCTTTCGCGAGTTGTATAACTAACAGTTTGCTTTTGTAAAATAGCTTTGCAGTGACAATATGCATTTTGAACCAGGATTGTGACAGAGGGGAAGCCACCCACCTCCTCCAGGCTCTCGTTCACTTTTATTTACGTTCGATGTTGACTGATAAGTAACTATCAGGTAGTTGAAAATTCTAAATCGTCCCATCTTTGATCTTATTACGCATCCCGTCCTTGTTTCAGGCTGATCAAGGTCAAAGATAGAATGTGTGTGGGTCGTGAAGATGGCGGTGTTACTATGGTGAGTTAGAACATCTTGTGTTCAACTTCATGATCATGTAGCGAAATTTTTGGTCATGTCCTTGTCCCTTGCTTTTGGTTCTCAAATGGGTATTTTGGTCCAGCATTGGTTTGAGTGCAATTTTACTCCGACGAGCAAACATTTTATTTCCTCCACGATCAAAAGTTCCCTTCGGTAGGCATTGGTCGTGTTTCATTTTGAAATTATCCAGAACTATAAACGCGATGGTTAGCTCATGTCGTGGTTTAGCGTTCGTTGGTTAGTGTGTCAGCGTGTCAAGAATGTATCATACATCCGCCGTGTTTTATTTTTCCCAGATACTGGCCCAGCACCGCACGGTGTCGTGGGATAGGTCCATCTTTGCGATCTAGTGGCACAGGATAAAGAACGAAACCGAGGACACGTCAGCAACTTAAAGGTTCTTTTCATGTAGCCGTCTTCATGATCAGGAGTAGTATTCATTGTGACGAGGCTATCGCTAACGCTATAGATTCAAACAATAAAGTTAAAGTTAAAGAAAAACGCGAAACTTGTTGGACTTCGTAAACAGTTTACGAAGTAAATAATGCCGACTGGGAGAGCTTTGACAAAACGTTCCAGCCCCCGTCTTGGCGGGGCCGGTTGGTTGTCTTCTGCAACATGGTCGTTTCATCGGGAGGCTAGTAGTAGTTCTGGGCGGGCGAGCGTGGCGAGCATGTGGACGGTGATGCCCCGAATGCAGACGAGAACAAGTGGCTGTAAGGTGGTCCTGACATCAACAGAATTCGCAGCCGCGTCGTCTCTCGTCCGCCAAAAGCGTTGCTTTGCCTACTCCGACACATCAGATCGGCGGCTTGCGATACGCGAGAGAAAAGGCCTCGAAATTCTGGATTTTTTCAGTGAGAACGCGGATATCGACTTTGCGACTATGCAAGAGGCGATACGGGGCCTCGCGAGCTCTAACCACCAGAATCCGCAGCACATGAACGAGATTGCGACCGACGAGCGGTTCCGCCTTCTTTTGGCAAAAGTGAAGGACAAAGTGGACAACGCAGCGCTGATCGACGCGCGCTCGCTGGCACAATTAGCCGACGCGCTCGCGAAGCTGCGTTTCAACACGCCCGAGCTGGAGGACCTGGTTCAGAGCCTCGCCACCACGATTAGGCAAAGGGAGAACGCGTTTTCGCCCCGGTATCTGGCGCAGCTGGCGCTTGCGCTGAGTAGTCGCAAGGTGCACGACGTGGAATTAATTGAGTTTGTGCGGCAGGAGACTATGAAGGTCGTGCAAGACATCGAGCCGGCGCACGCGGTCGGTTTGCTGGAGGCCTTTCGCCGCTGGGGCTTCTTTGACCGGGAGATGCACGACATGATCGTGGAGCGGATGACGGACGAGGTCGACCGGTTCTCGTCCCGCGACATTGTGGACGCACTGAAAGTGCTGTCTGATCTGGGCCTGGTGCGCGGATTTCTGCTCCGCCGGCTGGCGCAGCTTGCCTTCGAGAACCTGCACGTGTTCACGCCGAAACAGTTGGTCGGCATGCTCTACTCCCTCTCCCGGTTGCGGTTTTTGGTGAAACTAAACGTGGAGGACGTGCTGGACCACCTGAGACAGGAGATCGACCAGAACCAGCTTTCCGCGGCGGAAAACGCGAAGCTGTTTTTCAGCCTGTCGATGCTGCAACCGGAGTACGACGACACCGAGCTGGTAAAGCTGCTCGGAACGCGGTTTCTGGACACGCACCGGACCCAAACCATCTACATGATCCACATGATCGACGTGGCTTGGGGCGTTTGCATATGAATTGCAAAAGCATCATGACAGTGCAGTCCTCGTAATTGCAATACAAATTCGCTTCGTGGCATGACGAATGTTATGGGTAAGTGGGTCTTTCTGTCTTGTAAAAGGTATTTGTATTGCTGCATGACTGGGATTAGTACCAGCGTGATGGTTTTGCAAATGATATTGCAGGTTCAAGCATTTGTTCGACAAGGACATGTACTCCGTGCGGATCCGAGACCTGATTGACCGCCTCATGGCCATGCCGGCGCCCAAAAATCGGGTACTGCTCGCAAAGTCGCACGAGATCCTGCTGTCGCTGCAGTTCGAGCACTGGGAGATATTTGCCGGAGCGGGGGCACCTGGACGAGGCGAACAGGACAAAAAAACCTCGGACGAGAAGAAGCACAAACAGCAAAGTTCGACCAGTACAACTCCAGCTTCTAGCTCATCTTCTTCTAGCAAGGTGCAGCTTTCCAAGCAGTGGCAGATTGCGTGCGAAGACGCAGACTCTGTGGCGCAGTCGAAGAACGAGAGCAGTCGACTGCAGGCAGAGCTGCTCCTTAAGCTGGAGCACACGTTTCACAAGCAAAAAATCCAGCTGCAGCAAAATGTGGGCTTGAGCATGGCCACGGCCACGGAGCAAGGACGCAGGAAAGCAGCGGAAATTGGCACGGCTAACGTTTTACGAATTGCAACAAACAAAATGCCATGGCCCAGGCGTGCTGGAAAGTCAAAGCAAGTCTATCTTCGCGATGCTAGTAGAGTTACATGAAAAAAAAAGAACAAGAAGCTCAAGATTATAGCAGGTGCAGTATGCCAACGCTTCAGTATTTCGATATAAAAGCAAAAATATCTGCCAACAAGCGCGGCATAATCATAAAGTTGAGCGTGCATGAGTTGATGTTGAAATAGAAAAAGTTAAAGTAGAAAAATAGACGCTGTAGGTGAGCACCAGCCGCATCCGCATCGTCGTGAGCAAGCACGGACGAGTGTTGGGAGTGTCTGTCATACATTCGAAGAACATCAGTAGCAATGACAAGCAAAAGAGATTTCGACAGAGACAAAGCCGTCAGGAAATGATGTCACTAGTCAGGCTCAGGCGATGGCAGCGTGTTTGCACGCGATTCCGTATTGGTTCGCTCCGAGCGGATTTGACGGACGAGAAAACGAAGTTGGTCATTGACCTCGACGCGCCAAACCGTCCGATTAACCGCACGGTGAAGCACCGGATTCTCAACAACCTAGGTTTCCACCCGGTGTCTCTCAGCTACTGGCGCTGGCGGCAGTGCAAGAGCGACGAAGAGCAGTCCGAATTGCTCGAGGCGAACATCGGACCACTGCTGGGTAAATTGCTCGAGGAAGGAGTTGTACCAGGGGCAGGAGATGCGACGGGAAGGGCACCTTCTTAGATGAGGCTCAGGTTGTATATGACGCGTGCTGCTGCAGCACCACGCACGGCACGTGGATTTGGACCATCAAACATGATATACTAGAAGTACACTTCTCAGAGGGCTGGAGACCACAACAGCGTCGCTTGTCGGAATCGACGGTTAATAGGATGGCTACCGCGGACACAAGACGTGGCGTGCCGTTTTGTAATTCTTGAAAACTTTGCTACGGCAAAAACACCTAGTCCAAGAAGTGGTGGAATAGTCGACGGATTTGAAAGCACCGACGAACCTCAACAAGAAGAAGAACATTTGGCGTTTTATACGCCCTTTGACTTTACAAGGGCTGTTTTGATGATGGCAAAAGTATCGGGATAGGTGGAATTCATCTACTCTTTTCTCTACTTCCTCCAGCTCCAGCAGTGGACGGGGGAATAAACAAAGAAAAATCACTTTCCAGCGGGCCACTGCTATGTGATTCGTGTTGTTGAAAAAGTAGATTCTTCGTGTTGCTACCTGTTCCTGTTCTGCAGCTCGTCTGTGAAGCAGGTTCTTTCAAGCAAAAAAGATCATCTCATTTCTCTTTCTTGTTGAATATTTTGACGACGAACACTCATTTTGGTTTTTGAAGACGAGAGCTTACTTAAGTTGCGTTGGTCTATCTTCCATCCCCCGAAGGGCCGCTTGAGCCACAAATTCAGCATGCCGTCTCGGCCGCCGACATCTGTCGTTGGCCGCTATCAAGGTGGTCATTCGCTTCGTGCAAACACGACGACTACATTGGCCAACGCAGGCGTTTACCGGCAGTTGTTGCACGAGCACCAGGGCCGTATTGTGACAATGGCGTTACAGCAGCCCAATAACTACGTAGTGGAAAACAAGAACGACGAGCACCACCACGACCGAAGATTACGTCAATCGTGCGCCGCAACCGCCTATCGCAGCTTTTATACGAAGACGAGGCTTTTGAGCAGTCGCTACTACGACGCGCGCGTGCGCCACTCGTACGGCCAAGCAACTTTGAATGCCCGGGGAAGACACCATGATCAGCTCGGTTTTTCACACGATCATTCAAGCGCGGAGCAACTTCACGCACAAGAGGACCCAACTGTACACTTCGTCTACCCACAAGACCCCCTGTTCGCTTCTCGTCGAGAGCAGCGCTACTTCGACGACGCGGCGATGCAACGGGTGGTGCTGGAGCGCAACAACGTGGGAATGGGGTATCTCGTCCTGAACGCGCCGACAGACGCGTTTCGGACCAGCCAGTGTTCGACGAAGGTGGGTCTTGACTTGCCGAGCGTGAACCTGCTGATCACAAAACTGCGCGATCTCGAGGTAAACACCACAAAACGGTTTGTGTGCCTCACACACAACATGGATGATACGATCGAAACGTGCGAGCGTCGAAAACACTTGCTCGGGGCGGAATTCGAGCACGCCGGCTTTGTCTTTGAAGGGCTCTCGGAGTTCGACCTGCTGCTGCTTTCTGCTGCCGAACAGCGCGACAAAATAAAACACAGAAGGCATGGCTATTGGTCAACAGTGCGCAAACCTAGAATCTCGTCAAGCACTGGCACCGCCTTTCCCGAAACTACGATTACGAACGGAGGTCCTCCAGTCGACGACGTTGAGGATTCCTCGTCGTACGACCCGTCTGTTGCTGCCTTGAATGTGGAAGAAGATGGCTCTACAGGACCACGTCCCGCCGCTGTCACGAGCACTTCTTCGCTGGTGATTCGAACGTTTCTGAAGCACTTTCAGGAGCTAACGTTGACTATTGCCGACTACCGCAAACCGCTGCTCACACACTTTCCCGGTTACGTGCTCCAGGAGGGCGTTGCCACGCTGTTCTTCAGCGAGTATTCCTGCGCCAGTAGGAGCACCAAGGTCCGCTTCCCCGACCTGCACGCCAAACCGCTACTCGGGGGCTTGTCGCTGCTGCTCGCGAGCAATTCGGTCGCGAAATTTTGCGCGCTGTCCAACCTGGAACTCCAGGGAGCGGACAGTGTGTACGCCAATCTCGCCAAGTACTGGATCGCCGGGCAGGACGCGTTTGACTTGTTGCAGCTGTGCGCGGAGAAAATCGCGTTCGCCACGACGGAGCAAGACGGGAGGCTGCTGCTGAAGGAGCATTTTCTCGAACTGCCAGAGGCCTCCCCGTGGTTCAAGCGCCGGTGTGCACTCATTTCACGAATCATGCGCAACACCGCTGGGAACGAATCCGACACGGAACAACCTTCAGCGCGAGCTTCTCTGGCGAGGAAAGCAGACGTGGACGATAGCAACGACGACCACCACGATGAGCAGCAGGAAGTTCGACGGGAGGAAGATGGCCAGGCGCACCCGGAGAACAGCCTTAATACAGGAGGTGGGGATGAGTCATCTGCAAGCAGGGTATCGCCCACGACGCCCAGGACAGCGAAATTTGATTGGCGACGCCAGGTGAATACGTGGCAGCGCGAGGCAATCGCGGCAATCAGCGGCACGATGGGAGAGAGCGCTGCGGATCATCACGTCACTTCCGCGGCGACAAAGGACGCCTTGTCCTTCGTAACCAGCTGTATGCGGTACTTCCGAGAAGACGAAAAATTCCGATTCGACATAATTCATCCCGACCGGAAAAATACGGCGACGTTGGACATAAAAACAGAAAAAGGCGGTGAGTTCGGGGACAGCAGCGATCAAGAGACCTTTCGGAAAGCAGGGAGTGAGGAGTCATTTAGTGGTGGTGTTTGCATCCAGCAAGAACAAGCGGAACTGGCGCGCCAAAAATTCACCTTCGCGTTGAACTGGGTCCTGATACAGAAAGCGCACCAAGCAAGGTTGGATACTGTCAAAATGGCTGGCGACCAGCAAAACGTCAATCGACTGTTCAGCAGCACCAGCAAAAACCACTCCGGGAGCGCTGCGTCCAGGTCCACACAACAACATGAGCACTATCTTCGCGAGGAGGAGCACCGGCACCGGAGCCGCATCGTGGACACCCTGACGCTGCCCCGTGTCCTGGCGATGGAACTCAAGGCAGCGGAGCTGCATCGGCAGTATATGGCAGAGGATACAAGTGTCGTGGTTGACTTCGTGCAAGGGCATGGTGTGAACCTTTTCGACGCCCTGTCAGAGCTCTTGGACGAGGACGGTCATCAACATGCCTCCCGAAGAGAAAACGCAAGAGGGAAATTATCTGCAGGTGGATGCGAACGAGCAGGAGAAACTTCTAGGCAGGAGCCAAGATCTTTGCATTCTTTCGGCGACACTGACACAACGACAACGACGCCGGTCACCTCCGATTACTTTGACAGCTGTGTGTTGAACCGAACTGAGTTCGCACTGTCGGCGGTGCCCTGGGTTCGGAAATTCCACCCAGACTACGACGAAGAAACGAAGGCGGACCACGATTTGGTACAGGGACAGCGAGACAAACACCGCTTCTCGGAAAATTTCCTGCAGCAAGAACTTTTTGAAATCAAGCAGAGCGTCTGTCCCGACCTCGTGCAGCGCTTTCATTGAAATCGAAAATTCAAATACTAATACTCATCTTGTCAAAAAATGAGAATGAGACTGCGAGACAAGTGCGTGACTAGCAAAAGTTTCTTCATAAATTTGAGAGCTCATGATTGTAGTTTCAGAACCAGAACAAGTTTTCTTAGCGTCACACAGAAAGTACACATGTTTGAAAGTGGTTTCGCGACGGATGATGACAATCTGGTCGGTGCCGTGTGACGATGGGAGTTGAAGTTGTGCAGGTGACACTCATACATTCATTGTTCCGAAAAATCCGCTGGAGATCCTTCAACAGAAGCTGCAACAACAATGTTGTCATCAGCTACGATATGGATAGGCACGTTTTAGGACAACGTATCGAAATAATTTTGTTGTTTTCCTTCTCTACTTTTAGCAAGAACAGTTGAAATTCTGATCATATGTATCTGATCATGTAAATTACGGCAGCAGCGTAGCGCCAAACTTTGCCTTGAATGTTGCTCCGTCGTGGAAATAATTTTTGTTCCGGTCCCGACAAGAAAAAGTGTTGTGAAAATTCACTACGATTGGTTCCGCTTCCGCTTCCTGTTTGGTACCACTAGAAGTGTCATCGTTCCAAGAGTTGATGGCTTGCGTGAAGATTTGGTGGTCGTTCAAAAGACATGTGTCATTCTATGTGGCATTCTCACCGTGCTTGGATTCTCATAGAACATAGCGGACCACCGCCACCCTGACGACATTACACCAAAGAAAAAAGTGTTTATCTGAAAGAATCTGATCTTGGTGGATGCACATATAGTCATGGTCGTTCAAACAACTCCCACGCGGGCAGTGGCGGTTGCTTCGGACCGTAGCACCAGCTCCTCGTCTCCTCACAACAAGGACTCAGCTACCTTTGCAGGAGCTGCAACATCCGCGGTTTCTGCCTCTGCGACTTCGTCCAGTAGCTCCAGTACTTCTAGCAGGGGCAAGGACATGCTTTCGCTTTCCGCAAAGAACACGAGCAAGAGGAAAGTGCTACAGACGGATTTCACGTTGGCGGACTTTGAAATCGGCACGACGCTGGGAATCGGCGCTTTCGGGCGGGTGTACTTCGCGAAATCGAAGAAGCACGGAAATCGCATTGTCGCTTTAAAGTCGCTGCAGAAGCAAAAGCTGGTGAAGCAAAACCAGACGAAGCAGGCCTACTGCGAGCGCGACTTGTTGTCGCAACTGACGCACCCCTTTCTCGTCGAGTTGTACGGGGTTTTTCAGACGAACCGCAACGTCTACTTTGTTCTGGAGTTTGTCCGCGGGGGCGAATTTTTCTTCCACCTGCGGCAGCGCGGGCGGCTGATCGCCCCGGTCGCGCGGTTCTACGCCGGCTGCATCGTCGCGGCCTTCCAGTACCTGCACGTAGACAAACGCATCGTGTACCGGGACCTGAAGCCCGAGAACCTGTTGCTCGCTCACGACGGGTATCTGAAGCTCGCGGATTTCGGTGCCGCAAAACTACTCGACGCATGTCTGGCGCCTTCTAATGGGGGTGCTCCAGGGGGTGATTTTGGCACGATGAATCAGCTGCACGGCCGGACAAGTCAGGAGCTCGACGGCACTGCTCAGAACAAGCGAATCCTGAACAATTCGAATCAAAACCGCGGACCTTCGTCCGGCAAGAAGTCGTCTCCAACATCAGCGAGCTCTACCAGGCCCTCATCTACCGCCAGCGAGCCGGTAGTACTCTCCTCATTTCGGACCAGCCGGACAAAATCCTTTGTGGGCACCCCGGAATACATCGCCCCCGAGATTCTTCTGAACCAGGGTCACGACTGCGCCGTGGACTGGTGGTGCCTCGGTGTTTTTCTGTTCGAAATGCTCACCGGGAACGCGCCGTTCCGCGAGGAAAGTTCCTCTAGTTCTGACGAAAACAGGGAGGACATACCCCCTGGAGTCGATGGTCGCGACGAGGACGGGAGCAAAAGTGCGAGCTCGCCACCACTGAGTAAACAAGACAACAAGCCACGGCAGAAAAAGCATCAAGAGGCCGCGGCAAAGATTCCCTACCCACTGAACATCTACCAGAAACTCCTGGGACGGGAAAGAGTGCGGTTTCCATCCTTCCTAAAGTCGGAAAAATCTGCCCGAGACATCATCCAGCACCTGCTCTGCGCCGACCCGGGAAAACGATGGACGCACAAACAGCTCGTGCCGCACAAGTTCTTCACCACGATGGTGCTCGAAGAGGAGCTTGTTTCTTCTACAACAAGCACTAGCACAAAAAATTCTCCAGAAGACAACAAGAGCGTCTGCGTCGGAGACCACAAGCCCATGACCTCGACCTCCGTCGAAACAAATAAAACCTCCGTGATCATCAGCGGGGAGAGGTATTTTCAGCAGCTGCTGGCGAAGAAGCTGGAGCCACCCTTCCTGCCAACTTTGAAGAGCGAAGAGGACACGAGTAACTTCGAGTATTACTCCGACTCGGAAGAGGACGAGATCTGTGCGCACGCGAACGGAAAATCCAATAACTTCGCGAAAGTAATGAGCACGGTCACATACGATGCATGTCAGGAGGCTTTTCGAGCCTGGTGCTGATCTTCCGAAACAATCGCGTTGAATTCAATATGAATATACACTTTTGGCAAAAAATCATGAAAGCAGTCGTTGCAGACTTCTTTGGAACTGGATTGATCACCCTCCTTCACAGTCGCAATCGGATGTCCACTTTGCAGTGACGAAATTCATTGCCGAGGTTCTCGTAATTTTTGGTTCGGATGAAAGACGACCGTTTCATTTTTCTTGTGCCAACAACATGAACATCTATATCTAAGTAAGTTTTTGACCTTCAGGTTCAGCACAACATCGCTGAGAATGTACAGCTAAATCGCTGCTCATGCTCTATTGAGGCAACCGTCATCTTCATGTCGGTCTTCGTGTGATGTAGTAGAAAAGAAACGACCAAGCGATCTTCACGTTCACGAACAAGGAAGATCGCATTGGATCCACGCGAGTGGTACCCCAGCGGAGGCTGCTTCTAAGATCAAACGAGTATGACGAGTGTGATCCGGAAGCAAGTTGAGCTGGTATTTTGGAAGTGTGTCAATACTTTCGGTTCGCGTGATCTCGAGCTCGAGCTCAACTATCCGATCGTCGTGCGGCTCTCTACTTACTTTTGCGTCATGAATGCTTGCGGCAGCGTAATCAAGTCGTTCCTATTTCTTTAGGACAACCCGCCGATCTCTAAAAAGGCAGCAAAAATCGTGGTGCAAGCATGATCGTCATCGTTCTCGAGAACGAGACGCTTTGTTTATGTTCTTCATTATCAGGCATTAAGCAACTAACGCACCGAGCTACACAAAAAAATAAAAAGGTTGAAGTAGAACTGCAAACTAGCACTTCCTTCCCTATTCGGATTTTCCTTTGATTATCTACTACTTTGTTGATGTGATTTTCATTTTTTTCTTCAACAGTGGTACTATACGTATACCTCTCGCTAAAACGAACTTTTACTTTTTATCATGACGATTTCGGTTGTGGCCCACCCAGCCTCATCCGCTGAGGAGGTGGACAAGATGACAGTGGTCTCAGCTGAGGCAGATGTGAACAAATCAGCGCCCTGCCCCGGCTCTTCCACCGAGGCCTTTGTGCCAACACTGGACCTGTCTCCGATGTTTAGTACAGAAGAGGCTGCTCTTCTGGAGTCGGCCGACGTGCAAAAGTTGGTGCAGAAGATGCGACACACCATGGAGACCGTAGGTTTTTTTCAAATTGTTGGCCACGGGGTCGAGGAGACTATCGTGAAGAATATGTTCGCGAAAAGCAAGGACTTCTTCGATTTACCAGAGGAATCAAAAAACGAAACCCCCATGACACCCACCTACCCGTACGGTTACGAGGCTGCGGAGATTCTCGCGAAAGGCTGGCATGAAACGGAGCAAGTAGCTGACAGCAAGGAGGACGAAATAAAGGATACTACAAAGGAGAACTTGAACTGCCCATCAACTGGCGACGAGAGATCGCCCGCGTCCGTGGATGAACTAGAAAAGCCTGCGAAAAGGACGAAGACGGATCACGTTGAGCCACCTGCCAAGCTGCAAAAGCCGGAGCCGGACATGAAAGAGACTTTCAATTTCACGCTCCACAAAAGCTTCCGTCCCTTCAAGTTTCCGCGCCAAGAACTGTTCCAGCAGGGGGCTGCACAGGGTGGCAGTGCCGAGAACAACGTCCTCGATCTCTCGTCGGATCTTTCGTTTCAACAGGCGTGCGAGACGTACTACGAGTCGATGTTTCTGCTGGCGAAGAAGCTGCTGCAGGTTTTTGCCATGGCACTGGAGTTACCGGACGTGAATTGGTTTCTCAACAAGGTGGACGAGCACCAGAGCGCGTGCCGCTTGCTGAACTACCCGCACCTAGACCAGTACCAGCCGAACAAACTGCGCGCCAGTCCGCACACGGACTACGGAATCCTGACAATCCTGAAACAGGACCAGACCGGGGGCCTGCAGGTCCGGAACGAGTTCACCAAGTCCTGGGTCAACGTGAAGCCCAGCGCCTGCGGCAACGCGTTCGTGGTCAACATCGGAGACTTAATGATGCGGTGGACCAACGACAAGTGGAAATCTACAGTGCATCAAGTGGTACAAACTAGAGAATTTTTGCAGCATAAAAGTGCTCTTATTTCGAATTGATTTCTGACATGCCTGTGGCTGTGCTGCTTCGTCTCTTGTTCTGCGTCGATTTATTGCTTATATGTTTATGGCATGTCACCCACAGGTAGCACCGCCGTTAATCCGCCCGAACGTGTCCAACCGGCGACAGAGTGTGGCGTTTTTTTTCAACGCTAACGAGGACGCGGCGATTGAGACTTTCCCAAGTTGTCGCGAGAGTGATGGAAGCACGAAGTACCCCATGGTCATTGCGGGGGAGTACCTAATGTCAAAGCACGGAAAAGCGAACACAAACTGAGTATAGCCGTAGACAAAACTTGCCATCTTCTGTTCCTCTGGAGCAACCGCAAGAAATTTTTTGACATTGGCCCAGTTCCTCTTCGTGCTCCTGGCACAATACCACGACCTAACAGCAACATAGAGAAAGACGAGCCGACGATGAAAAACAAAAACTAATACCGATGACGATGATGGCTAGATTTTTGGACGGCCAACACATGACATGGATGGAATTGCAATTGGAATTTCACCTGCTGCAGTTTTCAATCCTGTACAATTCTTTTACCTTTTGCCTCGCGTTCGCACAGATGATCTCGTACCCAAATGAAAGGCTAAGGCATTTTGCTGTTTTGAAAAATGAACACCACGAAGAGACAACTTTTTTTGTGGAAGAAGGCATCTCTTTCAGACACAGTGCAGCTGCTCGCTCCTGGAGTTCAAGTCTCCGTCCAACAAGTGCTCTGACTTTGCCGTGTCGTCGTGTGGGCGGTTGCCTTCAATTTCAAAAAGAAGTCAGCGCAGCTCACGTCACAATCGTAAGCGTCAAAAAATCGGTGCAACTACAGGAGCTGATACTAGATCGGTATTTGCCTTTGGACACGTCGTCGCTCTCTTCCTCGATTACCTGGAAGGACGAGATAACGCACGCACTTCTCCTCGGTCGTATGGACTGCTTCGTAGTGTTTGGATTCGGTTGATGGTCGAGACCCGTTCCTGTCGGTTGAAAATGTAGAAGTTGCTCCTCGGATTGACATCATCAACTACACGAAACCAAGTAGATAATCGAGCGACAAGACCAACAACCTATACCTAGTAGCGCTAGACGTGTTACTTAGTGTCCCAATGCCATCAATATGATGAAAGTATTAGGATTCTATCGGCCTCGTCAAGTTTGATGAAGCGCAGGAGCATTAGCAGAACCTATATCCCCAACTTAACGTCACTCCCAGCTGAGTTAGTATAGTGCTCGGACTTGCCCTTTTGCGTATAGCGTATTGTCTTCGTCACTCTCGCTCCTCGCTCCGCCCCTTGTCAGCATAAAATGATGAAAACCCGTGTAAATTAGCCTTACCAATCTATCACGACGAAGAGGAAGACGATGCCCGTCGTTGAAGTGTCCCTGATCGTGTTGGGTGCCGAGGTTGGCGCCGCGTTTCTGTGGCTTTCCTCCTGGTTCAAAGCGCCCGAGGTACACGGCCCAGCTTTATCCGCGAGAGAAACGAGCCTGGCACCTTGGCAACTGGACAGAGCAGCAGCAGTCGCAAGAGACGAAGACGACGACTCCACCACAATTGCAGAAAGTGCCAGCGCTGAAGAGGAGGACCGGTATAGGCACGACGAGGACCTCGCTGATCCGTTGCTGTCCTCCGCAGTTTCTGCTGTACTCCTGGTTTCGCCATCAGCAAACGGATGAGAGCATGTGAAGTAGACATGAACTCAACACATGAGTGCAGTAGAAAATGAGCACAGTGTCAAGAACAACTTCAACTCAAAATCAAACGAATCAAAAAGAAAATTGGCGAGGAACCGGCAACTAAGGTGTCAGCATTTCATGATCTGTTGCACCTGAGCGTCGTCCAGCGTCTGAAAACGCGAACGCCGAAAGCCAAAAAAAAACAAAAAGTAAACCCATACACGACATAAGCAAAGCTGCATGATGCAGACAAACAAGGTACAGGCTGCGTTTCTAACTTCAGCGTAAATATAAAAACGAGTGACCCAGGCACCGCTTCCGCGGAACCTCAAGTAAAAGTCCTGTTGGGCAACAGATGAGTTGTAGTAGATGAAGTGTTCCACATGATGTTGAGGTGGTTTTTGTTTTGATACTCCCGCCCCGCCAAGATCGTTGACGAGGATGTATGAGCATTGGTGTCCTTTTCATAATTTTGACATCAGACAAATACGTGGTATATCCATCGGTTTCCTTTTTCCTTCAAGATCAAGGGTAAAACGACGATGCTGCGGTAATACAAGAAACAGGCACACCAGGCGACATACATCGATCCAGAAGATTTGAGTGCCCTGCTTTAGTTTGTAGAGCCTGATCATTTACTTAGTTATTTATTATCCCCGTGCCCGATCTTGCGATGATGGTACAATTGGTAGCTTGAGAAGATCACTCAGATGAGGGCTCCTCCATGTAGCCTTCAACTCCTTTTTAGTGTAGTAGAACAACGTCATCGAACATTCTGACATCTCTCTTCGATTTTTTTGTGGTATACGTAATTGCTGACGCTGGTCTTTGGACCTAGTAGGTTGGAGTAGTCAAGTAGCTCTAGTAACTTGTAGTTTTTTATAGAAGAGTAAAGTTGTAGTTCGAAAAATGATCATAGCCAAGAACAGCAGACATTCGGCAATGAGCGGCTGCGTTCGCTCAGCCACTTCGATGGCGCGGTGCTACTCCAGCGTTTGCAGTTCTGCTTCGCCAAGTGCGTCCTCTTCAGCCTTCGATCGAAAGGGCGCGCGATCGAATGGAAGATCAAGTGGGTATCAAATGGCTCTAGTACCAGGTTCGCGACCATCGCTTGCTGCAAAGTCGGACGCAACAAGCCTCAATTTCGCCGTGCGGGGAACCTGCAGCAGATCCAACGTGCGCGCAACGGATCTTGAGAATAGACTTTTGTCGACCAATATTCATCAAATCTCCAAGCGGAGCTTCGCGCGAAAATCAGACTCGCCGCCGCCTTCCAGTCCACCTCCACCAGCGGCGCCCCCCGCGGACCCATGGCAAGAAGTAAGTGAAAGTGCTAGTGTCCTTGTACCTTGTCCTTGTAGGAGAAGTTTGTTGTCTACTATGTCCTTGATGTCAGCTTCCACTGCCTGAGTAACTACCTTATGAACAAGATACTGTAGCATAGTTCGTTGCTTGTAGTTTTTCTATATTCAGGTTGACACGATAGCTGCAAATACTAAAAATGCATCACCCCAGTATAGCCACGAACAAGAAGAAGAAAGCCGATCTTTTGCATATTTTCGTAGGTAAAAGATCCGGCGGGCAGTGGCAAAACCTATTGGTGGAATACGCAAACAAACCAAGTAACGCCGTTGGGCGCCAGCAAGCCTCTCGCGACGCAGCAGCAGCAGACGACCGCTCCGGCCGCGCCGAGCGCGGGCGGCGGGTTGATGGGCGCGATCGCTGACGGCATGGCGTTCGGCTTTGGTAGCTCGCTGATGCACCGGGCTATGGACTCAGTGATGGGACCCCGAACGATGGAGGTAACAGGGATAAAGATTTTTATGATTGTGAAGCCACCTTATTGTATCCGATAGACGCGACTTTCCCTCTACTGAGGCTGATTTCAGCAAGGCGAGCTGCAGCTGCTCCATAAATCGGCATGTAGTGTAGTGTCCTTGTCCACCTTGTGATACAACATGAAAATGAATATCGAACAAATCTCCAGGTCACGCACACGCAGGAGGGACAGACACCACCACCGGATGCGCCACCGTCCCCACCACCAGCTTCGGGGGACGATGCCGGAGGCTCTTATTTCCAGGAGGAAAGCTCTTGGTTCGGGGGCGGCGACGGTGATGGCGGAGGAGGCGGTTGGTTCGATGAGTGAACATGTTGCTACATCCTGCCGCATCAATCTGTGACGCGGCTGGTAGCCAGTTTCAGACCGCGTATGATGAAGTCAGTAGTGTTGCTGCTGTCAGTACAGCAACGGACGAGCTCTTCGATGAGGATGTTGATGAAAACAGAAGTTAGCCGGACAGTGGCCTACTTGGCCTCCTTGCAGCACAGGACGGGCGCTACCTGTTCATCTGTTAACTGTCACTGTGTGGTCAGTGAGTTTGAGAACAAAGACTCCCACGATAAATCAATGGCGCCCTGGATGGCAGTGAGTCTGAGTCACCGTCTGAGTTTGTTCTGGGGCTGAAAAAACGCCAGCATATGTATCTATGACGATCAAAAAGTCGCGCAGAAACAAAGGCGGCGTCTGGTTCATCGATGGAAGTAAGTAGATCATTCTGTGGATATGGTAGTCCATGAAATCGGTTACGGTTGCATTTTCCGTGTATTAAGTAGGCTTCCTCTTACCTTTGCGCTTGCGCGTGCCCTGAGAGGGTATGCTTGGCCTTCGATTTGGTCCGTGTTGCACTCGTCAGGACCAACTCTCATCATGAGAAAGAGATGTGTAGCAACCGTCCCTGTGGTGGGTACTACATGAAAAATGCACTTCTACGACGCGAAGTGGAACAAGTCAAAGTGAACCTGAATTAGTTGCATTTGAGGGCACATCTTGTTCTGGAGGAGTTCTTACTTCTACTTGTTTTTTCCTGATAAGAACGTCAGCGCTTCGGCCTGCGATCGGGATGCCAACCACAGGCCCCGTTATTTCGACGTCCGCTTCCGTCGCTGCACGCTGGGCGGAAAAACTGACATCTGTCGTGACCGCAAGCTCCTCTTCAAGAGCCCTGCTGCAAAAGTGCGCGACCGGGCTGAGCGAAATCAAGCTGACCGCGGCCTCAGGAACACCGTCGAGAAAGAATCCGCCGACAGCGAGTGCGACATGGTCGAGTATCCAGCGTGTGCGACGCCGAGATGCTTTGTGGCAGCGTTTGCACCAGAGCTTTGACCGTGATTCCATGGAACGGAGGATCCTTCGCACGCACCCGCGGGTGCGCGAGATGCTGGATGTGTGGCTTGAAAGTGACGCTAACCAGGAAACCGAGCGCATGAGCAGTTGTAGCAGCTCTTCCGGAGGTACATCTGCGCTCCTTCCCGAGATTCCAGCCACCGCACAATCGAAAATCAAGGAGTTTCTGGCGAAGCTCGAGCTGCAGCTAGACAGTGCTGACAGCGTATCTTCACGCGGAAATAAAGCTTTATCCGCTACAAGTGGAAAAAACGATAACAGCACCTCTGCCCGCACGGGATGCGATTCTTGGGCTTCCTCGAAAATCCCCTCCCCGGCGTGCCAGAGTTCCCTGCAGCGGTTGCAGCAGCAGAAGCAGCGGGTCGAGGCGGATGTCAGCAGCTTGCGCTTCCTGTATCAGCGAATTCTGTCGCAAGACACGCTCTCCCGCGGGCCTGCGAAGTTTCCCTCGACCTACCTGCGGCTCGGGCCGCAGTTTCCGTTTCAACCGGGCACCTACTACGCCCTGATGCAGCGGGCTAACGCACTGAAGGGACACGAGCTGACGAAGCCGATTCGCCTGAGGACTCTGGACGAGAAGGGAAACGACCTTGTCCCCGCCCCACAGGACGAGGCTCCAGGAGCTGCGGAAGCGGATGGAGAGGACCCCGGCCAAATGGTCGTGGACGATGATCCGTGGTCCAGGCCGCAGCGCGCGCACAAGGCTGTGGACCCGTGGCGGGATGGAATTTTCGATCAAGAGGATTTTCTTGCGGACAGAAAACGGCACTACCAATACTAAAGTAAAGGGACTGTAGGCGGGAAACAAATTGGTTTTCTCAATGTGTAGCATGTTTCCAGCTTGTGCATGTGGCATCTGTTCTTTCGTGTGTATGCAAATTTCCTGTGCTTGAGCTGTTCTTCTTCTTTATCTATGACCAAGACATCAACAGCGATCATCTATCCTTGATTATCAGGGCCGCCATAAATGAAATCCCATCCGGTCGTCTTCTTCTGACAGTTCCTAACCCGATCTTTTGGAAGGCTATGCCTAGTATGGCGGCGCTGTAGTTCGAGTAGTTCCTACTAAATATCATAAGCCAGAAGATCAGCGTTGGTGAGCACGATTATCAGTGTACTGAATAGAATAGAATTTTCGATCGACTAGCTTTGAAACGGATAAAAATCAAGATCCCGCTGGGGATCGACGAAAAAGTGGAAACTTCGGATCCCGTGTGCCGCGACCACAGGTCGGATCGAAATCGATTCTAAAATAAAATGCCAGGATCCCTTTTCACATTTCGAGAATTGTCGAAAAGCAATGCAAAGGAATGCAACCTCCTAGTCCTATCTTTACGTGTCGACACCAGGCGCAGCACGACGGGAACCAATACCAAACATGGATGTAAATAATTTTCTGTCGTCTTCAAACCATATCGATACGCAATAGTTTCGGATTTTCAGCGAATAGGCACCAGCTACTGAAGTCTTTATTTTATCTACTCTTTATTCGACAGTAAAGGTCGAAATCGAATCCATTGGAAGCATCAACATGAAGTCCAAAGTGATGAAGGTCGGCCTCCGCCTCCCGGTGAACGTCCAGAAGAGGGAGGGTGATGCGAAGCCAGCAACTTCAGAGGCGATTGCAAAGACAAAAAATGGCACACCAGCTCCCGGGGGTTATTGTTATAGCAGTGCTAAAAGAGGCAAGCCTACCACTGCGCGTTATGACAAAAAGCAGCACAGCAAGATGAACATGAAATTCAAACACAACAAGATTAAGACCGCCACACCGAGTGCAGCACCATCTCCAGCTCCAGCTGCATCCGATTCCGCAAATAAAAATGCTGGTAGACCACGAGTGTTGGAGACAAACTCCGCTGCCGCGGTAGAAGTGCACAAAGCCAAGGGGCAGCACGGAGGAAATGAAAAGACAGCAGTTTCCGGCTCTGCGGCGGCGATGAACAAGGGAAACGAATGCAACGAGCAAACCGCCAAGAGAGTCAATCGCAAGGAGAAGAAGAAGGAGTTGAGGAACGCGAACGCGAAAAAAAGTAACGAGATAGAAAATGCTGCCAGTGCCAAGCACAAGCGACCTCCGCCAACGAATGGACGTAATGGCAAAGAAACCAAAAAGCCAAGCAAGCAGGAGCCGAAGCGACCAACGGCGACTGGGACTGGACCTGGAGCAGTGCAGCGAATGAAGAAGGTGCAGAAGAAAAACCTGGCCACGACAGAAAAGCAAATCACGGATTCTGCGAAAGCGCTGGTACAAGCAAATAAAGACGCGCTTCTTCCAGCAGTGCCTTTTGGAATTGGCGCTGGGCACGACAATTTTCGAAAATTGATGATGCTTGGCGCCACCAGCACGTCATCGACGTCGAGGACAGAAGAAAGTGGCAGATCGAATCGGACTGCGACGACCTCGATGAAAATTGGCGTCACGGGCACGCTCAACAACGCAAGAAACGAAGCAAAGACCAATAGACGAAGAGCAGACGCGGCGACGCTAGTCGCGCTCGATTGTGAGATGGTAGAAGATCAGCAGGGGAAAAATCTGCTCGCTCGCGTTTCCATTGTCCAGGAAGACTTGCATTGCCTTTTGGACACGCTTGTGCGGCCGCCCGGAAACGATTTCGACCTCATTGCGGACTACCGCACGGAAATCACAGGCCTAACCCGGGACTCCTTTGCCCAGCGCGGCTCCATGTCGATGAAGCAGGTCCAGCGAAGAGTTGCGGAAATCCTAGCGACGAGCTGCGCTCCTACAAGTGGGTCGAAATGGAAGCACCAGGAGCATCATGGCACCTCCAGCAAGAATGTGCTTTTGATCGGGCACGCTGTCAAGAACGACTTGGCGGCCCTGGAGTTTCCGTTTGAATGGGTTGGGGGCAACAAGATAGAAGATGTTGCAAGAGATAATGGTGCTCTCGACCCTAGTGCTGATATCGGAGCGGAGAGGCAGGTGGCTGCTTCAGATGGGACAAGGGGACAGGAACAGTCGAAGTTTCTTTCAAAATCTACCGCGAAAAAGCAGAAATACTATGCAAAAGTGCTTTCTTCCGGAAATAACAAGGGCCATGCTGGCTTTGCTAAACTACAACTCGGAAAGAGTGCTGGGACTTCCGAGCTGCAGCCATCCAACAATGCTACGATGGCAGGTACAAATTCAGACCAAAGCGACATGAATACGAGAACCCGAACTGCTGCCCAGGGGGGTCGAGCGGAACACCACTACGTGCTGCGAATTCCGATGAACTTCTTGCCAGAAGCGTTCGTGTCGTCTGCGAACAGAACTTCGGAGTCCGTTCCAGCGAACCGTGGTGCCGTTGATTTTCCCGTTGCAGACACACAAATTTTGTATGCGAGGAAAACACCGGGAGCAAAGAATCGGAGTCTGCAGTCAATCACTGCAGATGAGCTCGGCGAGCAGATCCAGTCAGGGCAGCACGATTCGGTCGTCGACGCGCGTGCTACGATGCGTGTCTACAAGAAACTATTTGCAGCTTGTTCTACTCGCTGATCACAGAAGGCAAATAATAAACTGCCGTCGTGCTGGAGCTGGTCCTGGTGATTATTGCATCTATTGGATGAATGAATAAGTGAATCGCAAAATAAGAAGCTGTGCATAGCCACAACTTCTACATCGCTAGTTGTCCATCGCAAAATATTAAGCGTCAGAAGTGGTCGCTCGTGGCACATTTAGAAGACAAAACAAAAACCAAACGGAATGCAGGAGAAGGCAACCTGAGCTCATCGACCTTGGTCGTGTGTTCCATGGGTATTAGGTTACTCGCTGTTCCGATTCATCTTCTTGGTTTGCCTCGCCCATCGAGTTTTGTTCTCGTCCTCGTGCGTCGTGCGCTATTTCTTTCGCGAAGTCGCGATCGCGTTGTCGAACGGGAACTAAGTGTGGGGCTGCGCAGCGTGCCTTTATCACGAGTTCACGCCGCAGTTTGCGTGGATATATGGGCGTGAAACTCTTCAAGACAAGACCGATTTACCCTGATTGAGATGACTCGAATTCAAGGGATGCATGATCTGAGCGAATGTCACCGAGAAGTGCAAATGTATGAAAATTGTGTACAACGTGAACCAGCTGACTGATGGTGGTCGTTATGTGTTGCAATTAAAATTTTAAATTTTCGCGAATATAGGATAGGTTAGAGATGTTCCTTCGTGGGGATATCTGAAACGCCATAATGCAACGAACATGAATATATAAGATTCTAACGCACTACACAAGTTTCACATATTATATTCAATAAAAATAAAATTTCAAATTTTGGCGGGTTTGATTTGGAATTAGAGTAGAATAGAAATTTTTAGTGATGTTTTGATCATTCGGAAGCATCGCATGTGCATTGCATGTTTATTCGTCGAATTGCAATCATGTTTCCGTCTGATTGTGATCGAGGTTTCGGCACGTAGTGAAGTAGGGTCGTTGATTTGGGTCTCCATTCCTGAGTTGTTCTTGTGTTTCGTTCGCCGTATATCTTTTTTTCAATCGTAAGTACTTGATAGATATGTGATACTACAAGAAAGTACAGCCGGAGTGCCGTATACCATCACTTATCGCAGATTCGCGCTCGTCCACATGATTGTCGTCCTTCGTCATCGTTCTGTAGAAGTTTTCGTTCATCATATAACGTCGTCAGTCTCTGTTTCGTCCGCCATGGATACAGGCTGAAGCTATGTACGAAACAAAAGAAGTAAACAAACGAAGTAGATGTAGATGTCACGAAGTAAACAAACGAAGTAGATGCTAGCTGTTCCTGTTCCCAACTTCGCGCTGGACGAGGTCCACCACAAGGATGAGCCGAAAAAACCAAGAGGAAAGAAGAAACCAAAGCGGATGACCAACACCAGGAAAAAGGGCGGCGCCACGAACACTCACGCCGACAATGGGGCTGAATGCGACGGAGTCCCTGCCGCCCCCCCGGACGACCGTTCTGCTAGCTCCTGCCCAGCATCTTCTGAAAAGAAGAAGGCGAAAAGAGAGAGTCAGAACCTGCGCTCTAAGGCCGACCGCAAGGTGCTTTTATAGTGCTTCTTTTTTATTTTCACATGGAAAGAAAAAGAAAGGAAAGAAATGGAAATCGTATTCAGAATCTTCATCTTCAGAGGGACTACCATGCGTATGAAGAACAAATCAGACATTGCCATTGGCATTGTTATGTCAGATTTTCAATTTCATTCGCAACATGACCTCAGGCACACTTCGAAAACTTTGTTGAAGAGCGCGCTCGTCGCACCGGCGAAAACTGGTCAAAATACAACAAGAAGAAAGAAGAGGCTGAAGCCGACGAGGTACTAGGAGGCTTCATGGACCAGGGAAAGCAAGAGAAGGATGACGAAGAGCTACTAACGGTTCTGGCGGAAATCGGTGGCCTGATGTCCCTAGGTATATCAACGTAATTAGCGTTTAAATTGAGTTCAAAATTATTCGTGTGCTAGGTACATATTCGTACAAGAGCCCACTTTGTTTGGGTTAGCACAAGAAGCCTCTTCTGGTCGTTCTCCGTGATGTCATATCCAGCATAGCAAGTACACACTAGCACTTTTTAGCCCGATTGCGATCAACATGACTCAACTTCCAAGAACGATTTTTACACCTCAACAGACTCCCCGGAGAGCAGGAAGAAGGAGTTTCGTAGGCTGCAGCTGAAATATCATCCTGACAAGAACATCGGTCGAGAACCAGACGAGCAGCGGCGGGCTGCCAAATGCTTCCTGATGTTGATGAAGACCAGCTCTCAGTTCTGGGAAGCGCAGTGATGGGAGACCAATCGGTCTTGGATTGGAGATCATCGACTTCTACTTGAGCGTTTTACAGAATGGACCGCGAAATTCATTGCCAGCTGCGAATCGGGATCGCCTGACTTTTGCTCGTTCTCTTTTCCCGTTTGGAGCGGTTGTAGCTCGAAGCAGGAAGTGGAACCCGTGTAAAGTTATATTGCAGCATTTCTATCTATGTGCCCCCCTCGGCGCGGTTTTAGCGCGGAGAGGAGCGTCCTGCTGCGGTGGCAAACCACCCACCTAACCACGTTTTATTTCCATTTCAACCACTGAGATTAGATTGATATATATTTAGAAGCAAGCAAAAAGACTCTGTAAGATACATTGACCTCGTCCTTGCTGTTTTTCCTCACATCGCGATTACTTTTAACACATGTGATCGGGTTTTCGTTTTTTTCAACGTACGTTCGCAGAGCATAAAGCATAAACGAATCATCATCTTCCAGAAAACAAATTCCGTTTCACACCAAGCTCTTCAAATATTTATTTGTGATATGTCATTTATGCGTCGAGGTGGGAACGTGTTTACTCACCTTTTTTCCCTAGCGCTATTTCGATAAAAGTCCCCTCTTGCACCAGATGAACAAGAAGCACTGAAAAAACCGGAACTGCGACAGCTCTTGTGCTCTCTTAAAAAATGGAAGCATCATCATGCGCTCATCCTGGTCTCGCAACCCGACGACCTTGAAGATGAAGCAGACTTTCATGAGCCAGAAATACTAGAAATCAAACACGATGACTATGAGGCATTACCAAAAAAGTGAAAAACACAAAAAAATAGAGCCCAGAAAGCCAGAGCCTTGCCTCGTCGTGACAACGAACAGAGCTAGTGAAGATCTTGTTCGTTTTTACTTTATTTTGGTCGTCCGAAATCTATGAACATGAAGTTGAGTCGTCCGTGGTCGTGTTGACATATTAACCGCACAACTTCTGGTGCTACTTAGTTTTGTTGCTGTATCGTTCGTATTGCACCGTAATCGAGCATGCTCGCAGCGTGCAGTCACTCGTAATTGTCGTTCCGTTCGTGCGTCTCCGTCGTTTAGCCTGCCTGGTGGCGACACCGTTTATTTCGTACATCTCTTTCGTTGCGTTCGGACTTTTGTGCGTTGACTCACAGATCCGCTGTGTTGTCGTTTCGTTTTTGTTGTTTGTGCAATTTGGTGACCAAAACACATGTATTGAGTATAGTTAACGCTTCCATCTCCTGTGATCGCCATCAAACTCAAAGATACCTCGTAGGAAACCGCTTCAATCAATGATCACAACAGGGAAAAGATAATTTCAAGAGTTGCAGCCTTGTAGGATCATTCTCGACGCACCCTTTCACTTTACTTACTTGATTTTCAAGAAGTTGAGCTGTAGCTCCTTCCTCGTAAACAACGTTTTTCCCGCAACCAATCGAAGAAAAAAACTCGCAAAATGGTGGTCCTCCACGCTACAAAGCCCATCTCTTTCGAAGAGATGGAAGGACACCTGACTTCGGAAACCATCTACACCGAAAAAGAAGAAACTTTGCCGTTTGGCGTTCCCAATTATTCCATGGTGGACAGTACGGAGAGCGAGCCGGAAGATGAAAGCAGTTTTGAGGAGAAATTCTGCCCGACGGCCGGCAAGGACATCGCGCATGCTACCAGCGATGGCGATGAGATGAAACCGCCACTCCACCTGGATGCCAAAAACGAGAACACCTCCTGTGCTCCTCTCGACGTTGATGCCTCGACTGCGGAAATCGCCGCTGCTGTGTCCCTGCGGTTGGTCCTTGGCGGCGCGACTAAGGAGGAGGACAACCAGCATTGCGGTGGATCCTTCAATCCGTTTTGTACGGCGGTTGCTCTGGTGCTCGTTTTTTACGGTTTCCTGCTCGCTTGCCTCTTCCTTTACTTCGTGGAGTATTTGTTGATGCTGTTGTCTGTTGAGCCGCGCGCTCCGGACCTCATCGACTTTGTGGAACAACTGACGGATCATGCTTCCGGTGGCCGCCTGGACGATGATCTACTGGACTGGTATGAGGAGCAAGACGCGACTGAGGCGGCGGCCATGCTGGAGCGAAAGCAGACGTCGTCAACGTGGACTCATGTCGGTCACGGGCGCTGGGTCAAGGGGGCGGGCAAAGAAGCGTGAGAGTCGCCGACTCCTGTCGTACCGCTGCGGATCCGCACCAGGAACAAGAAAAAACTGCTGCGCCGGTGGAAAATCATGCTTGTTTTGACCCAGCCACGTTTCACCCAACCACAACTGAGATTACATAATCAAGCAAAAGAACTGTATGTATAAGAAAAAGAAAACCAGCGTCCAATCCTTCTTTTTTTTCCTCACATCACCATCACGATTACCTTTTTAACTCCTGTGAACGGTCTTTCGCAGAGAAATCGCGCTCTATGAGCAGCCAAAGCTTTCCTTTGATGCCGCCGCGGCGTGGTCGTCAAAGAGATGCCTGCAACTTGCCTTAAACTACATCTACCAGGAATAACATCGCGCACTCTATCTCTATCTTCTGAACGATCTCGACCATAAAGCATAAATGAGTCACCATCTTCCACAAAACAAATTCCGCTCCACACCAACTTTTTCAAATATTTTCTGATATGTCGTTACACAATGTCACATAACATGTTTTTCGCGCAGCTTTTTCACAAACCAGCTTCGGTAATTTCGTGTGAATATACTCAGGATCATCAGAGAAATCAGCTGCAGACCACGAGCATGGCATCACTCAATTTTCATTTTGCATTAATCAAATTCTCCATAAAAATTCTAACGTGAATGATCGTGCGCGCATCCTGGTCTCGCATCTATCACGGTGACCTTGATGAAGCAGACTTTCAAAAGGTTTAATAAATTGCTTCGTTCTTTCATTGTTTGTTGTTGGTATGAGAGCAAATAGCAGCAGTAGGATCGTGATTTGCATTTTTTCCCTACTTGTGCAAGAACTGCAACGAATTGGATCCCCGGTGTGTTCCTCAATTTTGAAAAAAACGAAAAAAAACGAATTCCGCGCGCGGACGAACCTCTTCCCCCCCCCGCATATATGCATACACATATAGTACTACATATTAATATTATTTCTATTATAGTTATAAATATTAATTATTTAGTATATAATATAAAATAAAAAAATAAAGTAGTTCTATAATATACACACCAGAAATCTGCAACCCACCGCAACCCACCGCAACCCTCCGCAACCCTCCGCAACCCTCCGCAACCCTCCGCAACCCTCCGCAACCC